CGCTTCTAAATTCTTTTCCGAACTGACCGACATAATATCACCAACTTCCGTGTTGTGGATGGTTAAAAGTTTGTTAGATAGTTTCTATTATTTGGTACCAAATTTTTGAATTAGTTACAAATCATGTGCCTTGACCACCATGACCAGTGGCTTCTTTAACAACCTGAAGTTCTAAGCTGTATGTATGTGCTATTCAGCCTCCAAATCAAATTTCAGCTCGATATAACGATTTTTAAAAATCAGTATGGGTCACCCCATACTGATTGCACTCTGGTCACTTTGGTCTGGTTGCACTTTGTTCACTTTTAACTTCATATTCTTTAATTAGCAGTCATTAAGTATCATTGTGCCGGATTTCATCTTTTTAAAGCAATTTCTAAAAATCGGTATGGGTCACCCCATAGGGGCGTTCCAGATAAAAATTTTACCAATATCATATCATATTCTTTCATTAAGACCCATAAGCAACCTCTCCACCAAATTTCAGTTCGATATGATGGTTTTGAAAAATCGGTATGGGTCACCCCATAGGGTCACTCATGATGAAAATTTTTCCAACCTGAAGTTATTTTTTTCTATTAGGAGCCATTAGCAACCTCTGTACCAAATTTCAGCTCTCTACAACAATTTTGAAATTTTGGTGCATAAGACCCCACCCACTCCGATGACCCCCACCGGTCAACCACTGGACCGATTTCGCCCATCTTCGAACTCGTTTCCTAACTTTGTCCAATATGCATATGGTAAAAATTTCAAGTCAATCGGTTCAGCCGTTTTGGCTCTATCGTGCCGGACAGACAGACAGACAGACAGACGGACGGACATGACGGTTCCATAAGCCCTGACTCGGGCTAAAAATTGTATCACAGCTTACTTGGAACTGTAATTTTCTTACAAAATTATCTCAATATACAAAAAAAGGTGAGAATGATTACAATTTGGTGGAGCTTGACACAAAAAAACGAGGAAAATGAGACAAGAAACCAATAAGCAAGCATCATTACCGTTTCTGTGCGAGAGGATTATTAGGCCACGTTGTCTTGTCTTTTAGCCCATGTTTATTGCACCATGAGGGCTTCACAGTACCAATAAAACAACCCCACCACCACCTTCCATAATGGATTTGACGATTACTTTTATTTGTAATGGTGATGACTACAGAAGATGATATTTATGTAGTGAGGAATATCTAGGGTACAAATCCGTCGCTACTTTCTCCTCCTTATTTTCGACGGTGAGTGAGATCTCCACGAGGTTTATTTGCTCACGTGCAGTGGCCGCGGAAGCCGTGTGGACATTAACATTGTAGGATAGGGGAGGGCGGGGTTTATATAACATGAGGAGATGATGGGGACATCGAACAACCGTGGGGACATTGTCCCTCTGTCCGCGGCCAATGTTCACATGTTACCAAATAATTTGGCTACGTCCGCCAGGTTTTATGGGTTTTATTCATTCACTGGGAGAAAGTTACGTAAGGGAAGATGAGCATATAAAACGATTAGTTGTGAGGATGTGTGTAAGTATTCCTCGTTACCACCGGTATTTATACGGCACCAAAAGAGTAATCATCCCAGGAAGATAGTGTTTTGCCGTGTTTGTACGTACATAAATAGGTTCGTATTATGTTACCACCTACATGGATAAAATTGGAAATCTGATGCTCCGTCAACAGTAAAACTTTCCAGAATGTGTGTATGTATAAAAATTCTGAAAACCAAATTCGCCACGGTAAACAAATACCTTTTACGTGGGAGATACATACTTATTTACGAAGGTTGGAATGTTTTCGAGTTTTGTAAATTGTATCAATTTGTATGTATGTCCATCTTGAATTTCGTCAGTTTTGTCACAACTCTGCCCCCCACGAGTTCTGTTATCAGCATGAACCGTGTTTTTTTCCGCAATATGTAAAGAGTTATGGAGAGCTTTCACTTGAGCTTAGTTTCGCCTACGTTATTCGTTCCAGTTTTTGTGTGACCTTTAGCTACGTGCGGAGTGACTATTTGATCCCCTCCGGCATATCTAGGGACTGTCTTCATCTTTTTATTTCGAGTTTTTTTGTATGTATACAAAAATAAATATTGAAAGTGGCCTACGTACATAGTTGATTTCTAATTCTTTTTCAAACACACCAGGGTAGATGATTTGAGTATAAGTATTCTATCTGACGTATGTATGTATGCAAGGTTGTTTGGCAAATTTGCATGATCCAGGTCGTTGCCAATTTTGTTTTAAGAAATATATACACTCCAAAATTTCAATTCAACTGCGAAAATTGTAAAGGAAAAAAAATGTGAGTATTTGACGACGAATTTGAACTTTGTTGATAAATTATAAATAATATTTTGGAAATAGAGTTTAAAGTTTTTAACCTAGTTGGTTAAAAACTCTACATTCTGAAAAAAAAGAAGATTTCATTAGAAGAACGCTTCGGATTTTTGAAAACACACAGGCATGACCTAGTTGTTTTTTTCTCTTCTTTCGTTGACCAAATTACCTTCGGGGTTCCGCGTTTATAAGCTCAAAAGATCAAGGGAGATAAGACATTTGAGCTTAAAAATCCAAATCAATACCAAAAATATATGGGGGGCATTTGTGTCTATTCTTCTTCAGCCGATATGCATAAATTTACTGACTTGTAATGAAGATTGCGATCGGTGAGAATTGAAAACATGTCGATAAAATATTTTAAATGTAGGTTTGTAAAAAGAATAAAAATATAAGAATAGGAAAATAAATTTAACCAAGGGTTAGAAACTAATGAGCAATTGAGTTGTACTGCATATGCCTAAGGACTTTCACTCTGTGGTTTGATACATAAATTGCTGTATTTTACTCTGACCTTAATTTTTTCGTTCATTGTTTTTTAATGGATGACTACATCGAGCACTGCACTTCCCCTCCATTTCTATATGCATCCCGTAAAAGCAGCTTTGATTTGCCCAGTCAAGTACAAATACCTATCGCTTCGGCAATACTATAATAGAAGACAACGACATAAGCAATTTACTGTCATTTTCGATCTTAGAATAATACACTGATTTTTCTATCATTAAAATTATACCTGCATTTCCTGAGAATACCGAAGTGGTCCACTTGTGAAATAAACATGATTTTCACTTGTTCCTTTTTGATAAAGCACGCCATTCTCATTTGTCTTCAAGTGCACTTTCAATATGCAGTTTCAAATTCGAAGTGGCCACTTTACAAAATCTAGGCAGAGAGATCTGTCTACATTGATATTGCTAATGAAATTGGAGAAGTGGTGTTTTGAGTTATGTACTTAAGGGTGAAACGATTTTATGGAAATGCCTTGTTCGTCCGTCCGTCTGTCTGTCTGTATCCACGATAACGCTAGAACGGATTGCAACTTTCACCAACGAGTTTCTAATTTTTGGGGAGGAGGTAAATTCGAAGATGGGTGTTGTGGGACTTCACATACCCGCACCCACCCTTGGAAATGAGATTTTGTAAAAAAAATTGTCGGAAATGACAGGATGGATTTCACTCTTTTATTACATTACGTTTGCGACTCTTTATTCTTATGTATATTGAATGGAATCTATACTTTACACTCCCAACAACTAAACCGAACTCATAGAATCCTGACCTCTCTCCGAAATATAATTGTGTTATTCATGCTCGGTTGATTCTCAAAATGAGACTCTATCTGTAATATGAACCTTGGTTATGTTACACTAGAAATTCCTTCCCTGCAAAGACCAGTATGGTAAAAGGTTAGTAGGTTAAGTTCATCAACTTGATTGAGTTACTTACTACAAAGGCAGAACAAAATGAGAAATGCAATAAAACAAAGGAGAAAATCTGCCCAGTGAGAATGCGAAATAGGTTGAAAAAAAAACTCTACACAAAATTATGCAAGACTCTCTTTTACACGCTGATTGTAAGCCTTGTTCCATTCTTGTTTATGTAGAAATGTCAATTACTCCTCTCGTTCGGAATGTCAATTTGAATTTCAATTGAAAAGCCGTCTTCTTATTTCAAATTCCACGCAAAACATGTTCAAAAAGAACAACGCACATTACATAACAGACAAAAGTGAAAAAAAACTTTACACTTTAACCATCAAGACAAACACAACAACTTTCTTTTCCTTCTTTCTCTCCCAAATCGAATCAAGCATAATCAGGGAAACTTGTACTTGCGATTTGTACCTTTTTTCCCTCTTGTCTTGACCAAATCGATCGTTTCTTCTGCCGTGATTGAAAACGTAAACAATTGATACGAAGATAAGACAATGATCCTTTTGTTACGTAAATATCTACGAGTCGAGTTTGTGTGGGTGGCAGTAAAGTGCGTACTTGAGTCACTCAATTGTGTTTACGAATTGAATTTAATTCAATTTCAAAAACGGGACCAGCAGCAGAATTCAGTACAATTTCTACCAGTTGATGAGCAAACTCTATTATAAAGTTTATTCCGTAATGAGATGAGCATGCAGCCAAGAAGTCCATTCATTTCATTGTGTAGAAAGGATTTACTGAATAGAATTGTGAATCGTCGTGGTCACAGTTTACGCTTTGAGCACGGCTGCCTCCGACAGTCAATTCTGCTCTGCTCTGAATGGAAACCTTGGTCGGTTGACCGAGAGAAAGTTGGAGAAAGTTTTGGATAACAAAGGAGGAGAAAGTTGACTTCCTTCCTTGCTTCCTTCCTCCATCCTTCGGCATAGAAGAAATTTTGAGGGGAAATACACAGTCATGAACGAAATGTAAGAATGGGGTGAAACAAGTAATTCAACAAAAAATTGTGTGACCACCCCCCTGACCTTGAGGAGGGGGGGGGGTGGTTCGATTCGCCCATAAAGTTGATAAGATCTTATCCCTGGGGTCATGTGTATGATATCGCAAGCTGATTTTGATTATCTCGATCCGTTCTCCCGTTATCCGGCTGACAGACACCTGGACGGACAGACAGACAGACAGACAAAATCTTGACATAAAAGGGATTCACGCTATAATAAACTTAGTCATTTGTACAATTACAATTACGTATAATTTATTAAAATATAAATACTCTAACTAAACTAAGCAATAGACGACACGACAGAGTCTGACCTTACCAAATTTCTATTTTCTACACTGATAAAATATCTGTACACGAAGATTTTCAAAAATCCGACCACTAAGATGATGACAACTTCCCAAATGATGAATATAATCCCAGGTCCCAGTGAAAATTGGCCCAGCACGGCGGCTATGATGATGCTAATGCCCATATTGAGAAAAGCGATGGTTATCCAGGTTCGAGACGTGGCGCAGCATCGAGTGCAGAAGAAGTGTCTCTGATTTTAAATTCATGGGAGGCTAAAAATATGTATAATTTCATAGTTTAATATGTGATTTTAGAATTATTTACCACGCGCTGTGTCTGTGTTTCAAGTGTGAAGGCAGAGTCCTTGTACAAAAAATAGTTTGATATGTAACGAAACAGAACGCCGATTAGAACGGAGGTCCCAAGAATGAAGGAGAGTAAAGGATCTGAGATTTTAGAATTAGTTATTTGTCGTTATATCTAATGGCCGGTATGTTTCGATGATTTGTCGCCCAAATCATCAAAATCAGCACATTTTTAATCATTTCCCGGCTCTGGGAATTCTTTTTAAAATTCTGGACGACTAATTTGTACAGCTTTTACCAATTGTAAAAAATATACACTCCACTTTGAAGATGGAGATCACAAGTTTAAGAAGCCTTTAGAAAAATGGAATTCATTGAAACTAGTTTACCTTAATTTACCAACCTCACCGCCATTCGATTAAGTAATCAACTAGAAATTTGAAATTTGCCGTCCAGAATTTCAAAATAAATTCACATAATTTCAAAATAAATTCCATAATTCAAATGTGCTGATTTTGACGACTTTGGTGACAAGTTATTGAGTTCTATGTTAAGAACATTTTTACCCGGATTAGACCCGTCGTACTCCTTATGTTGAAGTTTATCCCGAATTCCAATTAGTACATAGTACAAACCCCATCCAAATTTAGCAAGGTAGGCAATCTATAATATGGAGAAACCTGTTTCACGTGAATATTTTTAAGGCCGAAATGATAATAAATAATATTTAATACCAAGTCGGCTATAACGACTTTGCAAATTGCGTTGAGAAATGATCTGACAGGAATGTGCACTAAAGAGTTATCCATTTCAGGCTTTATTTATTTAACCAGAAGTTTTTAAAACTGGGGAATATAATTAATTTTGAATTGCACGATTTGTCTACTACAATCTTGTCAATCTATCAAACAGAACCTTCACCAAGAGCAGAGAGCGTATGTACACTGATATGTTGATATGTTGTTACCAATTGTAGAAATGGGCTTATCATCTGGTCCCATATCAGTTACCCAACCGGAGATGAGATATTTTATGTGCACGTAGATAAATACATATTGTCATATCAGTATACTAAAGATTGCATATTGTGGGGGTCACAAATTATGATTACTCATTTGTCCTCCACACATGCACTCAAGCAAATATGTACATGTCGCGTGATTAGTATTGAATTATGAAAAATATTTATTTTATAGTTACGTCATACAAAAAGAATATATCTAAACATGCGTAAATATTCCTGATAATTCAATATTCAAGTGTCGGTGTGCAACTACAACACAAAAATAAATTATGGCTCGATCGTAATTTATTCCAAAATCATTTGTATTCGTAAAAAATTCTAAAATGTTTCAGATTTAGAAAATTTTGAGTACTGCATTCTGTTACAGATATGTTTTTTTAAATTGTTGGTGTGTTCCCTGTTCCGCTAAGCGAAATTTCTCACAAATATGAGATGATCCAGTACAGATATTCATAGTTTGGAATTTCGTGACGTCTTACACAATCCTATTCATGCCCAGCGGGTATCAATCCTCAAACTTATCATGGACCTGATAAGTATTACAGCACAGACTTTGGCAGCAAACTAGACAACTTTCACTGCCAAAGTCAAACTCAGGATCAGGTGAATGGGTCAAGATCACCCGTTACCCATACTAAATTTCTATCTTTACCAACTTACGTCAACTAAATACTTTCAGCTCATCGAGACCTTTAATAACACTTGTCAAATGAAAGGCTTACTCTTCAAGTAATATTTATAGGCCCAGTTTCCTGCTAAATATCAGTGCTATCATTTTACTCCAAGAGGAAAGCTGGGAACCATGTTGGAAGATAATATGTTGTGCCCTTTCTCCGTAATCCTGTCATTAATGGGTAATTAGTTTGTCTTTAAATAGACAACAAGACGACACCAACACGTCCTACTTAATTAAACGGATGGTGTCACAAGCTTATCGCGACTGGCAGAAGTCGTAAACGATTAAAATGTTTGGGCTAATGGAAACTGTGTCAAGCTAAGCTTATGATGGTGTTTGTATCTTCGTTTGGTGTCCCCTTTTTTGAGAGAAAGTTGCGAAATGAACTTTTACTCTGGGACACTCCAGGCTTTTACTCGTTTGTAACGAATATTATGCAACAACAATCATATCATGGGCCATTTAATGCGTGAGAATTTTATTAATTATCTGTACTACTCGGTGCATGGTGTGGAATTTTGTAAATGGAAAGTTCAAAGTCTAGGCACGTATGCATGTAATTTGAGATGATCAACGTCCAAGATGTTCACTTTCACTTCCATTTATTGTGCTAATTTCTTGTATATATTATTTAAATCATAGATTACTTAAAATATTCCCTACCTATTTTAAACTACGAATCGTAAGCCAATTAGTCGAATGGTGCTGCGACACAGATCGATATTTAGAGATGAAAAACATACATGTTTACTTCATAGATATTTTTCCAGGAAGTCACCCATTTCGGTTAGGAAATAGCTTTCTCGAGCTTGTTTTTTTAGTTGGTGTCAATTTGTCGAGTTTACGACATCCTAAATTCGCCTGGAGGATGACAGCCTTTTAATAACCTAACAAACAACAGACTCGACCAGGTCTTGTTTTGAGTGCTACTACAAAGATAGAGACAGGAAAAGACCGAGGCGGCGAGGGTGTTCATTCTGATAAGTTGTTGTCTCATTATTTATTAAAAACGCCTAGGAAAAAAGTTTTGTGCGTCGTGTCCCATTATTCCAATAGCAAGGGTATTAATGTCGCTTTCTCAGCCCTGGCCAATTTATGAGGTGTCATTTATATTAATCATCATTATGAAGTATGTGTCGCAGTTTTACATTTCATGGTTTCAAAACACAAACCTGATGGAGAAACAATGCATGCAAAACTATAACTAGATAATAATGTGGCTGATGATTAGATAAAAATGCGAGAAACAATTAATTGGATTTCACAGAAGTTTTAGTGAAAACGAGGAAACTATTGACTTGATTGATGATTGATTGATGACATAAATTTGATGTGTGAAAAAAATGATGCGACCATTTTTCGTCTTTTTCTACGCATATGTATCTTGATAATGAGTGGCAGATAACATTCGAAATATTAAGAAAATAAAAACTTTTGCTCGTTTTCACTAATACTTCCGTGTAATCCAAACTGATGTCTAACTGTTATAATTTAAAACAAAACAATTCTTATCGATCTGTTTTAATAAAATTGTGTAACATTGATGCCAAAAATAAAATAATTTCAATGCGATAATTAAAATATCGGTGTATTAGATTTTATTTTGGTAAGAAGACATACATCAACGGCCAACCAACACAAACAAACAAGAGCTTGATTGAGCTGAGCAGCACAGCCGACCAGCAGAGTCGGTTTTTTAGTTGACAAAAACTCATCGACAGTCACACATTATTCATTTTTGCTGTTGTCAATTGTATTTTAGATTGAATCAACAATGGAGATTAATATGGACCCTTCGGTTCGAAAGCGAACTGCACCTTCTCGGATGGCACCGGCAAGTAAAGTTTGCCCCTCTCCATCCAAAACAGAAGTGGAAGACCAACCCGATCATTTTGGCCGTGTCGACCTCAGCGACTGGATTCCGAGTCAGGAGGAATTGGGAAATGTCGAAATTTGCGAAGCCTACCCAATCAAGGTGCTTCAAATGCCCGTCTCCATATTTGACTTTGCAAAGGCCAAGTTCAATTTCGAAACAGCGCTCCACATGAACTACAAGCAGAAAGGGTTGAACATTTATGGCGAAGATTGTGCCAAAATTAAGAGGAAGGAAGTCAAAATCAAGGAGGAAAAGGACTCGGCGTAAGAAAACGATGATATAAATAACTTGCCAAAATTGTAGGATTATTGTTTGTTTTTTTAGGGGACCTTTTAATTCCGTGTATGGCGAGCAGGAAAGAATTGAAGCAAAAAGGCGACGATTTGCCCGGATCGACGGTAAAGATCACAAGCGGGACGTTTCCAAGCAAGAGATTACCGTTCGAGTTCAGGATGAAATGGCGTCGTGTCACAAGTACGTAGCTTTCAAATAAATTATTCATAGGCATTAAGTTGCGTTTCAAAGATTACAGTTTTTATTTAATCAGATTGAAAGCCACACGCAGAACAATGCAGGACGCTCATTCGGCTTACTTCGTCTTCATAAAAGACCCCGAAGGCCATATGGTTGCTTATCCGGTAAAGGACTGGAGTAATTTTGATCACGAGTCGAAGAACAAACCACTGACGGAAGAGGAGGCTGAGGAAAAGTTCAAAGAGTAGATAAAATCTCTCAATTTATAATTGATCAATTAATAATCAATTAATTAAGCAATTAATGCTACATATTTACTTATGACAGGCGACACAAGATCATGAACATGTTTTCCGAGAAGGCTGGCAGAAAACTTCAAGAAGAATCTGGTGAGCCTACTGCGGCCAAGGGTAAAGGTGTGTGATAAAGTTTTATTTATTTATTCCATTCCCTTTTGGTAATTTGTATGTGCATTACAAGAAATTGTGTTTTACATCTTTGTAGGTCGATCAAAGAATGATTTTAGCGGCTGTGAATACATGGAAAGTGGGGACAGTGATTCAGACAACGATTCAAAAACTCCGGAAGACGGATTAAGTTTTATTTCAAACAAGAAGCAAAAGAATCGAAATAAATCTGTACGAAAGGAAAGCAGCGATGATGACTTGAATACAAGCTTTGAAGATTTTGACGAGGAGCTGATTTATAACTTTGCAGAGTACATAAGCTTTACGGAATATTTAATGATACTCAATGCTTGTAGTATTGTATTTATTCACACATGTACGTAATTAAGGTCGGATTCTGAAACTGAATGTTCCCAAACCTACCAAATTGGCGTTGATCAAGAGGAAGGACTAAGAACTTTCATTATTTCCGATGAATCCGAGTCTGATGACGGTGACGTAAAAAAGGAAGAAGAACAAGGTTCTGTAAAGCCGGCAAAGAAACGAGGACGAAAACGGAAGGCGATTTCAGAGGACAAGCAGAAACAACGACATTCATCTACAACTTCTGAAAGCAATGGTCCACCATCGCCATTACTGCTTCTGAAAAAAGGAACTTCTGGAGATTGGAATGTCAGCGGAGGTCTGGGTGGTAATGACACGGGAGCGGGTCACATGCGTGGCGAGGCAACTGATGGGAGACCAGCCAAAAGGCGAAGAGTTCTTCCAGAAATTTCAAATGAAATCATTCAACAAGCAAAGTAGTAACTCATTTAGTAATTTTCTTATATTCTCTTTTAACAAATACTATTTACTCATTACATGATAACTTTAATTGCAGGGAGGCTGGCATAACTGAAGACGTCGTCAAACGTTACCTGACCCGAAAACCGATCAGCATTGCGGATCTGCTAAGGAAGTTTATCAGCAGCCGGAAAATGATGCCTGCCTCTGATATTGCTAGAGTTGTTGGTTACTACGTTAAGAAATTGAAACCAAGTAAGGAAACTATTGGAGGAAAGGTGGTGTTCCTTGTTCCGAGTGAGGAGGACTTATCTCAGAACACTTACTTTTCGTCGTTCGGTAAAAATAGCCAGGAATAAGTCCGAATGTACAATTCAGTTTGGTTTCTATATTTTTTATTATTCTAAACCATTGTTATCATTCTCTACTATGTATTTCACACACAAGAACCAATTTGTTCTGTTATGCAATTAGCTTAATAGCTTTCTACGAAATATTTAATAAAATGCATTTCCACGAACAGTAGATCTCCGAATGCTTCCCGTCTTCATTTTTTTCATCAGTGGAGACAGAGGCATAGCTTCTTCCTCGATTATTTCACGGTCACTATTACTGACACCATCGCCACTGCCACATGTGCAACACGCATGTCTAAATAGACCTAGCATACGACAATTAAAACCATTAAAAATACAATTCAATTTTTCAGAAGATAAATTTTATTATACTTTTCAAATTCCAGTCTCGGTTCACCAATCCTCTCAAAGTCCTCCTATTACAGATCAGAATCACGAATGCGAAGATCCCCTGAGAATAATTTGCTATATGGAATGCAACCAAATGCCACGATTTGGTAAAGATTTCTCCTTGATAGAAAAATTCCATAAAATTTATCAACCAAAATGCAAACACGAAAAGGAGCAGTTTCGAAAAAATATCCAATCTGAAAAAATTACATAAGTGCACTTTTCATAAGACAATTATCAATCTCAAACTTTCCCCAACCTGTCCGGATCTAAAATGTGGTCGTTATCTTCATCAAACTTGAACACTCGTCGCGACCTATTTTTCTTGTTCAGAATAATGTAAGCGCTTATCAGTGCGAGGAATAGATTTGCCCCCTGCATGGCGAACTGCGTCACTGATGCCAACTGCCAACTGGGCGAAGTACAGTGGAGTAAACCGTAGTGTGGCGTTCCTCCCAAATATTGGTCCGCGAGTAGTCTGAAAATGCATAAAAATTTGTTTGGTTTGTCGTTTGACCACTATTTTTAAATAGCTTTTATGTAACCTCTTATTTTTAATCGTTCCATAAGTAACAATACCCATTGGGAAGAAAAGCGAGAAAATGACGTAGAAAAATAATCGCATCTTGGACACTTTTGGATCATCGGTGTAACCATCAGAATCAAATTTACTGAAAAATTGATAAGCATCCGTAAAACAAAACACTATAAAATTTTGATATGTCGTTCCAGTTTTTATTACCAAAATGTCCAGAAAAGATCTAAACTGAGCGCTACCAAAGTTGTACCATTTGCCAGCTCAAAATATTGGATAAGCAATCCTAGAATTTTAAAGAACTCTGTACTGATATTTGCTCCAAAATAGTTATCAATTAAGATAAGAGCCATACTCACCAATTATGTAACACGATAAGCCAACATCTTCCCCCTCCGGCACAAAGAGTACGCCCACAATCGAAAAGCCAAAGTAGGCAAAGAGTGAGAGAGAATAGAAGAATTCCGTCCAACCGGAAATGCTCAAATTGTTCCGTAGTGAGAAATAGATGGCCAAATTGAAGAGAAGAAAGGCTGCAGAAATGCCGGCCAGGATGGCGTAGATTTCTTGGTAGGTGTACTATTCAAGTAAAATCGTCACTTCAATTAAGAAATGTTCTGGACACAAAAGTATTTATATGTCCCACATACGAACAACTTTTTAATTTCGGGTAAGCAAAATTTGAGCAGTTTTCCGGTCTCGTTGTCGTCATCGTCCGCCTCCGAACTGCTCTCTGAATTCCGTACTTTACAAAATGTATTGGACGGAAGTGACCCCCACGGGTAGGTGCTGTCCTGAATGGCTCGTGTCTTATTGAGGACGGAAGTAATCAAGTAGCTAATGTGTGACCAAAAATACGTGAAAATCTTGCCCCAAATATTTATCATGAATGTTCATTACAAGTTGTCATCCTGGTAATAAAACGGTGTCCACTTTTTGCACAAAGGCGTAATATCGTCCGCCTCGTAGGACTCGGGTCCCTTAACTTTCTCCAATTGTGTAAATGCCTCCTCTAAATCTTCGCAAAATGCGGTACGCATCCAATCCATCTTGGTGAGAAGGCTTTCCTTCGATATCAATTCGGTTGGAGCAAGTACTGCTTTCATACAGGTTTCGTGACACTGGATGAATTCCAGTGACAGCTTGTCTTGCGATCGGTCAGGGTCAACATTTTGAATCTCGTGAAATCTATGGGACACAAATGATGCAAATGCAATGATTTCAAACATGTGGATCAGAGGTCGACGCCGACCAATTTTCGGCGGCGTGGAGTCTGAGATCAAATTTAACGCGTAAAATGCAACCGGCGGCGTCGACCTCTGACGTGGATTACGAAATATTTACTTGTTTAAGCAAAATTCTTCCGAACTTATGTAGTTATCATTCATAAAAAGACGACCATCCGCAGTCAGATAAGTGTTTTGATCCGTTTCCAGAATCCATGTTCTCTGCATTTTTGCACTTTATAACGACTTCAAAATAATTACAAATAAAATTTTACCGTATCATTTTTATTTCCTAATTCCTTTCCAAACTGGAGCGAAATTTCTTTCGCAGCTGTACATTTACACCAAGGTGCTCTTTCCACGAGCCTGTAATAATTTCCGACTTGAAATTACCTTAACGTCGTAAATACGAACTGCTATAATAAATTTGTCCAAAATACCGCAAGGTTTCCAGTTCCTCTCCATTCTCCGAAAAAGCAGTAGGAATTTTCCACTCGGGTAGAAAAATGTCGTATTCAAACTCGTACGATGGGTGTGCCTCACACTGACCAGTGCCAAGATTTAAGACTGATTGATATTTACAACACGTCGTAATAGTGCTGCTCCCGACGAAATTCGAAATCAGTAAGAAATACGTGAGACAAGATGAAATAACCATGAAATCCATGATTTTTACAGCTTGGTAGATAAAAAATAAGTACAATAGTGACGAATAAAATGAGGAATTGAACAGGAAGCTAAACTAATTACGTTCATTTATTACGTGCGGTTGCGGTTTCACGGGTTAATGTATCTGACTAACTGACCATGGTTAGTTATCAGCCACTGTTTTGGCATTTCCGGTCATGCCAGTAATATTTTATTTCAATTATTTTCAATACTATACATAAATAGCCAGGCCAGGGACAGAAATATGCATTTTTTTAAAGTTACAGGTACATAATTACTGTAAAGCAGAAGTACAAAATAAATAAAAGCGTAAATAATACAACATCCACATCTGCATACTCGTATCTCTTCATCTTATCAACGCCCTCTCACTATTATCCGTACAATTCCCCCCCGCACAGGACGAATCGGACAACGACCCCCCTCTTGGATCGTCCGGAACACGGATCGAATCAATGCTTGACACCGTTCCAAAGGAATCCCAATGTTGCTGCTGCTGACGGATCAGACTTCCACGTCGGTTGACGACTTGTGGGTGACCCTGGTCTCCAATGATTGAAATTATTCCGGTGGGAAGTGGGCGTCGGCCGGGTTCAAAATCTAGGCTGTAGGTATTTTCAAGTTTGGGTGGGATTGTTGGAGAAAGTTTCCGCTTTTCCGATCCTTCAGTTGTGATTCCAGGATGCATGGAATAGTTGATTGCTTCTCGGGCTGGTCGTTGTTTGCTGGAAAGACTGGAATCGGAAGCGGAATGTTTCATTGTTTGGGAATCGTTACGCTTACCCTGTTCAAATTTTGATTTTGTTATAATTTTTTTCATAAATATTTTGTATCCCAATTTTTGAAACCTACCCCATCCGAAGGATAACTAGAGGCAGAACTGGAATGGCGGAGAGAATTAGAAATCCATGAGGGAAGGTAGTTGCCGACCCGTTGATAAGTTAGAGAGCGAATCTTGTCATTGTACAGGCAGTGGAAAATAAAGATGAAAATTCCCTGGAAAAATTTAAGCATTTTTATAGATTCATTTTTAGTTTTTCTAATAATCAATGTGTTACCTGCGATGCATTAAAAATGGTGAAAAGGTAGGCAGCCACAAGTCCGGGAGTGTCGGGAACCAAGGTAAAAAATCCAATTAACCAAGTCACACCCAGCAAAATTGTGAGAGAAAGGCAACCTCGGAGCCAAACCCTGTACACAAATTTATCATTTCATTTCCAAAAGATGAGATGTTTTGAAATAAAGCTAATTATGCAAATTACCTGAAAGATCTGATCCTATTCTGCAATGCTGGCACCGTTTTTTTCGAACTGTACTGGACTTGGTACGCCGTTTTCAACGCGATAAACAGGATTATCAGATTTTCCTAAATCAACCATAATTTAATTATCATCACATAAAAACATTTAAGTTAGCCTAATTTCATTTCACGTACCACCACGACAAAAACAACCGGAACAAGGAAGCTCCAAATGTATGATCCCTCCAGCCAACAGCTAAATAATCCCAACAAACAAACATACCGATATACCCGGAAATTAGTATTCTTTTCTCCGAAATTTTCCAAGTAAATTACGTATTTATTCACACACTCACACGACATCCCCACCGTACGGCTTATCCCCCTTCAGGTATCCAATCATGGTGGTGACAATGACCAAAATTAGCGGGATGCCGTACGCCATGACGCGGTACATGTTGAGGGGATTATTCTCAGAGTCGAAAACGTGGACCACCATCCTGTACAGATGAACCCCCTCGACGGCCATCCACGCAAAGGCGGCGAGGAAAATGTAGTGCGTCATTATCCCGGAAGCTACGCAAAATCCCTGGATAAACAAAAGTCTTTGTGACAACAATATGTACAATCTCACTTTACCACCTGGGTATTTAGTAAGTATTGGATTAGTGTGATTTTATTGTGAACGTATGACTGGATGACTCATCGCCAAAATGGCCAAAATCATCACTGTTAATAATTTTTCCGCCTCTGGGAATTTATTTTAAAATTCTGAACGATAAATTCGTAGTCAATTAATAGAACAGCGGTGAATTTTTTAAGCTAGTTTCGATGAGTCCCAAATTTTCTGAAGGCTTCTTAAACTTGAGATCTCCTCCTTCAAAAACCGGAGTGTATACATATGTTTTTAAAAATTGGCAACGACCTGCTCTACAAATTTGTCGTCCAGAATTTTAAAATATATTCCCAGAGCCGAGAAATTATTTAAAATGTGCTGATTTTGACAATTTTCGTCATGAGTCATCGAGTCTCATGGCGAAAATTGTCAAGTATTTTTATATATTTTTTATTGTTTGTTGCTGCTAACCTCACTCATGTTAAAGTAGTTCCTATCCAAGACCAGCATTACCATCGTGTTCCCGATTAGCAGACATATTGAGAGATTCTTCGTGATGGAGTTTCTTTCACTTTGAATCCCGTGAAACGTTGAGAAAATTGTGACGCTGACGAACAATGAGAGAAAGGAGAGCGAGCAGAGAAGCAGAGTTAGGATTTCGAGACCGAGGTCCTTTCCCTGGATAAATTATTTTATGGAACACTTCAGACTCAAATTTCAAACATTCAAGACTCAATTTTTCTTGCAAACCAAATAGTTGTGAACGTCCATCAGAATGGCGAACGATGTCAAATGTTGGCACTCGCAGACGGTTTGGTGACGACCTTTTTCCACTATTTTGCACCCTTTGGTTGACCAGACTCTAAAAAGGTTTATCCCGTTTGAGACACTGTTTGAGAAAATTGTTCTATAATTGATATGATATCCTTACAAGTTGACCGTGTCCCAATAAGCACACTGAGCCGAGCCGAGGGCAGCACTTGGTTTTTCACCGTAATGAAGCTTTCTCCTCAAATCTGCGCGAGATTCTCCCCATGCGGCAAGGTCGTGATAAAATACGATCTGGACGCCTTGTCCTAAAGATAAGATTGATAACAAAGTGAGCACTTATTGCAAAACCTACAGTGCAGACTTCATTTAGCCCGAGTCAGACTCATGTTTTAAATTTTTGTCACATCTATCGTATGCTTTTCTCGTCAAAGTTGCTATACACTAATCATACTTAATATTCGTAATCATCATAAATTGTCACATTCATCCAGCATAAAAAATGTAACCCATTTCCAACCCTTTTCAACTTCGAACCCAGACTGGTCAAAAAGTTTGAGTTCCCCTGTCGAAAATAATTTGGAATTTACTTGATATTCTTTGATTTAATGTGCACTTGCACCACCATGTCAAATTTCAGGTCTGAATATACATAGATATGACGACGTGCTATGGTTTATCAAAAATGAGTACCATGCGTTTTTTTCAATTTTGCATTCAATGAATAATTTTTGGATAAATTTGTCTTGCATAAAAATATTTTGGGCATGGGTGGCAAAAAAAATCAAAAATTGAGAGGAATTTTTGTAATTTTTTTAGAGACAAATCTTTCAAAACCACCAACCTGAGATATCTAATTAATAATTTGTATAAATACAAGTATTTTCCGAAAATTTAAAACGGCGAGAAGATCTGACATTTAATTTTATCCGTGAAAAAAATGTGTAGGATGTTTTTTTTGCAACTTCGCATTAAGCGAATAATTCTTGGACAAATTGAAATGGGAGTGGATGGCAGAAAACTAAAAAACCTACAGTGCAGACTCCATATAGCCCGAGTCAGGGACATGGTCCCTGACTCAATAAGTCAGAGCCCGCTTCTAATTTTTTTTCCGAATTGACCGACATAATATCACCAACTTCCGCGTTGTGGATGGTTAAATGTTTGCTAGATATTTTCTATTATTTGGCACCAAATTTTTGAAGTATTTACAAATTTTCCCCCTTGACCACCATGACCAGTGGGCTTCTTCAACATCGTGAAGTTCTAAGCTGTATGCATGTGCTATCCAACAGTGGTTTTCACTTTTTCAGCCTCCATATCAAATTTCAGCTCGATATAACGATTTTGAAAAATCAGTATGGGTCACCCCATAGGGTCACTCTGGTTGCACTTTGCTCACTTTTAACTTCATATTCTTTAATTAGAAGCCATTAAGTATCATTGTGCCGGATTTCGTCTTTTTAAAGCAAGCATTCTAAAAATCGGTATGGATCACCCCATAGGGTCGTTCCAGATAAAAATTTTACCAATTTCATTTCATATTCTTTAATTAAAACCCATAAGCAACCTCTCCACCAAAGAAGGGTACCTATTTTCATGGTCATTTTGGCCAAGCGATTGCAAGCGTTTGCAAACCGCTAGAACCCCAATTTTTGCACCATTGCATAGTACAACTATCCATGTTGAGATCACGAAAAAAATAGCCTGATCCCTATCACCATATTTTTCCAATTGGCATTCGCATGAGCACGATTTCGCCCATTTTTGGGTCGAAATTGGGGGTTAAATGATCACTTTAAAAAAACAAGCGTTTGCATGATCTCATTTCGATGATGTTAATTTTGCTGCATAAATCAACTATCCGAGTATTTGGTATGAAAAAATAAAGATGATCCCTGTCACCGATTTGCCACAAAGTCGACTGGAGTTGGGTAACTTTGGGTTTGTGTAAAAATCGGTGCACAAATTCTTAAAATAAGGCATATTTTTGTTGTCATCAGTGATTAAATGACCAAAAAACAAAATAACAAACAAAAGCGGATGGTTTTCAACCAATGTTTACATATATATTTACATCTGCTTGGACATTCGCAAATCACGTTGCGACAAGATTTCGTCATTCTTGAGTCCCAGCTTATCAACTCAACTCTCTTCTCACCAAATTCTTGTCGGAGAGCCTTTCGCCCGTGTCGACGCCACCGCACAGCGTAAACCAGCAACAACGACCACCGGAAAACTTGTTTACCAGCACTGTCGCGGAGTTGGTCACTGTCAACTTAACAAGAGGTAAACGCGATGCAAATTATATTCGCCAGTCGTGATCATAATGTTTATGTTTTTAGAACGTCCACCGTGGCACGGCCTTCACGAGTCTGGACCAATGGGGAAAAATCGAAGACTGCGAACTTTAAATGGGAGAAAAAGGCGAGTGGACCTTTCCCATGTCAAGAGCGCCACCATTACACGTAGACGTCGACGTCCACACATTGATGTCACTGTGAGAGGCGTCGACATCTCAATCCTCTTTGGACTCCAGTTTAACAGTCAATAGTCAGACCTCCCTGTCCATCAGCTTTTCATCTACCCAATCGGTTTGTAGTACACTATTTTACTTAAGCTCGATTATTAAAGATCAGTAATGATTTTGACTAATTATACTGCAGATATCCCTACTCAGCAATCATGCCAAAATTGATATCCCAACCGTGTCAAAAAGTGAACGGAGATGCTTCATTTGCAAGTCAGTTACTGGAAGGAAACGTGTGCCAGATTCAGCCAATCTTCAAGTACTACAACGTCACTATATTTTCATCCCTCCCAAAAATAGGACTTGTGCATCTCATCTCGAGAATAACCAATTCACAAATGAAGCGCTCATTCAAATAACTGCAGACAAGCAAAGTTTTGAATTATCTGGTCCAGATATAACAAAATGGATAGCTCAACTCCTCAAGCACATTGATAACAAGGTCACCATCCTGGATTTTGGGAAAAATTCTCACATCAAACCAGAAGATTACCATCTACTTCTTGGTGTAACTCGTGACCAATTTTTGGAATTATTAGAAATATGTCGACATCACATCCATTCCAGCAGCAACAGAAGCGTTGAGAATGCACTGGCATTGTTTCTGATGAAGATGCGTCTCGATTTACCACAGAAAGTTTTGGCACTACTGTTTGGAATCGATGGGCAGCAGCGAGTAAGTGAAACAATTACCCGTGTCGCCGAAGTCTTGGATCGCGAGTTTGTTCCATACAATCTTGGATGCGGTGAAATGCATCTAAACAGAGAAATGGCAGAAAGTCACGATTCCGAGTTTTACCATCGTATTCTGGACACTCCACCGAAATCCTTGCACGTTACCTGTGATGCAACCTATTTGAATATACAAAAGCCATCGAATTTTGAAGTCCAGAGGAAGACATTCTCACTCCACAAGTTCAGGAATTTAGTCAAGCCCATGCTTATTGTCTTTGCTGATGGATATATTTTGGACGCCGATGGACCCTGGTTTTCAGATTTCAAAAATAACGACGCAAATATTTTAGAGAAGATCGTTAATCGTGCAGGGGCGGGTACACTTCTCATTCTTCTTCAGCCGGGCGACGTATTTATCCTTGACAGAGGATTTCGAGACTTTGTGGAGAAATTGAGGGCTCTCGGCTTCAAGGTGTACATGCCGGAATTACTTAAAGGGAAGACTCAATTCTCAGCAGACGAAGCGAACTAGTCAAGAAAAGTGACAATGCTCCGGTTAATCGTGGAGGTAGTCAATGGTCAAATTAAGCTTCGCTTCCGGTTCTTCGACTCCATTATTCAAGCCACCTACCTGCCAAAAATAGCAATGTTTTTTCGAATTGCTTGTGCCATCCACAACAAATACGGGACTAGGTTTAGAAAGTCCCCAGAAAATGAAGACTACATAATCAATGAAGTAATTGGTGACATGGATCGAGCCAACACGTTAGAGATGCTGATCAAGGACAACGGCCTGCTCAGAAAACAAATTATTTGGACTGCACCAACTGAAGCTGATTTGGCGAACTTTCCAATTTTGTCTATTGATGATCTTAAGAAGATAACACTTGGGACCTTCCAGATCCGAATGGCTGACAGCTATACAAATCAGCATCTCCAAGAAGAAGGTGAATATCGTCTTTTCATTCACAAAGAAAACTCGTCCCTATTTCGTGTAAAGCTGCAAAGCCGATTCAATCGACGAGCGACCCATCAGGTTTGGATTCAGGTTGATATCGGAGAACATGGACACAAAGCGATCGACTCCTACTACTGCACATGTAAAACGGGATCCAGGACATTGGGATGTTGTTCGCATGTTTGTAGTGTAAGTTTTAATACTATTAAATTAATTGCATGGTCACAGTAATTATTCCTTTTAACATGCATTTTTGTTAATTAATTAACAGGTGTTGAAGTATTGCGGATATGATCGCCACCAACCACCAAGTACCCGGAGGAACCATCGAGCCTATTCCTTCCTCGACGCTGCCGTGGACATTGCGGGGGACGAGGACGACGATGAATAATAATGTGCATTTTTATTTAAATTCTGTGTGGAGTGTTAAAGTTACCAGTTTTATAATTTTTTATAATAATGTTGTGCATTTCATGTGTAAGTGTTGAGTGCCAGTTTAAAATTCATAGTTATATGCATTCCTTCCTCTCTGTAATCTTTTTCAATATTGTCACCTTCGTTAAATTCTCCATTCGTCATTACAATGTAACCTGTTCGTTGCACATATATTCATATACAGGGTGGTTAAAATGTCACGCCACAATGGAAAATTTTTCAATGTATATGAGAAGAGCAGAGAATAAATATTTTTTTTTATATTTAAAATTATTTCCCCAAGTTACAAGTTACTATGCATGCCAAAGTTCCCCAAAATTGCGAATTTTACCAGTGGCCCAGGAATTATAATTAAAATCAAGGGGGCGTGGCCCAGGGGACCATCGAAACCAGGTACCCTTCTTTCAGTTTGATGTGATGGTTTTTAAAAATCGGTATGGGTCACCCCATAGGGTCCCTCAAGATGATAAGTTTTCCAACTTGAAGTCATTTTTATCTAGTAGGAGCCATTAGCAAAATCTGTACCAAATTTCAGCTTTCTACAACAATTTTGAAATTTTGGTGCATAATACCCCACCCACTCCGATGACCCCCACCGGTCAACCGCTGGACCGATTTGGCCCATCTTCGAACTCGTTTCCTAACTTTGTCCAATACGCATATGGTAAAAATTTCAAGTCAATCGGTTCAGCCGTTTTGGCTCTATCGTGCCGGACAGACAGACGGACAGACAGACGGACGGACATGACGGTTCCATAAGCCCTGACTCGGGCTAAAAAATGGGAGGAATATAGCGAGATGAATTGTAATGTTTTTTTTGAGGGACAAAACTTCTAGCAATCTATCAACACACCTAATTAATAATTTATAAAAATATAAATATTTCCAGAAAATTTAAAACGGCGAAAAAATCTGACAATAAAAATCCGTGAAAAAAAATAGTAGGTTGCATTATTTTGCAATTTCCTATTCAATTAGTAATTTTTGGACAAATTAGTCGTACACAAAAAAAATTGTGGGTGTGGTTGTTGTAAATTGATGAAAATCGGTTCAGTGGTTAATTCGTCTGTTTAACGTGTCACAGATGGACATGACAATTCCAGCAGCCCTGACTCGGACTAACACCTGAATAGTCTTCTCTAGTAATTAAAATTGAAGAGAAAACATACCTGGAAAATTAATTGTCGATTTCCTAATATCCTTCCGAACTTTGGCAACATTTCTAGCCTCAGCTAAAGAACCGATTGTGAAGGACATCATTTTTCCGTTGAGAAGCGTTTTGTCATTACTATTTGTTTCATGTCCAAGGCTGGAAAATATTTATGTATTGAGTTATCATGTTAGTTTGTTTACACTGGGATAGCTTTCACTGTTTTGATACCTTTTAAATTGACCAGGTAACATAACGTTAGCTTGTTCCGGACTGAGAAACATCCCAACGTATTGAATATTGTCACCAGCCACTAAATTTTTCCAGCCGGGAGGAAGTTTCAAGAGAGAGGAGTCATAAGACAATTCTGTCGCAGGGAAGTCGTAAGATCCGTTAAGATCGCCATATAGCTTGGACACAGCTCCAGCCACGACAAGATAATCGGATGACGGCGGAGTCAACGGCTTTTCATAGCGAGATGATGATGCGTCACCATCCAGTGGTACTTTAAAGGACAAGAGGAGAGAAGTGTCTTCCACGGTTCGGAGAAGATTTGTCGACACGGAGGACCGATCCGCCTGCAAAATTGAAGTACAATGTAGGTATTGTATTAATAAAAATACATTAGAAACGGACATAAAGGAGCAGCGTTAAACGGTTATTTGCCATTTCGACATGTTGATCTCGTTTAAAAAATTAGAAGCACAATGGCGAAAACGGGATCACGGATGGACAGATGGAAGGGCAGAGTGACAGATGGATGGACGGACAAACCGATCACAATAAGCAGCTCGCACTACTTTGTTCATAAATTACAAAGATTTTTGCACTCAACTAACCTGCGCTAATTGATTCCAAGGTTCTGAAGCAGTCACAATCGTCCCCGTTAATCCGATCGTCTTTTCCGCTACTGGTAAAAACTCTGTTAAATCGTGCGACGTCTGGCTAGCCGTGTCCACTACTCGGTCCAAGACATTTGTCAAAATGTTAATTTCATGGCCAAAATAGTTTGGTTGGTGGGTCGTATCATCATGGTTGGAAATGAGTTCGTTGAGATGGTCAAGATATGCGATGGCAGAGGTCTAAATCAGAAAATGACCAATTAACTAACTATCTAATTAATGAAATTGAGCCAAATCTTACCGTATCATTGACATGAAAACTGCCCTCGACCGCTTCATCAATCCAGGTAGACTTACAACCAGAATAATCTGGCTGCTCTGTTATGAATTGACCATTTGCGGAACATTCCCAGACCGCTTTTCCCACCGCGTGCGCCTTGTCACAGTCTTTCTCTTCAATTTGTCCCGAACAAACGGTCCACGAACGACCACTAAACTCAGTGCCGACGCATTCAACGGCGCAATTGATGTGGGATGGGAACTCTTCAGTGGTTGACACGAGAGGGCTTGTCGGCAGGGTGGATGAGGACACTTCTTCCGGAGTGTGAGTATCAGAGCGTTGATCAGTCGTGGCGGAACATCCTGCAGAAAATGTGCAATCTTCACCATCACCTTGGGTAATTGTGGTTTCCTGTTCTTCCTCCGTGGTTGTGGGAGCAGTGGAGGTGGAAGTGCTGGTACTGGAAGGTTTTGTGGTCGTGGGTTCTTTTGTCGTGGTAGTTGTTGGAGGATTGGGGTCGGAACAGTCTTCGGTTGTACAGTAGACTGTGGCGTAATAGGAATGTTGAGGAGCTTCAGGGTCCTCGTCTGTCCTTCCACACCTGTCCATGCCCATAATTAATAACCCTACTGTCTTTTTGCATTATTTCATATCTATCAGTTCACCACCTTAAGGAAGGATCACCCGGACAAGGTGCAGTACATTTTGAGTCATCATCTAACTTGACGAAAGACGACACATCGGACATACAGCGACAAATGGGTACGGCGTTTCCAAACCAAAGGATCTTCTCCCAAACTAGAACGGCATACCTTGTCGGATATCTGGTCCCCTCATCCATCCGACCTCGGCCATACCTTCGAGATTTCGGAAACTTATAATGGAAGTCTCCCAACGTATGCTCACAAATTTTGATTAAATTAGTCCCAATCGGTCACAAATTTAATTAGTATGAAATTTACAAAATACAAGATCTGCCAATCCTCAGGTTTTGGGGAGATATAATTTTGCATCAGAAGAGGAGTAACTTTAGAAAGTGTAAAATTTTTCAACTTTGGGGGGGGGGCGTTTTCTCCTCTTTCGATGCCATTGGGAGATTGTGTCTTTTGAAAATTTCATATTAATCAAATTTATGATAGATAAACGCTAATTTGGTCAAAATCGGAGAGCAACGCTGGGAAACCTCCATTTTTAGAGATTTTAAGCATGAACTTATAAAAATTATGCTTTCAACCTAATAATAACAAACCTTTGTTCTTTCCGACAGAATGCTCGACAACTGTATGGTTCGTTTTTTGGGAAATAGTCATACGATGGCGTAATTGCTCCAGTTCCACCCATGCACGATGTTGCCAGGTCACATCGGCCACAAAATGGATATCCTTCCATATTTTTGACAAGAAAATCGTCTCCATTACCGACATGATTCCCAACAGAGAGGGTCGGGTCTCCCCCATTATCAACGGGAAGCGTGTCGCAGTCGAACTGTCCAGTTTTGTTGCAGTAAACAGAGTACTGCTGGTTGCCCCCACAGGAAGAGGAAGGAGTCGGGGGGACAACGTCGGGATCCACCATGCTTGACAGGGGACATGGTACATTACAATTTGCGTCGGGTCGCTTCTGCAGTTTGAAAGTGACAAAAGACTCGCAAGTACATTCCCCTCCTTTCAGCATGCTCACTGGAAAACCTTTTTCCTGAGTAGAGAACAAAAGAAATTGTAAAACTGTGATTGTCCCGAATGAACGGAGGACTTGACTCATGGTCAAAATCAGCACGTTTTTAATCATTTGCATGCTCAAAGAATTTCTTGTAAAATTCTGGACAATAAGTTTGCAGAGCAGGTTATTGCCAATTATTTTTTTTAGAAATATAGACACCAGATTTTGACAGTTTTTGAAGGAGGACATCTCAGATTTAAAATTCCTTCAGAAAAATTGGAACTCATCGAAACTGGCTTAGTAACCTCACCCCCATTCGTTTAATCAACTTGCTAACTACAAATTTGCCGTCCAGAACCTATTAAAATAAATTCTCAGAGCTGAGAAATTACTAAAACCGTGTTGATTTTGACCATTTTCGTGACGAGTCATCGAGTCCTACTTGAAAGCATTTTACAATTTGTGTCCCATCTTACCATACAAAATTCCGAACACAATCGGGGAGTATGGTCTCTATTGAAAATTGCGGTTATCACATTTCTCGAGTTATTCACCCAACTGTCCACGCACCACTTGAACTCAAAATCTTCCCCTGGGTCGACTTTAGCCTGGATTTCCACATCCATCGAGGGTGGGGCTTCGTCCCCCATCGGAAATCCAAAGTGACCTCCACCACCCCGACTCGCGCCACGTTTCTCTCTCTCCGATCGTCCCGAGGTAAGATCATCGTCCGGATTTTGAAGCAGTACCGCGTTCGCCCCACAAGCTTGGGCTTCAAAAGTGAAGCAGAAAAATCCAGAAATTAGAAGCAGTAAAAGAAATGCGAGATTCATTCTGAGTTTCAATAAGAAGAACGCCATTTAATTTTTAATTTTACCACTCGTAAAATTTTATCTGGTGATCATGTATCAATTCTCATTTTGAAAATGTCACAAAGCACTTCACTCACATCACTGGGAATGACTTTGACTGATGATCATAAAAAATCATTGTCGTCACACATTTTCAGTCAATTATGTATTATCTGCCGCAATTATCATTAATCTGTGATGAAATTAGCAAAAATAGAAAAATTTGAATAACGTAACTCGATCAGTTAACGAATTAAAGGACAATTTGCTTTGCTTTCCACTGGAAAAAAGCAAACTCTTCACTTGTTAATAATAAATAATTGATGATCGCCAACCCACGTACGGATTTTGACTGGTCGTGAACCTGATCATTCATGACGGTTAAGCATTATTCTTTCTGCACATTCACGGTGATGGACGAGCAGTAATGAAATAATTGGTACAAATATTTGATAAGGCGTGAGAGAAGATTAGCGTAATGTCAACTAAAGAGCAACCTGTTAATTTCGGCAGCACGTATAATAATAATGTCAACATGCAAAGTGTTTAATCAAAAAAGATCCAATAAATAGTGGTGCTAAATACATATGCAGATTGATAATCCTGGTTATCGTAATCGATGATTATTTATGGATTTGGGGATTTTGAGGATGAATGTAATGAGACAAAAATCCTATTGTTTTAGTAAAAACAGAGCTAGAATTCTGCCGAAAAGTTTCATGCAATACTCTAAATTGGACCAATATTGGTTTCATTTCGATGTAGGTATGCATGTTAACATGAATATTTGATACGTTCATTTTTGTTATTAAGAGATAGCGATCGTCGATTATTTGTGCTGTTCCGTTGATTGAGTGCTTTTTTTATGCAGAATCACGAATTAGTTTTTATTTGCAGAAGCTTTTTTGTGACATGACGTAATGTTTTTGATGCATGTAACTTACCCTGGCAAACTGAATTAGTATTGCTATTCTTTATTTGGCACGTTTTCTGCTGCAAAAATTAATATATCTGCCACTTGGTCAGACTGGAAGAGGAAGAATTTTTATGTAAATAGATATTCTGGTTTGTTGGGAATTAGGTAAACTGCACCATGTTTTTTGGCTTATCTGTTACTTACGTGATGGAAAATCATGATTTCTGGGAAATGAAATGGAATTAATTAATGTGCGATTAGATTTTCCTATCAAAAAGCAATATGTGCATTTTTAGAGGTGACCCAAACGTTCATTAGGAATGCTTCAGTATTTGACACTGTCATATTTTGATGCCCTTTGGATATATTGTAGTATCCCGTGTGGGAAGAATGACCCCAAGTGGTATGATAACATTTTATCCCCCCCCCCCACTCCCGCTCGAAGGGAAAAAAATTACAAAAATCAATGTCTTCAAATCTGTTAGGATTTTGAACATTCTTTCTTGCGCGATTGTAGTCCAAGTTGTGTTATCATACCTAATATCAAGGTCCTGAATTTTACTTAGTTACGTGTCTACATATGTAGACCACGATTGCTTGACTTTAAGTATCTAGGTAACGTTAGTCTCCCTTAACGGTTGCGACAAATGGTCGAGTTACAAATAAAAAATTCATTTTAAAATCGTTGGTTCAAAAAGGGCGTTTGAGTCTCCAACTACTTTGACCCTTAATAACTTTTGAATGGGCAGACATAGAGACTTAATTCTTGAGGATGAAATCATCGTAATTTTTTGATTGATTTTTTAAGCTAAAAATCTCGAGGGTACTATTTCGAAAATTAAACTTGAAATCTCCAGTGAGCCCGAGTCAGACTCTGTGGTTGTCGGTCAAACCAACCATTTTCCATGAAATTGTAATGTACCAAATGCAGTTAAACTTGTGGAGTGGCATATTTTTGAAAAATCTGTATGGATCAAGCCCTACGGTCTCACCCGTTCTGAAAATTTCAGCTCAATCGGTTCAGCCATTTTGGCTATCGTGTTCCGGAAGGACATGATAAGAACAGACTTAGGCTAAAAAGACAACAATTTTGCAGAGCCTTGTAAGATGGCATTATTCTGAGAGCAGGACTCGTAATGAACGATGTGCATATAATTTTGTGATTTATTTTTTGTATATAAACCATTACAAAACACGAACTTAATAAACTCGGAAAATTTTCCTATTTTAATTCAATTGTTATGATTAGTTTTACGACATAACAAGACGCAAGACGGACAGACAGATATAACGGGTACATAAGCCCTGATTCGGGCTAAAACCCTAAATTTAGGTAAAATTTTCACCAATGCATAATATGTATGCATGTGCATAATACACATTGTATATTTGACAAAAACAGGCGTAAAGTGCATTAGTAAAATGCATTTGGTACAATAAAATTATATGCAAAATGGTCGGTTTGACCGATAACAGCGAGCTTGACTCGGGCTCGTAAAGGCTGCACACTGGAGATTTCAAGTTCAATCTTGGAAATAGTACCCTAAAGGGTAACTAGGCACTAAAAGTCAAGCAATCGTGTATGTAGACTACTACTACTATGTAGACACGTAACTAACAATGGAACCTTTTTTCAAGCTACACGAGATAAGCTTCGTGATATATGCTAAAAAATCAAGCTAAAAATAAGAAATGACGTGGTACTTATCTTTCCGTTGAATGGGTACTTGGAGGTTAAATATTTGAGGGCAAAGTTCACAGTAGCGGCCTGTTTTTTCTCAAGCGGGCGAGCGGAGGAGTGAAAATTTTCTCCTTCGAGGTCACTCCGAGGCCACTTCACTGTCGCGCTAGTTTCGTTACTAGTATGCATTTCCAAAAATATACAACGAAATGTGGCAATAAAAATAAGTCAACTTTAAGGATTATGATTTCTAATTAATTAATACATTAATTAAATAATTAGACGCAGTTATAACTTTTAGTAGTCATCTCTGCGGTTTTCGAGGATAATATTCGATTTATAATTTTAATTTATAATATAAATAATAATAATTTATTGAACCTATCGGCACTTTTTTATTACGGATCGGTGGATAGTAGGATTTTAAAAAGAAAATATAAAATTAGATGAATGTATACACCAATTTACGAGATTGTGAAATTTTGTCAAAAATAATATGCATTGAATGAAGTGCGAGCGTGCCAGAGTGACCTCGAAGGAGACAATTTTCACTCCTCCGCTCACCCGCTTGAGAAAAAAACCTGCCGCTACTGTGAACTTTGCCCTCAAATATTTGACCTCAAAGTGCCCATTCAACGGAAAGATAAGTACCACGTCATTTCTAATTTTTAGCTTGATTTTTTAGCATATGTCACTAAGCTTATCTCGTGTAGCTTGAAAAAAGGTTCCATTGTAAGTAAAATTCAGGACCTTGCCTAATATCAAACGCAAGTGTTTTCAATTTTTTAATATTTTGCAAATTTCCTGACCAGGAAATCCAAGTCCAGGTCGGAAATCCAAGTCCAGGTCCAGCAAAGTCAGGTCGGTCAGAGTCAAAGTCAAAGTTAATCAGCAAAGTTAGTGTTTGACTGGCATATGTAGATACGTATGACAAGTACAATTTGAAATGCGTCAATAGATCCGTTTAGGTACATTGAGGCAATTCACGCCCTCCTTCGTAACTACGTAAACAGCGTAAAATCCGTAAACTTACAAACGTTTACAAACTTTTACAAAAATTGCCAAGGAAAATCAGTTTACAAACTTTTGTAAACTTACGCAGCTCACAGGCGTCTTATAATTTTGTAAAGTATTTTGTAAACTCAATTTGGGGAAGAAAAAAAATTGTTCGATACAGAAATTTGGCATAGAGGTTACTAGTGGCTCCTAATGAAAGAATATGAAGTGAAATTGGAAAATTTTTCAACCGGAGGTACCCGAAGGGGTGACCCATACCGATTTTTCCAGATCATCCAATCGAGCTGAAATTTCGTATAGAGGCTGCTAAAGGCCCCTAATGGAAGAATATGAAGTGAAATTGGTAAAATTTTCACATCCGGGACCCGTTTGGGTGACCCATACCGATTTTCATAACTTGTCTCAAAAAGCTGAAATTCGGAACGGTGATACTTCATAGCTTCTCATGAAAGAATATGAAGTCAAAGATGAACAAAAAATAACCAGACGGGCAATGAGGAAGGGGTACCCATACCGATTTCTAAGAATTTATATATTCAGCTAAGATTTAGTGTGGAGTCGAAAAATAGCTTAGGATTAGAATTTAGGAAGGTTTGGAAATTTTTATAGGAACAGCCTCCACTGTTCGTGGTATTTAGTATATCAATAAATGCAGCTCCACAAATCTTCCATTAATTTTTCTGAAAATGATCGGCATTTTGTTTCAACTATCAGATAAACTTTTACGAAAATAATTGCGAAAGTGAATTCACGGGAAGCTGTTTGTAAACGTTTGTAAGTTTACGGATTTTACGCTGTTTACATAGTTACCAAGGGTGCGTGAATACCCTCATTGTTTAAGTTGAGCTCGTGTGAATGAAGTCCTACGCATAAACATGCACTCTTCAAAGTTTAGAGCGTCATTCGAGCACTAAAAAAATGTCAAGATTCAGGATACTACATATGTACATGGAACAAGATATAGACTACATAATTGATTGACTCGAGTACAGACTTCCGGCAGTGTTGCAAAATGCGTAACGAAAAATTAGTCTGGTTACGAAAAACTACTGTCCTGTCCATCATCGGTCTTTTGTCGAAGTGATAAGATACCACGGCCATGATGATGAGATGAACTAATTGACGCACAAGAATTTTTACGAAACTGGCAAACATCAAGTTGATACTTAAATGTTTACTCGGATAACTTTCTCCTGTCATGGCATTTTTTAAGTTGGACTCAACATATGCATGTATTCGTTGGACATTACATAAAATTCCGTATCAACCACATATTTACGTTCATTAATATATTTTATGCAAGTCTAATGCAGCATAATGCACTCACGTTTACTTTCAGCCAAAGCTTTTACACAAAATCGTTATGTCTTGTCGATGACAAGCCAGGTCAAGGTTTAGTTACAAAGTTTGCAAAACTTGAAATTTGGGAAACGTGCAACAACTAGAGCACGAGCATGTTCAGATTCTTTTGTGATCAACAAGTGACGGGTGTACTGCAAAATTCACCCAGGCGTCGGATTTTGGATGGACTAACCTACATCCATTCGCCAACGACACCGCCGAGGTCATGGACCTTCCCTTTGCTGCCTTTTCCGACTACCTATTAGTGTACATGCATGGGGGTATTTGTAACCTGAAGAAAAGTTTTAGTACGTAAATATATGTTAATTTCTATAAGAACACCACAATTTACCCACAGAGTAGGCAGAGCACAATGTCCATTGATGCTCGTTACTGGCTTCTCCGTAGGTAATGATTTAACTAATTAGGTTACCAATTAAGATTAGATTCAATAACTTCATATTTCTATCCTAACTATGCATGTGGTTAAATTTCAATTCCTAAAATTCCTAACTACACATACACATACATATTTCTTCATCCTTCGCAATTGCGAAAATACTCCAATAAGCAGTATGCATTTAAAGAAATCAAATACATCAAATTATCAAGATAAGGAAACATTTCCTTATCTCTACACAGCAATAATTGGTGAGCAAATCTCTAATAACAGTCCCAATAATAATACAGATGGTGACAAGTTGGATATTGAAGAAGGGAACAGCAATTTCCTTGAAGACAGCGATAATCATGCTCATTATCAACCTCTACTTTGGAATAATAAGAATCGTGACGTACCGACTTCTATTTATGGTTTTAGTGCAAATTGTTGGAGAATAATGTGCTTACTTTTTGGTGGAGGGTGCGGATTTTTCGTTACGATGTGGCTACTTTCGTCGTCTTCCACCCCCATCACGGTACAATTTTTAAAAATATTTAAGTATTTTTGGAATAAAAAAAATTACCATAATTTTCAGGAATGTTGCAATTCTAACCTGTCCAAACTACAACTCTGGCCTTTCACTCCTGACAATTCAACCTTGTCAAGACCCACATTCCCCCAAAACTTTGACCCTGATCAGCCCAGTATGGCTGAGAAAATACGGCATAAAATGATGTCCGTGTCACTCAAGTACATCGTAGATTTTATCCTGAACTCGGAAAACTTTCACTTTTCTTGTCCCCACTCCGAACTGGGAAGAAATAGAAACACAAACACAACATCCTTGCATCCGGACCAACTGGATTGTCAAAAATATTACGAGTGCGATGAAAACGGCAGATTCACGGTGAAATTCTGCAAAGAAGGGCAAGGATTTGACAATTCTACGCAGAAATGTATTACCAGTGGGGACGTACAGATTTGTAATGATGTCGGGATTTTTCGTGGTTTGTTTTTTGAAAAATTTCAAATAATTTCAAAATTTCAAAAAATTTTCAGAATATGGTTAATATTTCGGTATAAATTTATGTAACAGGGTTTAACTGCACGTCAACCGGACTGCACCCATTTCACGGAGACTGTAATCGGTTCGTAATTTGTACCCTGGAGAAAATTGCGTTTGTTGCGAATTGTAATCCAGGCGACTTTTTCGATCCGGACCTGCTAATTTGTCTTTCAAGTACGGAAAGTGAATGCTAATGACCATGCACGCGTAAAGAAAACAAGTTTCTGTCCACAATAAATTAATTGTTCTGCATACATCGACTACATCCCAATTAATTAGGCACGTGTTGTATAATTTTCCCATGCGTGGCTCAGCACTATATTGTCATTTGCATACTCGGGCTGTTTAAATAAAGAGAAGAAGAGGAGAAAATCTGTATTGATTTCTATTCTAATCCAATCGCTCTCAAGGGACTCGCAGTTGCCGCGGAAGGGTGAGGGGACGGAGGGACAATGTCCCCACGGTTATTCGATGTCCTCATCATCTCCCCATGTTATGTAAACCCCTTCCTCCCCTATCCTACAACGTTAATGTCCCCAGATGTCCCCTTGCCGTGTTTCTGCGGCCACTTGTCGACTGTTTAACTTGCTCTTTCTGCCTACTTCGTGATGACGCGTTAAACCTTTGGATTTGGGCAGTCATCCCTGTACTGCTTGGTCATCTCATTACATTGATTAGTAGAATATATCTAAGAGTATTAGTATAATTAGTACCACCATATAGCGAGAAGTGTCCAACCACAAAATAGACCGAAAGAGCTAACGGATCACTGCATGATCTGATAACTGACATAGTTTGGATTACAATATTCCCACAGAGCAAACTTTCTCGTACACATAGTTTTGCCTGCGGAGGGAGAAAGAACAAGTTTGCCGATTTTATGATCATCCATGCATACACTGAAGTGTGGGATTGCATATCAGATTTCATTCCAAGTTCAAACGAATTGTGGCAGCGAAGTGTCGTGGTGTTGGTATTATTCTTGTAGGGAAATGTAATTTGGGAGAAAGTCGCGAAAGTCGGGTCGACGTGATCTCACACTTCCTGTCCCTGTTACCTATTTCCTCTTCTTTCTTTTGTCGTGTTTTTATGTTTGACTTTGTTGTTCGAGTGTTGGTCACATTGAATTGATATACATAAACTCGTTTACAAATGTGTAGTGTGCTAGGAAGACGAGAAAGAAAGGAAGAGAGTAGTATTACATTCCAAAGTGGGTATTTCTCGTTTTCTATGCGCAAATCTAGTGTAAAATTGTAAAAGGCTAATAAAGCACGCGTCTAAACTTATTCATGGATAAGTCGACATTTTTTGGTTCCACGTGGAGGTGAAACGGATCAACATTTTTTTCAATCAGATTCATCCAAATCCGATTTATCCAAAACATTTCAGAGCTGATCCATCCAAATCCAGTTGGACCGGATCGAGAGGTGTAGATTGTTTAAAAAACGGATATTCTACGCACTTCTAGTTCCATGAATAAAAATAAATTTGAAGGAATAATGGCGAACGAACTTACTCCGATGCTTCTTCATTTAAAAGCATTCACGGATGTTGGTTATTACACGTTTATCATCCCAACAAAAATTGTGATCACGAGTGAAAGTGAGATTTTGAGGAATAAAGTCTTCTCCAGCTATTCTAATTTTTATAGAAAGGTTGGTACATTTTTTAAATCCTTGATTTAAAACATTTGTGCATAAATATTTTTAAAATATGAACATATTTTTATAGTTATTCTGTGGCCTCATTTACACCATTATATTCTGCCACCACTGCTTCTTCCCTTCCGACATCCACATGGCCGTATCCCACGGACCACTCGCTATGGTGGAATTGTACCGAAGAGTTCTCGCTGCTATTGTATTTATCATTGCGACCACCATATTTTGGAGAATGGAGGATCGATTTCTTCAAATTTTTCGAATTATTCAAGGATCTGCATGCATTCTGGGGACCAATTCGTGGTGGCAGTCGGCTCGATTTGTGAGAATCATTTACTTATTGACGAAGTAATTATCACTAAAATATTGCTATGCATAGATCGGAACAATCATCACTCTAAGTTACATGTGGTTCTTTTTCATCGTCACCCCACTCGACCTCCTCCTCGACGTGGGCGTGGGTGGCGAAGGTCTCCACTTGAATGTGACCACGGCACTAAATCGCCTCTACTCGAGATCGCAACGGATGCTGTTCAGACGTCCGGAAGACGTCCCCAGTGTCACGATCGATACAATCAACTTTGATCAATCTGTCCAATCCGGGCTCTATTTTGTCCTCTACTTTTTCACCACATGGATTCAAACGACGCTGGAAGCATTAGTTTTACACATTTTGTTTCTTTGTTGTCATTATGTTGCTCGGTTTGAGAAATGGTACAAAAAATTAGGAAAGGAAGGCGAGTCGGATCAAGAGCTTGTGAATTTGGTATGAAAATGAGTGTTTCGTTTCTGTGCTGGTTTGCTGCATTTTTTGCTCTGCAAAAGAAGAAACGCAAGAAATGCGAGGTGCAAGAAACTGGGAGAAAGTGCAAGAAATATGCGTCAAATTAACCACGCGCCGTATGAAGTATAGCGCCGGGCGTAATTTCTTGCGCCTTGCATTTCTTGCAGGTCAAAATAGCTGCAAAAAACACTTTCTTGTCATTATTTCTTGCAAGTGGTTACTTGCACCTGAAACTCTGATGAAAATATTTATTCTGGATTTGCATGAAAGCCACAAAAATTCGTACTTTTCTTTTTAGATACTAAACCAATACGACCAAGTGACCAAGCTCATGGGAACCGTGAACGCATTGGTGGGACCGGGGCTGGTCATCGTGATGGTTCTCTATCTCCCATTCTACGCAGTTTATGCAGGTCTGTTAACAGTCAGGAAGAACTTTACGACGAGGACGCTTATAGTAGCGGTCCTAAGGTATGGCATTTACCTAATACAAATGGTAATGGGGGCTGAAATTCATAGAAATGTGAGTCATATTTAAATACGAAGTTTCTCATAAATGCTTATGTGCGTGATGTGCATCTTGCAATGATTTTAGGGGAATGAGTTCATTTCTTGGATATCTGCAAGATTTTTGGAAAACATAAGCCCAAACAGATTGATTACTTTTACCATGGATTTGCACACACATCCAATCGCAATGAAGGGAAGTGGATGCTTCACTCTTACTTATAAGTTTATGTCATCGGTGGGTTAATTATAATTTGTTAATTATTTTGAGTGCGGAGCATTACTTAGTAATTAATTAATATGCAGATTGTAGGTGTCCTGATCACTTACGCAATTTTAGTGGCACAATTTCAGGATGGAAGATACAGATATTCGGAACAAGAAGTTGATACAACAAATAGCACTTTTGGAGGCTGATAAATAATGTCGCATTTAAAACTACTACTGAATTCTCAAAATATGAACTCTGAAAATCTCGACGATCTCGCAAATTCACAAATACTCATGTTCGCTCAAAACAAAAAGTATGGGTTTTTTATTGCACACAATTAATATTTAATTACTCCTTTAATTTCGTGCATTTGAAATAAAACTGAGACTTTATCCAAATATTGCTTCCACATCGAACACAAAGTTACTTCCGGTCGGTACATTATTCGCAGCCTCAATTTGGTCAAAGCTTCCCAAACTCGAATTTGACGTGAATTCGTAGACAATCGGATCCCCTGAAAATATTAAATCATTATAATATGCAAATTATAGAAAAAAAACGTGCCACACCCACCTTTCGGTAAATTATCCATCAATTCTCTTAAATAAATGACATCTGTCGACACCATTTCAGCCAATTCACCCACAGCGATGAAACAGCTATGAAATTCACGGTAAATCTGCTCCACCCCTTTGAGCACGTCTGATTTAGTTTCAGGGTAGATTTGCTCAATAAATTGGGCATCTCCCAATAGGTGAACCGTTTTCAGGGCGTAGTCCAGCATGTCTCCCACTTTTAAAAAGTTCTGAAACCCCACCGCCTTCGTGGTCGTGTTCATCCAGGATTGTTCGATTTCTCGGATTTGATTTATCGTTTCCGTCGTAGATCGATGCATTTGATCCACAATTTTTCTGTACTCGGAAAGTGGATGATCCTTTTTATCAATGTGCTGTTCACCAGAGAGCAATTCTGAATTTCCAAATACTTGATCAGACGGTGGCAGGAAACGCGTGGTCGTGATACCGATCGAGTCCAGCGTTTTTTCACACTCGTCCAGAATCACGTCAAGTTTTGTTACTTGCTGATCCGAATTGTTGGAATTGCTAAAATGCTGGAATTGTGTGACAGACGGTTGATTACCATTTTGACCACTGCTCAGAAATTGAATGGAAAATGTGTCCGTTCCGTCATCGTTTTGCGGTTCAGGGTCGATTTTATTATCGGGAAGTTCTTTCCGAGGAAAAAATTTGGCTGCTTCCTGCTCCAAGATTGACTTGACCTCGTCATCATTCAAGTTTTCGACGACTAGTGGACTGTCCACGGAATGTACAGATTTTCCGGGCTTAACATCATCATCATCATCGATTTTCATCGTTTCTTCCATCCGCTCCCACATCTCGGCGTTGTTTTCACTTTCGTCTTTCACCTTCACGCGCGTGTTATCCAAGATGTAATCTACCGATTTGAGAGGTTGTTTATGGGTTGCGAGAGTGGATGCGATTTTTTGAAGGTGTTTCTCACTCGGTTTTTCTGACGGTGGTTTGATTTCAAATTCTTCAGAGGTAGTCGATTTCTGGGATTTGGATTTCGTTTCCTCTACCTCAGAGTTCGAAGCGGGCTTGGAATTATTCTTTTTAGAGAAAATATTTCGTATGAAGTGAATCAATCGGGGAAACCCGTCCTTATTTTTGCTAGTAATCTGGATGGATGGCTTTTGGGAGAGGGATTCCATCGCAGTGTCGGTCACGCTTTCAACGTCTGCAAGAAATTAATACGAGGCTGTGAGATTTGTCTTTAGCTTGGTAGAAATCAGATTGGACACCGGTCAAAAGCGGTCAAAAGTGGCTTTTGGTCACTAGCTAAAATAATTGCCCAGTGTCCAAAAATAGAAATGGGTAACAATGTGCCTTTTTTAATCACTTTTAGACACTTATTTTGGTATGATAAAATGAAACCCTTGAGAAATTGATTATATAAACTTATCTGTATCCGTATTTTGTATAATACTCACAATTTCCGAAATCCTCATTCACATTCACCTCATTCTCCGCAGGACTGGATAAGAGACCATGGACCTCCACCAAATTTCGAAACTCTTTCAAATCCGGCATGACTGCATCACTTATCCGCAACAGTTTACGTTTCAACTTCACAACGTCTTTTGCAAGTGGTATTACGCTTCCTAAAATTAGCTCAGTTTGGTAATTTGATGCAAACGAGATTGGATCTTCGGCCTGTAGCGTGCCCAAAATTTCTCCGATTCGGACAACATTCGAACCAAAAGCGGTTAGTTTTTCAGAGTCATTGTTGATGTGAAAGTCTGCATTATTATCGTCGTCTGACTCCCGGCTTTTCCAGCGCCCAATAGAGTCGCAGATTTTCTCTGTGCTGGTCTTGAAAATTGATGTGACATCTGACGCGACAAGGAAATAGTTGGAGATTCTAGTTTCTGCCATGATGTTGAGAAAGTAGATCAAGTGATTGGGACGAGGTTCGAGAGGAGTTTTCGGCAAAATTGATACGTTTTTGGATACAGAAGGTTTTTTAATGTTGGGTTTTCTAGTACTTTTTCTGGAACTGGGCTTTTTACTTGAATTCCGCATTATCGGGGTGACATTAGTAATTTTGCCATTCCTAAATAATACTTTTCGCACTGTCGATGGAGCAAATTGTATTCAATTTTTTTCTGGGTCTCGAAAAAGTTACTACGGAACCTTAATAATGATTTTCGAAAATAAGGCTGAATTTTCATAAAGAAACCTTTACAACTCACATTTCTACTAGAAATTTTGTAGACAAACCACCGACATGAAAATCCAACAAAGAAATGTTCACGAGCAGTATGTATGTATTTACATAATGCACTTTTACATCTGAAGTCTGATGAATGAGATGCAGAGATTATAATCAAATTTTGTAACATGCAAAATGATCGATGATTGAAATCCTAAACAGTTTTTTGTCCAAAAATGTTTAATGTTATGCGAGCAAATAATAGTAAATTAGAATTTTAACAACAACGAAAATTTATTCATCTCATATTTCTGCATATGAAAATATGAATTACACAGTCATATAACATCCTGCTACACGTATACATAAATGTCTTTTAAAACTCAAACTCAAAGTAATTCATTATGTAACATTATCTAACTACTCAATTATTAGTACCATTAAAATATTAACATCAAATCAAAGGTACCCGTCATACTAGCACACCATTTAAAGCTAATTGTTAAACTGATAATCAAATATGCAACGGAATATTCACAAAATGAATGGCTCAGTAGTTGTCATTGTTGCGGAGTATTTTCTCGAGAACTCTCAAGTTCCGAGGAAATAGCTTCTTGTCTCGTTAATGGAGGGCTCCCCATCATTGGGGATTCTTCGTTATGAGGTCGATTCTCATGTTTGGAAGAAGACGACTGTTGAGATATCATTGGGACCAACTCCATGTCAACTACGTGGTGTGGAGACGTTTGCTGGTGGATGTTATCACCTCGGCTGGAGGAGTTTGATAATACTGGGTCAGATTGGTTTAAAGTCCTTCGCCTAAGTCTACGAGTACTACTATTAGCAGAATGGCATATAACTGCTTCTTCTCCCGAGGAAGCTACAGTTCTTCCTTTTCTTGACAATTTGCGAATTGGTCTTCCTCCTTCCTCACTGTTATTATTAATTGGCTGAGATTGTGGTGGTTTGCTTACAGGTACAAAAGATCGAGAGGTCGGTACCATAGATTTTGTTTTGCTAGATCCACCACCCATGTTGTTACCCGTTGTTCCTCCACCAGTGTTGTTATTTATTGATGAGGATGGTTGGGTTTGTATTTGTTCCCTGCCTCTAATGGGATAAGGCGACTCGGGCAAATCTGGGGGAGGGCCAGGAAGGAACAGTTCCTCTTTTGAACTAATGTGTTCAGGAGTACTGCCCAATTCGGACTCGTTGCTAGTTGTAGGAGATGGATTGCTCGATTTGATGACTTGGTAATATTCGTCACTTCCAAATGGTGGGAGTGGTGTGGGAGCTCGATATGCAGTCCAGTGGTGGCCGTGATCTTTGAAATACTGACTCGGTTCGGAAGAGTCTTCTGTAGGAAAGTCATATCTTACGGGGTGGGAATGGTATTCATTTCTAAACTGACTACTACAAGGAATATTATGCGGGTCGACATGATGTTGATTCTGCTGTTGCTGTTGTGGATGATGATATTGTTGCTGTTGAAATTGTGAAGTAGCTGCTGGTACAGCAGGAGGAGAATCTTGAGATTGTCCAAACAAGGTAGATCTGATTCTAGAGAGTTTCGACGCGATGGAATCATCTCGTTGTATTCGCTTCTTTTTGGGAGATTGAGATCCTGAAGCTGGTTCGCTGGATTGATGCCGACTTGATGCTGGTCTGATTACTGGAATCTATATAAAATATTACAAATAAAAGTGTGTATTTAGAATTTAAGTAACAATTATTATGATTTGACTGTCATTATTAGGTTTCTGTACCGGTTTTCGATGCTTATCACTGGATGGGATAGGTTTCATCACTAGTGGCGTTTGAGATTCATCACTAGAAGCATCACTAGAACTGTGTTCCGGTCTTTCCATTTGGGCAGCAAAGCTCCTCGAAACCTTTCTCTCTTTTGCGGGTGACTTTGAGGAGCGTTGCTGATGCTGGTGTAACTTGCTATTATAATCCTTTGCACCCAAACTTCTCGACTTTATAGGCGACGATCCACACATGGTCACACTTTCCGAAAAGGAGAGATTTTTAGATAACGACGAATTTGGCGTTGCTCGATTTCTGCGACTTGGAGATTTTGCTGCTCCAGGTATGCAAATTGGTTCCGAAGTAGCTGCCACTGATCCAAAATGGCCTGAATTATTTGCATGTATCACATGATGCAAGGATTCATTAACGACGGAAAATTTTGCCTCGGCTTCACTCAATTTCCGAACTATGGAAGGAGAATCAGGAAGCTCTGCAGTAATATTACTAGAGGTTCCCATAACGTAAAGAACATCCGTTTCATCCTGAGATAAGTATGCCTTTGAGGATTTGCGTCGCTCGTACTGCTGTGGTTCTGAAATTGAGGAAACATTCAGTTTTAAATTGTTGCAGTGATGTACACAATAATAATTCATATAAAATCAAACAAATATTTACCGGGTTCTGAATTAATTGGACTGAGCGTACACGACGAATCTTCGCCTTCTCCAGCGCGGGCGTCATCTCGTGCTTCGTCGTTTAATCCTTCAAGCGCCCCACAGATCATTAGTTCTTCCATCGTAACCTAGTCATTATATAAAATTCGGTTAATCTCTGCCTCGCTTGTGACGTAGTACATATTTTATCTCTGATAACGGAGGATTATACATAATTGCGTGGATTGGTGAAGAACGAGGGGACGTGATAAGGATATAAATTGGGATGATCCAATTTGCAGAGATACGATATAGGCATATTTACTACTTATAAGTGCTTAGTTGGTATTATTCTGTCATGTTAGTGTCATGCATCACAATATTGTTTTTGTTTTCAGTCAAGACAATCACATTTTGTTCAGGTATTTAAATTCATCACAAGAAAATAAAAATACAAGTTACGTATTGACAGTAGCATGCACAAAGTTTCATCGAGGTAGTTTATTTTATCGCACGAATAAGAATGTAGAAAAATATGTATTAGTGTTAGTACGAGGAACACGAAGAAGGTTGATTGTCACAATCGCCTTGCTTGAGATTTACAGGAAGAGGTTAATAAATTATATATGTGTAGGAGCTTGTTATGGTTGAGTAATGGTTATGATAGGAGTTTCGTTCTCATTAGTGTCATCCGATTCAGAGGACAAATCAAGATCAGGGTAGTTGGCTTTTATTAGCCGTACCTGTTTTTCTAAAACATTCGGTCGTAACTGTTGCTGTTGTTGCTGCTGCTGGCCGGTTGGTGGTTTTTTCGAGTCGACGATATCAATTGGGGATTTGTTCACTGAAAATTTGAAAATGGTTGCATTAGTGTTGACCATTTTCTGTGTAAATTTTAGTATATGTATGCACATGCCTTGGCCTCTGTCAATCGGACTTCCAGGAGATGTCACGCTTATCCGAACCATGTCTTTCCCTCCTTGATTATTATTCGCCACATTGTCATCGTTGGACTTGTCCTGAAAAATATTCTTGTGTTCGCTGTCCCGCAGTAGAACCACGGCTGCTTTAAACATTTCCCAATCACCAAAAGTCATTTGTAGCACCTACAGATAAAAAACCAAAAGACATTTATGTTCAACTTTTTCAGTGCTTAATTAATAAAAAATTTGCTATAATAAGTACCAATTTCAATTCTTGTAAATCACAACTTAGAAGAACACGGCCATTTATATTGTTCCTGTGAATTTTTAAATGGGTCAAGGAAATATGTATGCATGAATATCACACCTTTTGAACATACCTACGGACAGTTTCTTGGTATTTGGTCAACTGACTAGATTTGATTCCTGTTAAAGCTATCAAAAGATCACAGACACCTTCAACTGCCATGCTTGACAGTTTTTTGCTTCGAAGATCCCTCTGAAATACATCAATTATTTTAAATCAAACAAGAAAATAAATAAGTTCGTGTGGTTAGGTTTCATACAGCAAGAATTGGGTCAATGATACTACTCGACGAATCCGGTATTGCCGGTGGTGCCCCCAGTTGTCCACCCATATACATTTGCTGTGGCATTCCTGGAGGATACCACATGTTTTGTTGATAAGCCATATTGGGAAATCCAGGAAATAATTGTGGTGGGTATCCATTTGGCATTGCAAGTCCTGGCTGATTGGGTTGGCGTTGAGGACCACCTCGATATCGCAGAGCGGGCGATGGCTGTGGAGGCGGATGACCTCCTCCTGCTCCTTGTCCATATTGGGGTTGAGGTTGGAGAAAAGATCCATGCGAAGGCTGATCAGGAGCTGGTTGTTGCAGATTTGTGGTTGATTTGAATAATTGGTCGACAGGTTGATATTGTTCTGTGATATCTTTCCTGAGTTGTGGGTCCAGGGATATTGTAAATGGTAGAAAAACGTATAATGTAGAAACCAATAGAGATCCTGTAAGGAAACCAATCAATATTGCGTTCAATAAAGCAATGTCTTCATTTGTACCCTTATGCATTCCAAGATAAATCCCAAGTTTTTTTTCGTCGCGATCCAAAGTCACGTTTGCATCGACATCTTTTGAAGTTGGAACAAACTGTCGAACACTAGAATATGTAGAAGCAAAATGAATAAGTAGTGGACACAATTAAATGATACTAAAAATTATTAGTATTACCGTTCGTAAACACTTTTTAAGCTCATCCCGTCATCCAAGTCTTTTTGAAAATGCTCACAGTAAATGATAATCCACGAGAGTCTGTAGGGCCACTGTTCAGTCACATTTACCCAGGCAGATAAGTGGTACCAATTAAAATCGATGGAAAAGCATTTCAATAATCGACCGGTGATATGGATTATATTCATTAATCGTCGCATAGATCGTGGATTGACGTCAGAAAAATAATCATCTCCCAATAACATCTTTTTCAAGTCGCTTGGTCCTCCGATAATCGGCATCCCAGACGTTACTTTGTTCAAGTTGCTTCCTAAACTACTTGCTATACTCTCACTCATCTGGAGAAAAAAATATTGTAATTTATCGACTGACTGCTACATATTATCATGTTCATCTATATCTGCATTTGTGCTTACTTTCAGTCCTAAACGCTTTGGTTTTTTGGAAGAAGCCTTTTCAAATTTTGTATCTAATCCTAATGGTATCCCAAATCCAGATTCAACAGAGGGGCGTCGGGTTGAGAGCTACATAGAATTAAGAAATATGTACTCACATTGCATTACAATACTTTATCTATAATCTTGAGCGGAGTTCAGTCAACATACAATAATTTTGGGACCAGGATCATCCTCAAGTCTGCTATTTCTCTTCATAGAACTCTCCAGCATTTTCACGTGTTTCACTTTTCTCAAGGCAGCATTTTGTAAGAAGAATGGCAAATGAACCAAATTTCGCAAAAATTCTGCAAATAAAATCCATAATATACCACATATGTAGGCAGATATAAAATATGGTAGCCTCATGACGTATGACATACGAATTCGAAACTTACCATGCCCTCCAATATTGGACTCATTGAGGACTGGGTTGATATTCATTTCGATCCCCTAAAGCATTATATTAGGAAATTAGTTTGTTGAATATAAAGTATTTTGATAACTAAAAGTCTTAAACATGAGGGTAAATAATTTAAAAATTAGTTTCCAAATACCTGGACTTTTGTGTTATATGCATATCGACTACGCAAAATCTTAGCAGCATGAATTAATGTAATTAAAATTGAAGTGCCGAAGAAATTCAATTCGGAGAGGAGAATCGGAATCAAGGTTGAACATTTGAGCATTTGTAAATAAAATATCAATTTAACCAACCAATTACCTTTGTAATAATGTGTGGATCAATCGCGAGCAATATTACGAAGGGCGCCTTTACATCTGAGAACAATATGTGGACGGCGTCAAGAACCTGGAGAACTTTTTCTTGCTCTGCGCTATCCAAGCCGTCGACAATGACCACCATTCTAGTCTGTCTGGATTGAAAAGCATCCAAGCAGTGAATCTGTAATTGGACATGTCATTGTAGTTTACCAAATTTATAACTATATATGTGTAATGCTTAATTGATAATTAATTAGACATACCATGTCCGTCATGAGATTAACTTCAGCCTTTAAAGCGTTTAAAAATCCTTCAGCTTTTATCGTATACAACTTTGAAACGGTTCGCTGCAAGTGTCTCCGATGTGAGAACACTACAGCTTTCAGGACCTAGATATTCATAAGTTAATTATATCTGTTTAAATAGTTGTAATGTATTACGCACCTGCCCAACTGTATAAAGATTAGCGACCAGTAACAGCCCAACTATGAGGGCACAAACGTACATCACTACGGATAAGCTCGTTGTATAACCCCTAAAATGAACATGAAACATAATGCAATTTGATTCTTCACATGTATCTAGTTAATGCTGATGGAATCCTGACTTACTCTGGACCCATTCCTGTGAGGTGCAACGCAAGGACAACAATTGCAACTAAAGTGCAGACGAAACAAAATAAAAAGATCACACAATATGGAATGCAGCACAGCTTTCTCCATTTCCAGTCGGCAGTCGCAGCCACTAAAATAATAATTCATTGATAATATTTCACCAGGAAGTGTTTTTACACACAAATAGTTACCTGGTGTGGGTCGAAAAGCTCTATAAAGACGAGAACTCATTACACCGTAGTCATTCTCAATGCAGGTATATCTGCAAATACATACATACAAATGTCATGAAAGAGCTTATTTTTGATTAATTCATATGTGTAAGCAATAAGCTTACAATGAGCCAAGCATTTGGACCACTGAATTTTCTCCACCGGTTGTACTTGATATTTTGGTTTGATCCGTAAAATAAAAACTGCATAAAGTAACAGAGTAAAATATTTTAGACGTGCAGCATTTTACAAATTGTATGTATTTGTAATCCAATTACTTGATCGGTTGAGCTTGTAGTTGATCCGCAGACTGTGCTCCTGGAGGGTGGCAAAATATCACTTGACAAACAAGTTGCAATGCTTCTGACTTAGTTGCAAGATAACTGGACATTCGATTTGACCAGGACCAATCATATCTACAAGAAAAGAGTGTTACGATATTTCAACGTTTATATTATGCAGTAACCATCAGAACTTCATATATCATACTTGGAACGTCGACTAGAAAACCAAACACAGAACAGGAACGCGTGTACAAAAAACGTAACTCCGGCTGCAAACCCCACGCCTACGATCCAGTTTTGTAAAGCCAAGCCGGCAATGACCCCCACGACAGAGGCGAAGCAAAGGACGATTATCAAAATGAGAACATTCCACGAAAATATTGGATTCAGCCATTGTCGCGCGAATGACTTCATCTCCTCTGAAATATACCATCAATTTAATTGTAAAAAGGCTTGCATGTTGGCAATAATAAGTTTTCATTACCTCGAAGCTTGCCCAAAAGAAAGGACTTGCCACTTCCCCATCTAGCAAACAAGCCAACCGTGATAGGCATATTTAATGTCGGATCGGAGAGCATGTCGGCTAATGCGCTACTGTATAAATTATATCCCAAGAGATTTTCGCCATCTTCTTGAGTATTCAGCCCACCTAAAAATACAAGCAGATAAATTGCAAATATTTATAAAACGTGACAAATTTTGTAAACATACGTGATCCGAAAATCTGTGGAATAATTGGTTTCGGTGATGCTCTGTCAATATTGTAAGGGGTTTCTCCGGCACGATTGGGTCGATACAGAAGCTGACTATGGGCTGGATTACGGAGTAATAGTTCTACAATTTGCTTAGATCTTGCTCTGGAAATGCATAATTTATGGAAATTAAGCAATTAGTATTACTAAAAAACAGTATAAGTTAAAAATACCTCATTGCTATGTGTAGACAAGTATCTCCATTTTTATCTGCGACAGACACTTTGGCTCGTTTATCCAATAGAAGGGAAACTGGAAAAAGATTTGTCAATAAGTTACAATTAAAAACAATGCGAAAAAAGTAATAAATGACCCACCAATATCTATATTTCTATTCCGAACGGCTTTCATCAATGGAGAATCACCATCCTAAACAACATAAAAAGTAGCGTGAATTCTAATGATATCAACATTTGAATTATTCGTATTCAAAAATAAAATACTTTAGTAGACACTTCAAGATCTGGCTGACAAGAAAGAATAAGTTTAACGACAGGAATATGAGATTTTTCTACGCTCCAATATAACGCAGTTTTTCGATCCTGTAATTTTCCAAAATTATAATTAATTAGATGTGCCAGCAAAAAAACTTTAACTTTAGAGAGAGACAGATTAAAATAAATTACTTTTCCTTGCATGTTCACATCGGCATGTTTTTTTAACAAAGCTTCCACGATAGATCTATGCCCTCCTTTCGCTGCATGAATTAAATTCGATGTACCTCCTCTGTCCTAAAAAGGTTGGAAAATTAAAATTGTCATATCCAACGTTCCATTTCATTCCAAACGGCAGCCAGCAAAATTGTATTTATCAAAAACTCACGTTAATATTAATATAGGCTCCGTGATTAATTAATGAGACAGCAATTTCGTGAAACCCTGATTTGCTTGCTATCGTCAGTGCAGAACAGCCATCTTTATCCAATGCATTAACATTCGGTTTATGCTCCAGGATGGCTTTAACAACTTCGACATGGTTTCCAGCCGCTGCGACGAGAAGTGGAGTCTGGAATATGGTCAGAAAATGAGTTTAAGATTTTTTTACATCATTTGCAGGACGATTTGGCCATTGCTTAAAACTTAAGACTGATGTCCATACCCACGAAGTCATCCCGCAAGCGTCCACATTGGCCTCCAAGTTGAGAAGCATATCAACAATTTCGATGTAGCCTTTTCTTGCAGCCCAAATCAATGGCGTTGTCCCATACTTGTCGCCCACGTTAACTTTGGCACCCCGCGCTAAAAGATCTTTGACGATTTCGGTGTGACCCCTCCCAGCCGCCCAGCCGAGACATGTAACACTGTAACTCCCGTACATGTTGACATCCGCTCCCTTTTCTATCAAAAGCTTTGCTGATTTCGTGCGACCCTTGTAGCACGCCCACATTAATGGAGTCCATCCTCCCTGATCAATTACACCCAATATAAGCCAATTGCTGCATTATCATCACTGCTTCATATAAATAAATGTCTTTACAATGTCCTTGTGATCTAGCCCAGCACCATGATCAATCAAATCTGCTACGATTTCATCAAAACCTTCTCGTGCTGCAAACAGCAGCGGCGTCCAATTGTCCTATTAAACCGATGTTATTATAAAATTGAGATAATACCAACTTTCTACTAGATAACGAATTGTCATTAACTTACGACATCTTCAGCATTGATGTCAGCACCATGTTCTAGCAAGGCACGTACGAAATTTAGCTTCCCCTTTGCTGTTGCAACCATAAGAGCTGTCGACCCATTCTAACCCGCAGAAAAAAATGTTTATGATAACATCGCAATATTAATGAATTGATTGCGACGTTAATTACACGAACCTCATCGCGATCGTCTACCGCCACGCGCCGCGACTCTAAGAGATGATGAAGGCCGGAATAGTTATCTTCGACAATGAAAGACACGAGCGCCCGATTTGTTAATGACACCATCGATTCCGCAAGAATTAGTCCTTGCTGGAATAACGGCGATTAAAAGTATAAAACAATTATTAGATAAATTTTGATTGCGTATATAGTCGATTCGATTTGTCATTAGTTAATTGTCAAACAATTTTTTAATAGAATAGGTAATATGCATATTAATTAACAACTTAATCGGCAGAATTAGAATTAATACCAATTTTTTGATAGCAACAAGAGTCACACACAACTGTCAAAGTGCCACACGAACCAATTCACAAGTTGATTAAAGCAAACTTGTGTTATATATGTTAATTAAACATTGTTTAAGGATATTTTACAAACTCATTTCGCAGTATTTTATTAATAATATCACTAATTAATTGTAGAAAATGTCCAGCTGGAATAAACAACAAACAATGTGTAGTACACATGCAAATTGCAAATTGCAAAACTATGATATTCGTACGTAACAAAATTCCAAATTCATGCAACGGCGTGAAAATGCAGCAAAAGATGAACATGAATGTAGTCTCATCAACTTTTTGTTCAACACATTACACTAATTATTAAGCTATTTAATTACACACTCCAAAAACCTCCCCACAATAATTTCCGTACCGCCGATAACTGTGACGCTCTTCGGAAATAAGGTCGAAAAAAGTTGAGAGCTGAGGAGTAATGGTGGCCCTGCATGAGAACGGGGGCCGTGTGGATATTGTCCGGAATGAGACAAGTCGGTGAGGACAACATCCTCGGTCTGGCTGCCCTACCACCAACACCACCACGACCGGAAGTTGAAGATGCTTCGATAAGACCTGTGTGAGGACGTGCATCGAAAACTAATCCCGGAAATTGGGCAGGAGAATCCCCCTTTGGCGAATTTTTTGGCGACTTCAAATTTTTTATCCCTGTCAGTAAACGCCCATCCAGTGAAGCCAGGGATGCCGCTGGTAGAAGGGCGGAGACCACCCCCATCGGAGGGGAGGCTGGCATGGGTGGTGGTGTCGGCGGGGGTGGAATTTCTGCTGTTGGCGACGTTTCTGGAGATTTTGTGATTTCAGCCGTATTTTTCTTACTACACGGTTTGTTAAGCTTGTGCCGAATCAGGATCTCTTTAACCTCTTCGAGAGTTAATTCTGGGAGAAGATTTTCATTTTGTGCGGCATTATTATTATTTCCACCTTTCGCGTACAGATCAGAATAGCTCTTTGATCTTTGACGTTTTGGGGGAGCCAACATCCCCTTTTTTTGGAGGCTCATCGGATGGAGGAAGAGGTGTTTAGGCGACCATTTCTTACTGCTGGTATCACTGCTATTGTCGTCATCTTGCAGAACGAGGACTTCCTCTGATTTGGTTATCAAACATTGATTATCAGGCTCAGCAGCGTCACTAGTATTTTCTTGACCGGAGGACGAATCCTTGGGCGATTCCTCGGCAATACTATAATTCGAAGTGGAAGATTCTCCACATTCGTAACCACCAAATGAGGACACGCTTCGTTCCAATCTTCTCGGGTTTTTTCTCGGTTTGATGATATCCCCCTCTTCCAAACTGGTGGTTAAAGTTACGTTCGCTGTGCTGGGATTTTCAGAAGGCGAATTTATTTGAATTGAGGGGATGGGGACGGACGGGGTGCGATAGTGACCTCGGGCGAAGGTGGAAGCGTCCGATTTTGGGGGAGAGGATGGCGGCGAGTGGGTAAAAAATTCCCACCAGGAAGACGCCCTGGGTCTAGAGTGACCACTTCGTGAGGATGATGCGGGAGCGTCCAGGCTTGGCGATGGAGATCTTGTGGGGGCCGACATGACTGGAGAGGGGGCATTGGACTACTTTAAATGGGGAGGAGGTATCAAGTAAAGTAGAAAATATAGAGGTAGAAAATCTCAATCTACGATTTCCTGGAAATTATGCAATGCGTGCATCTGCTTTACGTTATGAATTTGCTAAAATTTATGCCATATTTCAAAATACCAAGATCTATCCGAAAGACCAAGAAATTACCCACGAACTATGAAACAAAAAAATATAATAATTGGAATTACAGGAATCCCTGGGAAAATCAAGGAGCTCGTGCGAATGTTATCTTCCAGTTCGAGTCGAAAATCGGGCTGAATAAATTATTAAACCAAATAATTAATTAAAATGATTCCATTACTGACTGATTAAGGAAGGTTTGATAAATTGAATCCTAACTCACGTTCAGCATGATGAATTTTTATAACTAACTTATCATATGAAATGTACTAATTTAAAATTGAAATAAAAATCTCAAAAACTTTTCGCAAAATTGACCCAATGTAGAGTTATGTATTACGTTAAAAAACGCTTTCGCAACAAGATATTCGCAATCCGCATATCAGACGCACACTAAAAACCTAAATGGGTGGTGGATTGACAAAAGACAATAAAACTTAATTTACATGCCACCCCAAGTAAACATCTCACTCGTAATCCAGTAGTGATTCAGTAATCAAATCAATCATAAACTGCATCATCATGAGATAAAAAAACGTAATAAAACACACAAATAACGCTGCCCTTCTGTTCAAAAAGATTATATATTAATGGGACCACCGTCAGCATATTCAGTGCCAAATATAAATACGTATTTCCGATTTCCAGTCAATCATCCTCTCTGTGTGTCAATTGTTTAGTACACGAACAATCATAATTGTTTAGAAGAATTCGACTAAATTCATTCACAACTTCGTAACAGGAATTGATATTGATTTGACATGTCAAAAATGTTGATGTGGAGTCAAAAAACTTCCGATTAAATCTATTTACATACATTGCAAATTTCTTGGCTTAGATGGTTTTTCGTAATTTTTGTGTGAAAAAGTGGTGCAAATTGGACTCCATCGGGTTAGTAAAACGAAACGAGTAAAAAACGAGTAAAAAACGATGTAGGTAATTAGGATTATGGAAATTTAGTGCAAAACGGGGAAACTTTTGCATTTTGTCAAAAAATTTCGAATGCTATTTATCTGCCATAAATTATCAAGACATGTGTAGAAAAAGACGAAAAAATTATCGCAAAAAGTAAAGCATAAATTAAAATCAGAAAGCCTTTTTTATCCTACCTGGACCTGGGCATCCAAAACACTTGCTTAATATCGGTATTACCCCAATTTGTACTTTGTTTTTTTAGTTGTCACTTCACAATTACACAATCCATCAAAAATCAGGAAGATTAGGTAATAAAAAATAGCCAGCTCTACATTATCGCATAATGTTCACCCACAAGTTACCACTTTTCCTTGTACACAAATTAGTACATTCAGTACGAACCGAATTACTTACATGACTCACTAAATACGATCACAACTTATGATTCACAAGTGCTGAACCAATTTGCTCAACCAAATCGCTATACCAGTTAAGCGATAATTGAAACGAGACGAAAAGTCTTCCCATAATTTTTGACACCTTATTGCTTGCTGATAAGAACCAGACAACTGAACTTCATTCATTTAAAAAGACTTAAAAAATCAATCCGTTAAACACAATTTCGGTCTTATCTTTGTATCCGTCTGGTGGAGAATGATCCATTTTTTCCTTCTTGGTGTGCTCCACCAGCCGAATAATAAGTAGTGTGCTTGCTAATTGCTTAAAAAAATGAGACTGGAACTGATCTGATCAGAGACTAGATTTCGTTTCGTTGTGCTTTGTCTGCATGCATTAATTTGTTTAATATTTATTATTTAAAGAGTTTGGGTAATAAATTTTAGGCGATGGGAGAACTTGCTTAAATTTGGTTAGCACTGAATCATAAATATTAAATATGTACGGGCAGAGTTTTTATCACGCTTTTAAATATTTTGCACATTATTATACATAAATAAGCACAGAAGAGTCACATTTCCTCACTGGAATTATTGGTGTGTTGCTTATCGTAAAATTAAATAAATCGGAACAAGAACAAACACATGCTCACAAAGTTTAGTTTAATAACTTGCATATGTACGCATTGGTATCATTAATTAATTACGGATACAACTGAAGTACAGATAATTCGTTGTATATGCAAACTTGTGAATTTGTTTAGGATACATTTCATTGTAATGAAATGGAACTCTGGATGTGATTTTAGGCAATGAAATAATTTAGTATTCTAAACAACTTCGTCTGTGTAATTGTACATGTTTTTCTAGCAGTGTAACGGATTAGGAGCTTTAAATTTAAGAGTTTTTTTTGTTATATAAACGAAATGATAAGTTAGTAAACCGGGCTGGATTTATTTATTTACAGTTCCAGCATTATTTTAACTTTAAGTTGGACAAAATTTATTTGACAACTGGAGAAGAATGACTACTACACGACATATCTCCAGTTTCCTACTACTAACTAAAACTACTTACTAGTCGGCGAATTTCAGATACTGACGACTGAACCAACTGAATGGGACAACTTTGTCAAATCTGCATTACAATGCGGACAATAAATCGATAAGTGCCAATACCAAACAAGCCATATTACATGCATACTTGCAAAATGAACCTTGATTTTCGTTACATGTTCCATTTAATATGTAATGTCAGACACAAAACGCATGCAATTATGCCATCACATTATTATACACATTACATTACATACACATTGAGGATCAATTTGCAAAACGATGAGTGCAAGTAAAATGGCATGCACAAAGTTAAAGCTGAACTAGACCATATTTTCTGGCCATTGTAATATGTAATGGAGTCGGTGAAATGAAAATGCATAAGTAAAATGTTACGATAAATGCACTATTGTGAAGTATTGTGTAGTCTACGGGCAGTCGGGCCATGTTGTGTCTATTATATAAATTCCTTAGCTTGCAAATATTTTTGCACATCTTTTTTCCTCTTGCTAAATGCCATGATGTTAAATATCACTAAAATGCATCCACCACCATGCACGCATCAACGCTTTCAACCATTTTAGTCGTACATTATATATCGTCTTAAAAGTTACTGGAAAGCGGAAATTCGTTCAGTTTAGCAAGTGCAAATGTATTCTGCAATATGCAGCATGGTCAAAAATATGTAACATTAGACCGTCTTTCCTTGACTCATCATGCCAAGTGAATTACATTCCTGTGAATTCGATGCGAAAATATTATTCATTCTCATTTCTCATGTTTTCATATCAATAATGTGCAATAAGTATTTAATGGGTTTAACTTTATTATGCAGCACCCAGCAATTCGCACGTATGTACTCGTTGCATAAATGCAATTGGCAAACAATAATAAAAAAATGTTATAATTTATTACCTCACCTTATAATAAAGTTAATGTTTCATGTCGTCATGTCCAGCTCCATTCAGGCGTAAATTTTCCTAGGAATATATGTACATATATGCATTATTTTTTAACACTGACACTGACACTGTATCACAATCCAGACATTTATCAATCAAAGCACAAACACCGCCCGTCCAATTAAGTCTAATAAATTATTACAAGATTCACGATAAGCGTGGGGTCGACAGGGTCAGATTCAGATCCACGTTGTGTAATGTTTAATAAAGATAAGGTGTAAACAAAGGTAGGTGAATCAGTATTTAGTGTGAAATTTAACCGGTGTTATAATTTGATAAAACTTCTGTTTTTACATAAAACTTTGGTAATTGTTATAAAATCTGTGTATAAATTGTAAATTCTTGGAAAATTTTAACCGGAGGAGCGACCACTTAAAATACAGATTTTTCGGCAAGTCTCTAATGACCAAATGGTGCAATGTTGGCTGGACTGGTGGACCGGACTGGATCATCTCCTCGTCTCATGAAAGATGAAAAGTCGCTTTAAATGCATCCCTAGATTTTTTGCCATAATTAAGTTCATAGACTTCCAACAGGTGTTACAATACAAAGAAGACCAGCGAACATTGCGATATTGGTTTCACAAGTTCTCGATCTCATCTCATGTCAAAATCTGACTTTAACACTTTTATGTTCATGGAATCTATGCAGGTAAAAAAAGGTGCTGCTGAACCAGATCATGTTCACCATGGGCAAAACTAATACATAAATTGAGAGCAAGACTGTTGTACATTTCTTAAATGAGACTCACCTTAAAATTTCCTTTGTTGCATTGCAGACTGGAATATCCCCTCCGGTCTGGGTCGTAATTTATACGTGGATTTTACAATGTAATGAAAAATGAAGAGCAGTCTTGTTGGTTTGCCAATTTGTGTGCAATTTTATTATTGTCAACTACACGATTTCTTTTTTATTATATGGCAGGATTCTTCAAAATGTTATGTAACGTAATTTGCAAAATTCAGTCAGATTATGCGCAAGCGAAGTTGTCCCTATCAAACCAACTCGTACGACTAAAAGGATAATTTCGCAATTTTATAACACACACAACCAACCAGGATGATTTTGCAGCAAGTGAGATTTTTGCAAGTGGGGTTGAAAAACACCCGCCCGCGGTGGTCTTACCCGACTTCTGATGCCCGAATCGGATTCGGAACATGAGCATTTTTGCAATATGCCAAAAGATGGGTATATTTGATAGTCAAGTAGGAACTGGAATTTACTGACTGGACGGAAGAGAAAGTCTGGTAGTTGAAGTTGAATAGTTATCAATTCAGCAAATTTGCACATAGAACACAAAATTGTCTCTTATCTTTAACTTTATTTAAGTAATTACAGAGTTATATACAAAGAAATAATGATCAAGGAATCCAACTTTTATTGTAACCTCATAACCTGACCATTCTCTTTCTCGTTGTTGTCCTCATCATTAATTTCTGTAATTGTCGCTCTCGGGTCATACTCGTATAAGCGTTTGTGCAAGTGGCAAATCTGATCGAGAAATCCTGCATAAATAAATAAATATACAATTAAATTTATATCCCAACAAACAAATAAACACATTAAATATTTACCTTCGTTAGGATGAATCAACCTTTTTGAGCTAAAAATGAATTTACAAGTTTTTCTCCGTTCAAAATTTTCAACTTTCACTTGGTGAAATATTTACTATTTATTGTTGTAATCGCTTACCGGACATGTGTCAGTGCCTGTGGGGCTGTCATGTTCTGTCTGAGCATTAAGTACGCCAAGACCAAAGTGGCGGACCTCGAAACTCCCATAAAACAATGCACCAGGACTTTCCCTAAATTCATTAATTTCATAATTTTACGTAAGAATTAAATCACTTTTCCAATTTATTTATTTTATACCATTATTCTCAACGGCCGAATGGATAAAATCTGTCGCTTTGTCGAAATATTGGCTGATTTTGAACCCTGAAATATCCACTGCTGGCAACCCGAGAAATTGACACTCGAAACCACGACGCTGATAAAATTCTTCACTGGTCCCGACCCCAAGTGCGGAAAAGGTTGGTTTCGTTGTGTATGAACTATTGACGACATGTGTTACACCAAGTTTTTTCAATTTCTCTGCATTTTTTGCAGCGTCCCTACAAATTATCATAATTTTTAAAATTGCAATTTGATTGTGAAAATACACACAACATATTTCCAATGTGCTTACACCCCACCGAGGAATATGCCAGGAAATACCTCATCCATATCATTCCACGACATTCTGTGCAATTCACCTAATTAATTTCAGAAATAAATTACAAGTTAACACCGACATCTCTGCAAATATTTAACCCTTTTTTGTACCCTCACTCACCGGTTAAAAGTTGGCGCAGCGTTGTCTTTAAGTTATCGTACCGAGTTAACTCCATAATGATAATTTAAACAATAAAATAGTTGCAGAGCCAAAAACTTGATGATTTAAACTGGAAATCAAAAATTGGAATATCACCATATCACATTTATACTAAAGTAATACGTATGACTCATCCCTATTATTACCCACTTTTATAAATAAAACTCTTACATAACAACCACACACTAATGGAACTACCAGGGACCATAATGAGAAGAACACACAAAATTGACGCACTTTTGACAAGCTATTGACCCAGTCAACAAACAAGGCGATGATTAATGTATGAAGAACAAATCAACCTTCTACATAAACTAAGGTTAAGATGAATCCTTATTAACTGATTCTACTAAATACTCCAGCGAAAGTACATAAAGCGTAGAAAGAAACAGACAAAATGACATCATATGAATGAACCAAACAACTTTTATCCCTTATGAATCTAACTAAACCCAAGCCTGCAAACATAGTGTAAGTAGCATATTGGTCATATTCTGTAATGCATTTTGCTATCCTATGTACAACATGCATACATATTACGGATGTCTATGTATATGCTCTGCCGTGTTTTTGATTGCGTGTTGTTAGGTTAGGTTCATCAGTTCTAAAATTATACCAAGTTTGTCTCACTTGGCTTTTTTAATATGTGAGCATCACTTGCACATTTCACTCACTACTCTTAATTCGAATACGAATATATGTATATGTATGTTCACCTTCACAGTTTTTTGGGTCATGACAATGAAACAGTTCGAGAATTTATTGTGACAAAGTTAAGTTAAGACGCAGTTTTCTCTGCTAAATAAAAATTACAAAATAGTTTGAAAAAATGTTACGTATTAAATTAAGAAAGTTGATGTAAAAATGTAATCTTTTTAAATATTTTGCACATTGCGGTCATGTTCATCTTTTCGTAATTTTAAAACTGAGCCCATTCATCGGTCTGATCACTAAATCCAAGTCCAGCTTGATCGATTCCCTGGTATCGGTAGTCGTAAAAGTGTAGCTTCTCAACAAATAGCTGAGAATTACTTTGGCTTCATTCATCCCAAACTTTTGTCCGATACAGTTCCGTGGACCCAAGGAAAATGGAATGTATGCGAAAGGATGCCGATTATGACAATTTTCAGCGAGGAATCTTTCCGGTTGAAATTCTTTCGGGTCTTGAAAGTAGTCTGGATCTTTGTGTAGGGCGTACGGCATGATTACCACGTTCGTTCCGGAGGGTATTGTACGAGTTTCGTCTGAATAAATGAAAGAAATTGTGAGTATCATACGTGTGTTTTTTTAGTTTTGGAAGGAACTGTATAGATTTTCAGTGTTTCAAGCGTCCAAAACTGTCCAACAACGTCCAAAATTAGAAAATGGGGCAAAATGTGACAAGTTAAAGATTTTATTGCAAATCAATTTTGATCATTTTGGTGTGTAATAATACATCCCATGAAATTTAGAAAAACTTTTGGTTTAGCATGTTTTCTTATGAGAAATTAAGAAATTTTCTAAACCATGACGTGTTACACACCAAAATGCTCAAAATTAGTGGGACATTACATATCCTTGCATGTATATATTTGCAAAGAAAATCGTTGATAAAGAACTTGCAACAATTTGCCCCATTTATATTTTGAACACTTTTGGACATTTTCGACGTCCATAATGATTAAAACCAGAGATTTGTAAATATTTAGAATCATTTACCGCATTTGATGTCTTCTGCAACCTTTCTAAAGTTGAATGGGACGAGAGGATAAATTCTCAGAGCTTCCTTCATGCACAAACTCAAATGTGTCATTTTAGACAAATCCAGAGAAGTCACTTGTTTGGTTTCGTCATTTTCAAATAAGAGATCGAGTTCATTTTGCACTTTTTGCTAATAAAGAAACATTCGGGAATCTGAAAATTTTTGCCACAATGAATTGCAATTTTATTTCTAACATAAATTCACAGCTAGATAACCTGATGCTCGGGATACGTTGCTAACAAGAAGAGAGTCCATCCGACGGTAAATGCTGTGGTATCGTGACCCTAGAGTTTTAAATTCTTAAGCCATTTATTAAAATGTATGCAAAAATCGCTTTATTTAAAAAAAACTCTTCTTACTGCAGCCATAAATGTGTCCACCTCATTTCGAATGTCCAGGTTCGTTAATTCGTGCCCATTGTCACAAAAATCCAGCAAGTAGTCCATGAAGGCCTTTCGAGACTTTTTCCCTTCAATATTATTTTCTTGATCGACAACTTTAATTTGCGAATTGGATTTCCGAAGTTGTCTCTTCTCTTCAATGACCTATATATTATCTCATTTAAAGAGTTTCAGTATCGAAATAATGACAAGTCCTGTGTATTCATGTACCTTTTCTGTGAATCCGTGTAAAATCTTCAAGTACTTCTTTTCCCTGCGGCCGTACGGCGTAAATTTCCATATAAAATCAGGCCTAAGCCAAGGCCGTGTCATACGTGCGACCAAAATGTAATACATTCTACAATATTTTAGGATTAAAAGCGCTATATTACACAATAAAAAGATCTCAAGTAAATAATTACCCCGTCACAGCGTCAATATATTCCTGATTCGTTTCGCCTTCAGTGACAAGCTTTTTTCCCATTGCCGTCTCTAGAAAATATTTAGCACAATCCACTATCAGTCAATTATGAACAAAATTTAACTGATAAATAAGTTAGGTACGAAAACTAACCACAAATTATATTCAGCGTTGTATGCGTCAAGAGAGGAATTATGTTAAACACTTTCCCCGCATCGGAATACATTCTCAAACGATTCTGTAAAAGAGTGCTCTCTTTGTTGAAGATCTCCAAAAATTCGACCAGCACGGAATGGCTGAACGTATGGTTTAAGAGTTTTCTTTGATTTTTCCATTTACTGGCTTTAGTTTATGAAAAATATTGTGATTAAATGCATGGGATAAGCTTTTATCTATTAAATCAACTTTCACCTGTTGCCGTCAATAAGCCCGAACCCCACCAGGGGCGAAATACTTTCATATCATCTCCCTTCAAAATGACGTTGAAAATTTAAAATTTTAATTATACAAAAAATACACCGGTTTCTCGCTACCTTGTCCAAACACAATTTTGATGTCAATATTTTCTGGAGAGAAACAAATCAATTTTTTATAAATTTAATGCACATACAATTTGCATATGAATGTAACACCAACCTCAACAACATTAGCATCCGCAATTAAGACGTATGGTTTATGAAATAGCCAAATCTTGCTCAACTTTCCATACGCATTAATTTGTGTGTCGCAAAATTGAAACAGTTCTAAAATTCGAATGAAATTTCTTTAAAAAAAATAATAAACTTTCCCATAAATGTAAAATTGTGTACCATGATTCTCAATATTTAGTAGGAGTGCACTCCCTAAAAATGGTAAGGTGGGAGGTCCTGGAAAGTTTTCCAAATTTTGAAACTTTTTCTCCCTCTTTTTCATACAACTTAGCACAGACCAGTAACCCAGTCCACAGATGAGACAGAAGATCGATAACCACACAGTTGTGTACGGAATGGAAACAGGGTCAGTGATCAGAACGGGTAAAAACGACCACATCTTTTTGACATTACTTAGGTATTAAGTAATTGATGAGAAAAAATACGAACAATGAAAACCACTGAAGAATTACAACACAATAAATCACAGACTGCACTGCAGGCGGTGTGGACAAGGTCGGCAATAATATATGCTCTCGAGCTAATTGTTTTTATACATAAGGTTCAAATTACTTATCATCATTTTTCACATTTATTAAATAAACCGTCATCACCAACATCGTCGTCATTCATATTTAACAAATAAACAAAAAGAACACAACACAGACTAATAGCCAAGCCCAATTAGTTGGGGAATAACCCTCACCTACAAATTATTAGCTCATTACAGACATACTGGACGACTTGTTGGAAAGACTGGGAATATAGTTTCGCAAGAAATATTTGCATATTAAATTATCACCTAGAAAATTAAATTACAAAAGTTTCCATCACCTTTTGAAGTTTAACTACATCGTAAATACCATTACTCATTTATTTAGCGAGTTGGTGTAAGCATCAACAGAACATCACCACCATTCGTGATGGATGATATCTTACCTTCCTAAGAATTCTAGCATCAAAAAAACGTAAAAGCTTTTAGTATCGGTCCTCGGAACAAAAAGTTGGCATACAAATATTGATTCAAGTTATTAAAGTTTTAATCGGAATTTAATTCAAAAGTTATAAATAATTATTATAAATAACAAGGTATGTAATTAAATTAATAGAAATGCGAAACATGAAGATTTATAAAAAAATTATTTAGCTATTACGAATATGATTTCTTACAATTCTTCGGCTTCTGCCTGAATATTCCAGTATGGCGAAGGACCATTTTTTCTGTCGAGCAGTAGCAGAAAATAGCTGTCATCGTCCCCATAGACTGTTTGCACGTTGGATTTCTGGAAATTTTGAAAATTTTAATTCAACTCGAATTTATACTCGAAATCGTATGGATAAAAATCAGTGTTTCGTTTCTTGCAGGTCAAAATAGCTGCAAGAAACCACTTTCTTGTCGTTATTTCTTGCAAGTGGTAATTGCACTCGAAACACTGATTTCACAAAGATGAACTTACCCAGGTCAAGTATCCATTGTAATATACAGACTTAAATAAAACATATTCGCCCTGATTAACAATGGTAATTTGGAACCGTGTCCCGTTTTCTTTCTTGTTCCCCGTCACAAATAAGCCTTGTTTCGAAAACCCGTAAGAATTGAACCCCTCTTGCAATGTGACCAAGTATTTCTGAAGTTTGTCACTCTTGATGTAAAAAGTCCCGTCGGCCTTGTCCTTATCGTACTCAAAGTGCCAAAGGATTTCGTCTTTATCATAAAATCTTCCATCCTGCGGAACCAGGGTGACCTTTCTGTCCGCCGCGACCCGAAGATAACCTCGCGTAGGAAGTAATAATTTCACCTTGTCGAAAGTTATCAGTTTTATAATTTCGGGAAGTTTTCCCACGATTTCTGCCGTAGTGATGGACGAGTTGTAGTAATTGCCAAGATCGGCTTTCATGGTTTGAGCCAGGTTAAAAATTTCAATAGTGCGTTTGGCATCGGTTAATTGTTTATTCGAGTCCATGTCGGCTAAGAGGGAGCCATAGGCAGCCTCTTTTAGGCGACGGTCGCCATGTCCCACGGCACGATGAACAAAATCGGTCACGGTGGCCAGATTTGCGGCATTTTTGCCGTAAGATTCGTCAATAATTTTGGAAATGTCGCCAGGTAAGGTTTCTTTCAGGTCGTCTGCAATTCTGGTGAAAGTTGATGAATTAATTTATATATAATGTAATTTATTTATGCATTTTAAATAATCTTACGATTCAATCGTTCGCCACTGTTTTATGGCAGCTCCAACGTTTTTATTGCGCAAGTGACGAATAGCAACTTGAAGTGGTTCTTGTTTCTGGTCTCGAATTAGGGTTCGACGTAGCTGGAAGATTTTATCTGAATAAGACCAGATTGAGATACGTAATTTTTATCTAATACAGACCTTCCCATGATCTTCAGTTGCAGATTTTTGTAAACTTCCAACAATTTCTTGCATCTGACGAAATTCGGCGTCATTTGTTTTGATATCCTTTTAAAATCATGTCGCAAATTTACGTTTTTTAGAAGGTAAAAAATACTTTGTAAAAATATTTGTGGTGATTAATTAATTGATACCAATTGAAGTTCGTCCAATACGGAAGCCACTAACTTTTGCCCATCTCTCAATCCATTAAGATCCTCTGCAGCAATGAAAATTTAAGAACGTACGAAAAAATGCTTCGTAATTTTACTAATAATCCTTTGGGGCAAGTTTTACAGATACCTGAAGACTTTATCACAATCTCATTTACTTTAGAATCCAAGTTATTCAAAACTTTTTGCACTTGAGACAGCTACAATTTCAATGAGCAACATATGAATAATCATCATTTAGAAGACGTTTTAGCTCATAAAACTCATTTGTGCAACCTTTGTCGCCAAACTAGACTGGCCTTTATTAAGGAGATCCATTTGTACTTGTAGTTGCTGGATCTCGACTCGGTTAGAATCCATATGCATTTGATGAGTCTTTGAATTAGTCCAGTAAATTAACATAATTAGGTACACATTAAATTGGGCGGAATTACTGATTATTCTTCCTAATTACCTTTTGCAATTGATGCAAATTATCCGAAAAAGTTTGAATGTCCTCTTTCCTTTGGTCAATTATCTGACCGGTCAGAGTCTGAATTCTGCTGTGGGTGGTGGTGTCAAGCGACACTATTTTCACATTTAAATCGACATCCAATTGTTTCAGTTTGCCTCGCAAGTCGTCTTCCAACGTTTTCATTTGGGTTCTCTGCGTTGAAAGAGTCAAAACAAAACGGTATCCATTTTAAGGAACGACTTTTTTAAATCAATATTTCAGCATACGTGACGATTCCCCAAAATATCTCGGAAAGCGAAATACGTTTCTCGCACAGAGTTTTGCAATATGAGGAACAATCTTTCGTCAATCTCTTCGTCAAATTGTGCCTTCACGACGGGAAGGGCAGCAGCTCCACCCTCCATTTCATCTTTATTTTGCTTAAGAGGAATTGGAGTAGTGGGATCGATGACTTCGGAAACTTGTAAATTTTCCGGAATACTTTCCACCATAACCAAAATCACGTCGGGCTGATCTGGAGGTGACGTGGTTGTTTGTGAGGTGGATGGTTCTGGAGAAGTGGTCGGCGGTGGTGGTGGCGTCGTCGTCGTGGGGTCGGGAGTTGTCGTCACTGGAGAAGGCATTTCCTCATCGTCTTCTTCACTCTCTTCGAAACTGGTCTCTTCTTCTTCCTCCTCTTCAGATTCGTCCACCACTTCCGTTATCATCCCGTCCTCGGAAGAAGTTTCTCCAGGAGGGCGAAGGTGATGCGGCTTCAGAATGACTTCGGGATAGTAAGGCGTCCTGTTGACGAAGATTTTCTCCTTGCTGAAATCATTTAATTGTTGGCTATTCTGTGGAAATTTTGTGCGTATATATATAATTCTGAAGCTCTGACCTGGCCAAGTCCTCCATCGAGTAGGGACCAATGTCCAAAAACAGTTCGTCCGACTCCATCTTTCCCCCACTTTTTCCCATCACGGAGGAATAATTGTGCTTGTCCACGGGGATGGAAGTACCTTGGCTAACTTGGGAGAAGACGTTTAGCATTAACACGGCCAAAACGAGGCTAGTTTTCGCCATGCTTAAATGTATGACAAGACAAAGAGATGAATGCTAATTGATTTCGGAAAAGTGTGCCTTCCTTTAGAAAAATATAAATGTTGATGAATACGATGCCATAATAATACGATGCATTTTGATATAACTGCTGATTCACTACTGGAGCAGTGAATGCACTTACGTTTCCTGACTTCAAAATTGGTCTCGACATAATGACACGAGTTAAATAAACAAGGCTCAAATCCTGGGTGTCCAATTATTAATAAAGTTTAATTGTACATACATATGCTGTGAGACTCATAATCTCTCAACTAGGACTTTGCAATGTTTTTCATACATATGCGTGAGTGCAGAGTTGAGTAAAAAAAAAACGAAGCTCAAATCCTGACAGATTGCAGATTTCGAAGCTGATTTTAGCAGTACTTGGGGTTCATTGCATGCATTTAGCACAGGCTGTGATGCCCTGTGTATGAATTCTATGAAATAGAAATGACTTGAGCTTGTCATTTTTAATGAAGACTGATGGACGCCATAACGCGAAGGGGTCTGTGTTACTGTACATACGAGAGTATCAGTAGTGAGTGGGCTCTCATTTTATGTGGCAAGTCTGGATCAGGAAATGTACTTATTTTATGTGCAATTGGAATCAAAACAATAATTATGCAAAAACTTGTCACGGGTCTAGAAATTAGAAAATGGTCAATAAACTGATATCAGAACGGAGAAAGTGGTTGTTTATTTATTCATATCATAAATACGACGCGCGACACGATAGAAAATAGTAATTTTACGTTACTTTCAAATACAAAATCGTCATAAATATACTTTACAAAAATCAGTGAATGAATTAGTGAACGTAGACATTGATCAAAATTATATAGCGCTTGAATTATTGCGTTTTTTAATAATAATTTGTCATATTAAGAACGAGATCAGTATCGGAAACGGTAAAAGGTTATTGCATAACGTCAGTGTACACCACAAACAAGTAAAACCTTAACCTAAGGTAAAGCGAATACTAGGAAGAGGACATGTTGAGGTCTTGCGAATTATAAATTCCAAATACACGTGGGGTGGAAGCCAGAGGGGATAAATTTGCTGAAATTGTTTCCGCCTTTTTGGAAAGTGGAGGTCTACCCGGCCGTCTGCCACGAATTCCTTGGTTTAATGGCCCAATTGGTTTTAGACGTGGACGGCCAGGACCACGTCGCATAGACATATCCCCACCCAAACTTATATCTCGCATTTGTACCCGAACACGGGATGGAGGTCGGCCTCGTCGTTTCCCTGACCCTCTTCCGAGTTTCGGCTTCTTTGGTATGAAAGGGAGATCTTCTTCGTAGTCAGAAGTTGAACCTATGAAAAACATTGCACAATTGGTATATCAATTAAAAACAAACAATGTGTTGCAAGTATATTATTACCATTATTCCACTCTATAGCTCTGGAATAATTGTCAAAGTAATCGTCCGAGTTTGAAGGATTCAATTCAGAAAGATCTTCACCATAAACTGTCACATCAAATTCTAGGTCTTTTAAATCAGAGTCCATGTCCTATGCCAACAAATATAATTCCATTCATTTAAGTACAACCACTAAAAATTTTAAGCAATGTAGCATGCAGATTAAAATTATTATGCTGCTTACATCGCTCTCCTCTTGAGAAGACGGTGACGATTGTTGGCTTTGGAAACTGCCCCCAGAACTACCGGCAGGAGCTTTTAAGCTATCAGTGTCACCGTTAGTAAGATTAACGGCCGGCTGATCTGATTGATCCGAAGCCGACGAAATACCGTTCTGCTTAACGATGGGCTTTTTGTCGGAAGACTTCAATTCTCCAGCCTTCCTATCCACTTGCCGTTGCCGACCTGAAGCCAAAATGTAAACTACATTATTATTCATGTTTAAACATGTAGCAGTCACGTTGCAATTATCAATTACATTTACGGTCAACATCATCCTCGTCAATTAGCAGGGATAGAATTTCTTTTGGTGTCAAGGTCTCAGGTTGATTATCAGGAGTTTCGACTACTTTGGTCTAAATAAAATTATAATGATAGAGTTAAAATTTGCTATAAAAATTCAAATAATTTAAGCATCCATACATCGCTTCTCTGTTTGATTTTTCTTAAAATTCGTTCTTCAATTGTTCCTTTAGAAAACAATTTGTATACAGTTACTTGCTTAGCGTGCCCAGTTTGACCTGTTTGTAATATCAATATAAATGTAGAAACGTTAGATCAACATTAATTATATATGTACAACCCAAAACAAAAAATATTTTACCTAGTCGATCAGCCAAGTCAATCGAATGTTGGTCGATCGTAGAGTTCCAGTCGTTGTCATAAAATATTATCTATACACAAAAAATGAATGGTTAATTAATTAGTAGTTAAAGTTAACTTTTAAAAAACATTATTGTTTGTTACTGTACCGTATCCATCTCGGATAAATTTTGTCCTATGAGTCCAGAGTTAGCTGTCATTGTAGTTAGCAAAATTGCAAACGTGTCCGACTTGCTTAAAATTTCTGACTGATTCTTTTGACCATCCACTCTAATATAAGTCCATTGGCGATATCGGAAATATTCCTAATTCAAGTTATGTACAATTATTAGATCAAATAAATTAATAATCGTGCATAATCGTGTAGTTCAATTCGAACCTCGAGTAAATCCATCATTTTTGGTAGCAGCGAGTAAATGACCACACGACGCCCATTTACTTTTTTTAAGTTCTTTAGTAATCCGTCCAGTATCATCAATTTACCAGAATCAGTAACTAATCTCTCTTTATCTAAATTACAATAATATATATTTTTATACCATTCGGTATATTGGAGGTATGCAAATAGATATGTCGCCCAAGGGGGCGTTGTTCTAACCTGGCATAAGAATATCAGACCAGCCATGAACGTTTCCTAGTCCTAATAAGCCACCGACAACGGGTGGCTCGAAGAAGGATCTAACTTCTAGGCCTTCAGGGTTTCCATACATTATTATGTTCCTGTCTCTGTGCGATAAACATTGTCCAACAGCGGTCTTTATCCACTTGGTAGTGGGTCCATCAGAAATATATGACTGAATTCCACAGCATCTCACCTGAAAAATATGTATAATAGGGTTAGTAAATTATATTCCTGTTTAAAAGTACGCATTAGTTTATACTGCTAATAATATGTTGACATACTTTGGGACACAAATTAAGCAGAAATTTTGGCACACAAAGGGCTTCAAGATCCCACGACGTTTCATCATCAGCAACACGGCAACAAGAGCCATTTGGTATCACATATTCGTATTCCTAGGTAAAAAGTTCAAAATCTTTTATTAGTATTTAAAATACTTAAAAATTAAATAAAATACTTACGACTTTATCATCATCGGTGAGAAGCTCATTGGTTGTCGACATCCTTGACACACTGTTCCACTTATAAAATGACTTCGTATTGGAAGTAAAGACCAGATTTTGTAATGTTTCCGATATTTTTTCTTCGCATGAGGTATAAATTAAAAATTCGGTTGGTTTAAAGTGTAAAGATCCTATCGAATTCAGTCGTTTTCGAATTATACACATCTCTCGTTTAAAGTTGACTAGATCATTCATCCTGAAAAGCGAATGCAAAACAATTGGTTAATATACACAGTTACATATTGCAGGTAATATCACAGTGGTTAGCAAATACCTTTGAATAGTTGTTCCATCACAAATAAACTTGTAAATATCACCCGACCCTAGTCCGGAAAATCTTAGAAACGACCATCCACCAACCGTTTTTTCACCCACATTTGCAATATGGACGTCTTGTATATTATTCTTATGTTTCGATTGATCCCGTCTACGATTAAACCCTTCTCGAAATAAGGAGTAGTGTATATTGTAAGGTTTGAATATATTAAAGCGTTCCTTAAACAAGTGATTCCGGGCATAAAGAGTGGAATCGGGTGCAACATAATCTTGAAATAAAAGTTTTGGTAAAGGGTAGCAAATTGTGTCAAGGAAAAGTGGACTTTTCATGTCCCTCCTTTCGAATAAGTCTGGATGGTTGCAAACCTAAAAGAGAATATTTATAAATTTGCGTTCCTTCAATCTACATACTACCAAAATTACTCACTTTTCGAAATTGCATCACTAAGCTCATAAGATTTCTCGTATCGTGGGCAGGTGAACTTATGGGATCATTGCAAGTAGTGCTTGCTTTCAATAAATCTTCGGTAACAATTTTTCGGACTAAAGCTACATAAGCAAAATTACATGTTATTAATTAATACTTATCAATATGAGTATCAAGCTAGATTTTTATTACCTGCATGAAAAAATCTTTGACGAGTTGTTAATGGACAAGGTAGTAAAATTTCGACTTTATCACACAATTCATTTTCTACGTCTTTCTTTGTTCGACGAAGCATAAACTGTTCCAACACCGAGTAGAGTCTGGTACGATTTTCTAAAATAAATCAACCACATACATTAGAACTATTTTTGATACAGAAACTAAATATGCAAAGTGAGAACTGAGAACATACTTTTTTCTAGTACACCGTTATTGTCAGGTTGCATTTCTTGCTCCTTAGAAAACCAGTCAACAAAATCCTCTTGAGATATGAACAAGGATGGCATTATGAAATGCAAGAGGGACAATAATTCATTGATCGAATCTTGAATTGGCAACCCAGTGAGCAAGAGACGATTCCGACAATTAAACCCAATTAAAGCTTTCCATCGTGAACTGAGAAACAGAAAAGAAAATAATTTTTATAATTTTTAGTCACTAAAGCCCAACTTGATAACAGGATTTACCTAACGGCCGTCTTGATTGCTTGTGCTTCATCCAAAATGAGATACTGCCATTTAACTTTGTTGAAATACTTCAAATCTTGTACTACAACATTGTAAGAAGTGATTACGACGTGAAAACTAGCCTCACGAGTGTGTAGATTGGTTTGCTGCCAGTATTGACGGAGTATTTTTCTCTCCTAGAATGGTAAAATTATTTGAATTATTATTTTACTTCTGATCCACTTTTAATTTGATATTTGCAGGTATTTGCAGTGATGCTTAAAAAACAAACCTGTGGGTTACCCCAATAGGGTACAATTTTAAATTCTCCAATAAATCTTTTAATTTCTTGCTGCCAGTGATGTAACGACGAAGAGGGAGCAATAACTAGAAACGGACCCCAAATGCCACACATTTCTGCAAGGTATGCGAGAAAGGCAATGGATTGTACTGTTTTCCCGAGGCCGATCTCATCAGCTAAAACTCCATTGACTCCCTAATATCAAGAACCATGCAGAAAATAATTATTTTCAATCATTCAGGTAGGAAAAACAGTTAATTTAAATAATTAATCTAGGGGAATTACATGATCAAATAGCTTGCTCAACCAATTAACTCCCAGGATTTGATAATTTTTCAATTTTCCTGAAAATAGGGAGGCAGAGTCGTCTGTAGGTTCTGATTTTGGCATGAAGTCAATGTTGAACAACTTTGTGTGAATCTTTTGTGCCTCGAAAGCTTCATGCACATTAATTTTGGCTTTGATTTTCATGCTGTCTCTGAAAAAATTCAATAAATTACTAAATCATCATTCTAAAATTGTCATATTAATTAAGAAAGCTTACACTTCGTGATTTGCCACCGTACTACCGTCCACTTTTAACCGATCAAGAATTGAAGAGTTTGTAACGTTGTCAGCTACTAGTAAGCCTTCGTGTAGTTTCCTCGTAGTTAGGTGGGCGTAAAGTTCGGTCTCAGTAATTAAAAAGTTGAGATTCTGCTGTAACCGTTTTGCTTCCAAGACTTCGACATCCTGTTTTCGCTGCTCTTCGTCTTCTTTATCCTTCCGCTTTTTGTTCTCCTTTTCGACACGATCGGCTTGTTTCCAGAATGCTTGCATCTCTCTCGTCAGTCTTTTAAAGGAAGGTTAATAAAGATTAAAATATAGTATGAACAGACTTAAAATTGATACATGTAAATAAATACCAACCTTTTTGCTCTCCACACAGACTCCTTGGCTGTCTTTTGAGACTGGAAAAAGAAAATTAACGTTTAGACATTTGTTCAATTCGTAACAAAATTTGTCTCCTCACCTGAATAGCTTTTTGCCGGACAACTTTACTACACGCGTGTGCTAACTTTCGTCGTATAGCGAGTTCGTCCTTGTGGGTAGAAAAAATCGTGCGTTGCGCCTAAAAAAGTACAGAAAAAATGTTTAATGATGTTTAATACTTTTAGAAGTTGACATTAATTTCACTAATTTCTTTCAAGTGGTACCTTTGGGACTTCTTTCTTGCTAATGTTCAAATAAATCTTTTTCCTCTTGAGATTCATCAGTTCAATGTATTTCGCCTGTTTCTGCAGTAGAATTCTCTTGTTTTTCACTCCCTCTTTTTCAGGGGACCCCTTCCGTTTAGTCCCTCGTTCCTTGGACCCCATTGATCTTGACGACTCGTCCCCAGTTTCGGATTTCGATTCCACCGATGATGGAGGACTATCATCCGATTCGTCCTCGGAATTGGAATTAGGTTGTGGAAAGGTGGGAACGTGTATCGTCGATGCCGGCTGCTCTGCTACCATAGACAGATAATCACTTAAACTATCGTCGTCATCATCATCAGAGTCGCCAAGAATGTGAAGCACAGGCGGATCCGCTACGAATGTGTCGTTTGTCGAAGAATTTTCTAAGCAATTCCCATTATTCAAGCTAAGAGGCAAGCTCATAGTTGTCGCAGGTGATATGCAAGGAGTTGAGTTGTGGGTTATTATTGCAACTTTGGAGGAAGTGGCTTTGTTCGAAACAGAACTTGAGCTTGGCAGTAGTTGTACAGCACATGGTTTTAAGCTTTGCTTTCGATCACAATTAACAGTACAACCACGATTTAATTGTTGCTGCTGCTGAGACCCGCCACCACTATTGTTACTTTTATTATTGTTACTACTACTGTTATTGGTGGACGAACCTCTCGAGTCGGAAACAGACCCGTTAAAACCGGAAGAAGAAGAACCACCAGCACCACCACCACCACAATTTCCCTCTCCTCCTCCTCCTTCTCCTCCCGTATGACTAGGCCCGTGACCATTCCCCTTCCCTCCAGAATTAGGTCGATTTTGTCTCGGAAGCTCGTGCAGGTCTGAATTATTTTTTGATTTTCGCTTCTTCTTTTTGTTCTGTTTCTTATTGTTGGTGGAGTCGTCATTATCAAGGGCAGATATTATTGTCGGTATCGCCGTGTCCTGGTCATCCAAGTCGAAATTCATAGCGTCAATTTCCACATCGTCCGATCCGAGATAGTTGGTCCGCTTGAGGAGATTGTTAAGTTCAAGGTCTGTCATAGGGGTCAAGTCTGTGGGAAGGAATGAAGACACGACGCTACTCCCGTCATCATGTGCAAAAGGAGAAGAATTTGTCGACGACGATTCGGAAGACGTTTCATGACTCGTTATTATCATGGATTTAGGCGCAGATGAAAGAAATGGTGACTGTGGTTTTGACCAGGCTGACTTTTTGCTAGGAATTTTAATATTTGAAGGAGACGGCGACTCCAAGGATAGCATGTCGGAAATATTGACTCCCAAAGTGGCAGTCGAAGTGGATTCCAGTTCGACATCGCTGCTTTCGGAGTCGCTGAGACAAATTGGATTATTAATTAGACTTTTAGATTTAATAAATGCTTATTCAAAACTAATTTTAACAACGTTTAAAAATTACCTGGTTGAGCGATTGAACAAATTCTGCAGGAAATTTAGATAATTCGTGAGGTCGAGATATTTCTCCACCTTTTCTAAATCACATCCTTGGTCTTTCGAATCAACCGAATCAATACGTTCTGTTAATACCTTCGAATTAGATTTCGAAGAGTGATTCCACATTTTCGAATAATAATTGATATACTATTCACGAAATCTGTCCCTTTTTACTGATTTTGTACTTTATTCTGCTCAGAATCTTTGCTTTGCACAGTTCCACTGAACTTGCCTCATATTAGTTAAATTTTTACATTTTGAATTATTTTGTTTAAACCATATTCCTAAATTGCGCACTTAATTAATTATTTTTTACACTACTTTCACTTCAAGTTCAAACTACTCCAGAGAACACGGCCCACTCTGAATTTAGCTATACCAAAACAATTCAGTAGTTAATTTTTAACAAGATTAAAATTTAATTTTCATCAATTAAAATCTTAATTAAATTTTTATTTCAAACTTTTTGTGATGCTTTATTGTGCTTTAAATTAAATCCTTGTTATTCAAGTCCCGATATTTTGAAAACAATCGCATTCAAAATTGGGCGCTGAGTCGACTCTATGCTTCCAAGCGGGCAATGCTTGCGAAAATATGTTATGCATACATTTTCATGCAAAAATTGTTTGCAAATTAAGCGTAAATTAATTAATTGTGCATGAATTAATTGATTAAAAGTAACGATTAAGAGTATTACCGATTGTGTATGGAACTCTCTAAAATAGTTAAATTTTGTCGCGCCTGTGATTAAAATGGGTAAAGTACCTGCAAAATTATGTAATCTTATTCAATACTTTAAAAAAATATTATTGGAACCATTGTTGATGTTTTAGTTTAGGAAATTTAGAAGGGCTTATCCTCTCACGATAAGTTCTACTTGCGTAAATGATATGACGAATAAATAGAAAATAACATTGTATCTATATATTTTTTAAATTTTTATTATAATTAATCTCATTTTTAAGGGTAATTAAACTTTATAATATAATTAGTATCACTAGTTTTATTACATGATTGCAAAAATAGTCTTTTGTGATTGTTTGGCTGCATATTTATATCAGAGTTGAGCATTAGCATGCCTATTGTTTCTAAGATGCCACTACATATGTAATTAATTTCAGGTAAATGAAAATCCTTCCGCACCTTCGGTAATTCCAGTTCTTAAAGCTCGTTCAAAATCTTCGTAGCTAGAATTATCGGCAAGAACAATGGTATTGAAGCATGTATGAGCCTTTGGAAGCTTTCCGTACTCGTTTGAAATACTAATTTTAAACTTTGGATTTAACGCCTTAAATCCCCCGTGCGGGAGGAGTGAAGATCCGGTTGTAAATTGAAGCAGTCTTGCTCTTTCGTCATCATTCATGTTAGAAACTGCGGTGCAGAACCAGGAAAAGAGTTTATTCGGAGTAATTCCCCAACTCCAGTCGCGGATGGAATTTTCTTTCAAGTCCTCCACGTCAAACTCACTCCTTCCACAGATGAGAAGCTCGAGTTCGTTTTCCTCAAAGCTGGTAAAAAGTTCTTCTGGAACGATCTCATTCAAACCTCGTTTAAAAGCGTCAATTTCTTTTGTCACTTTTGAAGCGAGTCTGTAATGAGCCAAGGCATTCAGGTATTGCTCTTTATTTTCACCGGTGACCTTCTTTTTAGATCCGCCAGCAATTAATTCAACGGTCTTGACTAGTTTGCCATTGGAGTCATATTCTTCTTCGGAAAAGGTAAGTTCCATGTCAGTCACGTCATTTTCAAGGATGTATTTAATCTTGCTAACAAATAGTTCAGGGTCATCTTGTTCGAAGTGTTGATAATTTGGAGGTATTCCCAAAACTTGAGCGAGGAATGATTTGCTGAACTTTGCTTTGACCATTTGAGTGTAGACGTCACCACATGAAGACTCAAACAAACATTTTCCAACAACCTTCCCAGCAAATTCGTAATGTTTCAATGTCCAGAGTGGGTAACGAGTTTTGGCATTGGTTGGATGGACAAGTCTTGAAGTTCCGATGGACGAAAACATACCAAACTCATTATTTTGAAAAAATTGGACGCATAGTAGTTCAAGCCATTCCCTTCTGAGGCCTCCATAATCATACCCTAAGCAAATGAGATTCAAATTAGTGTAATTATTGATTGATTCAAATTAGTATAATTATACGCAACTATTACCATTTTCATTTTCAAACTTTATTCCAAAATTTTTACACCAGTCGGATTTTCGAAAATATTTTGTAGCGTTCATACTCTGGAAATGTAATACATATAAAAGTCAGTGTTTATTTGCTAACTACTGCAGAGATAGCTTGAAATACTCACCGTATATACTAAACTTGCTCTTGTGACCACAATCTGTTTAGATGTCATTCGGAGATCTTTCATTGTTCCTCGCAATTCCTGGTAAAATACACGCTGTTTTCCCTCAAAATTTTCAGATCCTCCTATTTTGCAAGTAATTTATACATACGTTAAGAAATGATAAGCATGTAGTAGAGCATACAACGGATAATTATGCTTAAAAAAATCACCTAATCGCTTTTGGAGGAAGGAAACATAAAGGGCAAGCATAGTCCGAGCTTTGGATGCTTCCATTTGTATCATGACCTGAGGTTGAACACCGTCAAATATAGAGAACGTACATTCTCCAGAATTTCCAGCGATGTCTGACAAACCCGAGGACTCTGTTAATATCATCTTTATCTATATAGTACAAAAACAATTACGATTAAGCTTTATAAAAAAATAATTCAGTGTTATATTATTCAACTTGCAATATTTAACAACCTTAGTCATGGGCGATACTCTGTATACTGCTAGTTTGAGTGGGATTATCCGTAGCAAGTACTCCTGGACATAAAACAATTTCGGGGACACATACAAATACACGCTCCTCTGTTTTAGCTGTTGTTCATTTCCAATGGCTAGTAGATTCGCTTGGTGTGGCGTCCAAGCTGGATTGTTGTTCGCAATACTCAACATTTGGCTGCTTTCTCGCGTAGTGATTGACAAGATATCAAACTGTCCATTAGTTATTGGCTTATCATCGTACAGGATTTGTCCTTTATAGACACCAGGTTTATTGACAAGGAGAATAATTTCGATACGGCTTCCGTCTGGACGGGTAATAAAAACGTGTGAAATTTCGTCTTGAGAAACAATATTATCAATGCAACTCTCATCGGCCTGTAAAAAATAACGTTAATTGTTATTAGGAAATCTTATAATTAACTGTAATTAAGTATCAAATATACTTACAAATTTAGGGATGAACTTTAATCTGCTTTCGATATTTTTTTCCGCATTCACCCAAATATTTTCGTCGCAATTGTTCCCATATTTATCTCTTGGTTGAATCTCATACGTTACTTGTTCCCCAGCGATGCAAAGAAGCGTTGGACTAGGGCGGAGAAAGATAGTCTTGGAAGAATCAATGACCGAAGGCCGGAATCGTTTTCGGAAAGGTGACCCCACAGCACGGAGTCCTTTATACGTTACGGAAATTAAGTATAAACCGGATCGTCGAATCGAGAACTTGACAAGGACTTCTCCCGTGGCTGGGTCAACTTCTTTAACGTGTTCAACTTTGGTTTGTTGATGGGTCTCGTGATAAACTAACGCTTGCCGTATTTCTACGTTAACATCGCGTAAAAATTCTTCCGATTCGGGCAATTTGGTAGGTGAAGGTGTTACATTATCATCAGTGCCAGGCGTCATTGATTTGTCCAGCTGGATATATAGATATTTTAGAAAATATGTTATGAAAGTCGCTTGAATTGAATAATGAACTAATTATTTACCGAAACACGAAATCTGAGTGGTTCTCCAACCACGCAGGGTTCTTTCCAATCAAATTTGACGTGACAGTAAGATTTCCAAGACTTCACCCTCCTCCATCCCAGAACGACCAACGTTAGCAAAAGAAATGCGAAGACGAATATAAGCATCACACAAACTGTATAAAAAAAACAATTAATTGGTTGATAATATATAAAACAGCTCAACCCGAAAGGGCATTACATTAAATTGCACTTACGAACGAAGAGAACAATCAACACAAACATCCTTTCTTCAAAATGTTTTTCAGTTTTAGGCAGAATTTTATTGAAAATGTCTGAGATCACTACATCTAAACACATGTGTAAATGACTTCATCCATCCTCTCTGGTCCAGAATCCTCCTATCACGTTTTAATCATCAAAGTACAAAGTACAACTGATCTGACACCTGAAGATAAATAAGAAATTGGTAACACTTGTTAGATTTTTAACCAAATGAACTAGGAATGAACATCTTAATCAATTCTAAATGCTCACTAATTTGAAATTTGTCTGAATATTTAAAATAAATGAAATTACGAAATTAATTCAACTTTACCTTGTCTCATTATTGCACAATTAATTTCCGTAACAAAATTTCGCAATCTTACTTTCACTACTCAATTAGTCGACTATATATTTAAGATTTAGAGTAATAGTTATCGTTTTTTACTAACACGTTGGAAAATCTAAACTACTTGACGTAACTACCCAGAAATTAAAGTTAATCTCAGATTTCTATTTCTAATGTATAAAAACAAACTTTAACTGCGACTGTGACTTTGTTAAATCTTGACCAACTATCTCGCGGTGAAGCAAGCTCGATGGTTTGTTTCCATCCATTTAATCGACCACGCTATGCATTTCCATAAAAAATTACAAATTTCGAAAAAAAATAATTTGCATAAAATTTCACCGTTCAGAAACTTATCAAGGTTGATTGTAATAAAATGTAATTCTAAAATTCATTGCAATTTTAATGCGTGTTTTCAAAAACCAGGACAAGTTACAAAATTATGTCTATCAGTATAATACCTACAAAAAATAGCATGCATGCATTGATGATTTTGATTTATTTGTACGCCTGTCAATTGATCCATTAAATAAATACACTGACATTTTATACGATTGCATGTCTATCTCTACATTGTGTTAAATTTAGAGAAGCAACGTCGTTTGCAGAATTAATGGTGCAGGCGAAGATGAGCATTTAGGCAAAAAACGAAATTGGACCATTTTCAGAGCGAAGAATCCATCAATATTTTAAACAATATTTAAAACCACATACGTATTTGCACTACGTACGTGTTCGCCAATTGCACTAATAATGAATGAATAATAATAATTACCCTCCGACAATTTTAACTGTGATTGTTTACATATTCCATTCCATTAGTTTATAATGCTTTCAACAAATTACCGTTATTATTTATCCTGTGGAGTGGACATATGTATTCTATTTGTGTATTTGTAGATACCACACTGCCCAAACTAAACTAATTATATTCATATACATTGTCCGCAGAAGTGTGGGGACAGGGGGGCAATGTCCCCACGGTAATTCGATGTCCCCATGTCATTTAAACCCCTCCCTCCCCCATCCTACAAAGTTAACGTCCCCCGATGTCCCCACAGTTTCCGCGGCCACTGCTCATATGGCATATTATGTAGGAGGAAAATTGACATTATTATGACCAAAATATCCTAACATCAATTTCTCGTCACGTCAGTCAGTCAATCCAATCCATCCACACAATACAATATTGTATTCATCCGCATCAATGCGTTCTTCTTCGGTTCTTTGTTGCTTTGCTAGCATGCAGACAGATCATTTTCGTTGCGCCCTAGTTAATAAGAAGGGAACCTTGCTTCCCAGTGTTTTTTGTCATGCATCCGATTAACCCACGGTTTAAAATAGTGGGCCTACTGCCGTCAAACATTTATCGATTGATTGTGATACTTCATACCAAATGTTACACGTTACAGGGTTTAATGTCGTGGTGGAATCGTGGAATTGAGCCATTGTCACCAATTCGAATTCATTTTATGTCAGTAGTTTCTAAATCATGGGCAAGTCAGCATGCCTGCAAAAGTGGTACGAGAATAAGTGTGTAGTGTTCCAAGGTAGAATTCTGTGTAGAAAACCTTCCGGTTTTTTTATGGGTGATTAAGATTGGTGAAAGTGATTGAGTGTGTACTGTACATAATTTCCATGAAAGTGGAATAGAGAGAAAGCAGTCTATTGAGACATATATACCGACTTTCCTCGTCAGAGTCTCTCTCTTATTTTAGGCTGGCAAGAAAAATAATAATATTGCCTTTGCCTGACTACGTGCGGTTCGATACTCATCAAAATTTCATGTCAATCCGTCCATAAAAGTCGGATTTTGCGAGATATACCCCATCGTGTCGGCGTTCGTAATGGTATAGTTTGCCTCATCAAGTTTCAAGTACTTTTACATGCACAAACTTTGCTCTCTCTCTTGCGGGTTTGGTTTCATTTCATGCTAAAGTTGGCATTGCGATAGACTCGCAAAATTGTTTTTCCGAACTTGTCAACCAAACTAAGTGGCTGGAGGATTGTGGAAGTAAGTAAGTAAGCTACTTATTGCGGCTTCTTGTCGCATCGATTTTAATAATCGATGAATATAATCCTTACAATATTAATGACGAGCACAAGGGATCTACTACATATTAGATTAATCCTTTTGTTCTTGGGGAAAGCACAAGTTTTCTTGTCCTGGATACTTATGAATTATTAAGAAGTTCTTCTTTCGTATATACATAAATCTAATAGCAGCAGCAGCAGTACTGGAGGAACGCAAGCGTCTGAATTTCGAGACTTGTAGCAAAAAAAGAAGAGAGTTCGCAGTATACAGAGATCAGCAGAAGTAGAGCATGTTCATTTTCAGTAATCCAATCCTGCCAAGTCATAAATCGAGTAACTCAACTTGTGCTCATCCAGCACTTCTGGAATCAGTTTAATTTCCATGAACTTACAATAGGTCATCATATTTAATCAATTCGCTAAACTACAACAATTTGTATTCATCCAATTTTGCGAATCAGAGAGAGTTAAAGTAAATCTAAATCTGTCAAGATTTGTGTATGGCGTGTGTGTGTACTACTGCATGCATATTATGAAAAACGTTACACAACATCAGCGAGCGTCACTTATTTAGTAATTTGACGCACAGATCAATATTTCAGAATGGATAAGAGTGTAGAACAATTCGAAACAAAATTGTGTCGTTACACAGCTAATTTCACTATAATAACCCCCAAAAAATAACTACCCCGTACTCCCCAACTAGTGAATAAGTGATGTAATAATCCACCCAAATAAGTGACCTGCTATCAAAAAAATACTACTGCATTCAGCAAATTTTAATAAATTGGCAGTGCAACTAAATTAATGAATAAATAACAACCAATTCATTTACTACATATGTACCAGTCATCACGTTTCGTTTCGTTTATTATTATTGTCCTTGGACCTTTTTCGCATGCAGTGCATGGTCATCTCCAGTTTTTGGACGTAAAATAAGTAAGAGCTGGACTGAACTCATTTGCTGATTATTTATTTCAGTAATTACACTACTCTCAACCAACGTGATACATAAATTTAACTAGTGTATCGACCACATTAAGACTGCTTAAATACCACCGTCTCAACTTTCCCACTAATGAATTCCCTGGAAAAGTGACGTTACTTTACATGTACTACGAGTTATTATCATCGAACAGCTTGTCATGCAATGCCATTATTCCACCGTCGTCATCACCGTCCTCCCATCTAATTTCCCTACAATTTATTATAGCTGGGTGAAGGTGAAGTTGGCATAAAATTAGTAATAATGAATGAGCAAATGTTAATGTTGAGCATGGTCCAAAAACTAAAACTAAAATAAAACTTTGTGTGCATCCGTTCGTGCAAAATGACAATTTCCTTTCGATGCCATAAGCAGTTCGCAATAATAAAATACCATTCAGTTAATATGCATGAAATCTAATTGGGATGGATTGGAACTCATGGATGGAAGTTGTAAATAGCAGTAGCAGTGTCGACTCGCACTATAAAAATCGATTGGATATGGAACAGGGTGGAACGGTGGTCGGATTCATTTATATATTTGACGATTGTTTGTGGTTTCACAGTTCTGCCGTCAATTAAGTAGTGCGTCCTGCTCTGAGTGAGTTATTGAAATAAAAATAATAAACATTCAAGAACCGGAGTTTGCAATTTGTTTAAATTCGCAAACCATGCAGTCGTTGTTCTCGGTATTGAGGAAGTTTGATACCCTAACCCTAACTGCCTGCTGCCATGACAAAGCTGTTCCGACGAGCCATTGTGACACGGTGAAATGAGAACAATAGGACCAATATGGACATTAAGATTGAACAATAATCCGAGTGCAGTTTTTACGAAATTTTAATATTTCTTGATTCATTATGAGGTGGAATTATTTGGCGAAACTGGTGGTGAAATCGACCCTGGTTGTGGTGGTGGTGACTATGATAGCGTTCTCTCTGCTGGACAGTGACTCGGTATTACCTGCTGCTGGGGCAGATGGGCACAATTCGCAAGTTCAATTGGCAGGTATTTTTTCGGATAAGTTGGTAGTTCGTAATGCATGCTTATTAGTGAAGTAATGTTGAACTAGGGGTTGGTGATAGTCGTGGTGGTGGCAATACAGATAAAGATGATAATGGCCCTTATTTCGATTCCATTGAATTAGACGGAGGACTCAGTGAGGGTGATGATGTGGCGAATGAAAAGTACCATTTGCGGTTTTGGGATCTCATTAATAGGTGAGAAAGAGTTGATTTAGCATATTTTGTTACCGAATTTTGCAACTACAATTTACATACGTATGTTCGTATTTTTAATGCAGTACCAAGTCGAAAGACCACAAAGTGTCAACCCTTCCCATCTTCACGAAGGATAAGATGGCCGATTTATGGAGGCCGAAACGGGGTCAGAAGGAGATAACTCCAAAATGGAATACGCTAGTTCCGCAAATAGTTTGGGAAATGGAGGCAGAAAATACTTCGTATGCAAAGAGCTTTAAGGTATACATTGCCTAATAGTAAATATGTTGCTACTTACATACATACCAAAATATAGTGCTTCGTTTCTGTGGGTTGACTACATATGTTTCTTGCACTGGAAAGCAAGCCACGCAAGAAATGAGAGGTACAAGAAACTGGGAGAAAGTGCAAGAAATATGCGCCATTTAGCCACGCGCGGTATGAAGTACAGCGGCGGGGCGTTGTTTCTTGCGCCTTGCATTTCTTCCAGGTCAAAATACCTGCAAGAAACCACTTTCTTTCCGTAATTTCTTGCCAGTGGTCATTTCTACCTGAAACATTACCAAACTGCATACCAGACTTTAATTAATCATGCTAAATGTTTCCCCCACAGACAAAAACCATCGTTCTCTGGGACGGGTTTAATTGGTGGGGTAAAAAAGATTGGAAGGATCCGAAGCAGTTGATGTCAAAGGATTGTGAAATTGCTCCAAATAGCATAACAAACTGTCTCTTCAGTCAAAAAAAGAATGATCTCAATTCAGTCGATGCAGTGCTCGCTGCTCGCGATATGTTTCACACCGGTTATTATTTTGCTGAATATTTTTAATTACTCAAATAATACGCAGATCATAAAAGTTTCCTTCTTAAATCTTAATCGCAGGCGCAGTTGAGGTTCCGGATCACGTTTTGAAATTTTATTTCATGTTGGAATCTCCTTTTCATTCCTGGGCGTTGCTGAACCGATCTGAAGACTTACTCGCGACGTATTGGAGGGGAAGCGATATTGTGACGCCGTACGCCAAGTGGGTATACTACGATCTGAAAAAGAAGCTCATTAAACAGGGTAACTAATTAATCAACTATTTTAATTCGTAAAAATAGACTTTATCACATTAATTAATTTTCTGTCAGGTAAAAATTACGCACATGGAAAGACCAAAACGGCTGCCGCATTTGTGTCCAACTGTGCAGCTTGGAATGGTAATGAAACTTTAATGGCAGCGGATTAATTGCGGATTTTAGCGATAATGAACATTTAGCAAAACTACGTTTTTACTATGTGCGGTTGTGGTCAAAAATCATGGTATCGTAATTGCGCCGGTTTTTTAATTTTTATCTCTTCTCAATCTTCAATAGATTTGCAATTAAATAAAAATAGACTCCAAAAATCGGCGCAATTACGATATCATTTTATCCGGCCCTAAAGTTGAGCATAATTCCCATTAAGTTCGATCACTGTCTTTCCGTAAATCTCAAGTTGGGTCAAAATTTCCGGAGCCGATTTAGAAATCACTCTTGACTGTCTTCTGAACATTTTTCATATTGGCTCCAGAAATTTTGACTCCAGATGCCAGAAATTGAGAAATTTTAGTATGGAGAAAGTTGCAGAAATTTTAAAAACGTAGGTTTCCTAACTGCCTAATAATTATGTACATACACCTATTTAGACCGTATGGGATACATTACCGAACTGAAAAAATACATCGACGTCGATGTGTACGGAAGTTGCGGGGAATTGACCTGTTCCCGCTTCGGAAGAGAAGACTGTTTCGGCATGCTCAAAAAGGACTACTATTTTTACATGTCTTTCGAAAATAGCAATTGTAGAGATTACGTCACTGAGAAATTGTATACGAATGGCTTATCGTGAGTACTTATCATGATTTTCATACAATCTTCCATTAATTTTTGCCATTTCATTCTCTCTTTCTTCTCAGAAATGACATCGTCCCCATCGTCATGGGTGGTCACCCAGACGATTACTTGGCCCTTGCCCCCCACAAGTCGTACATTCACGTGGAAGACTTCGACTCACCCAAAGAGCTTGGAGAATATCTTCACTTTCTTATCGAACATCCGGACGACTACAACAAATATTTTGAGTGGAAGGGGACCGGAGAATTCATCTCGGCCGCGTTTTTCTGCCAAATCTGCGCCATGGTTCATTACAGCGACATCGTCCCACCACCCAACCGAACAAAACCGTATCGGTGGGGTCACGTCCAGGCGATCGATAGCGGAATGTGCCTCCCAAAAGGGCACTGGTACTGGACCAAGGATAACGACGGGAAGGCAAAGAAATCCGCGAAAAATTCACGGCTTATCAATCTCAAGGATGCCAGTCAAGAAAATTCGATCAAGTTGGAAGACGTCGCGCAGGATTTGGGCGTCAGCACGTTGTATGATGGAACTAATTAATTAATGGTGCTGTAATATCTAGGAGTTATGCATAATGTATATTTTTTATATAGTGATAGTCACTTATAAATCTATTTTAGTCAGTATTTGAATATGTATATTAAGTTTTGGATCGTGTATGAATATTATTTATCGATATTTATTGTCACAGAACGTGCTGGAATAAATTAGTGACGATTCGTCACGTAATGCGAGACAATTTCAAATTTTTCACGCGCAAGGTTGGAATATCTGAGCAGAACTTGTGCATGCTTCAATTATAATTTCAATTTTGATGTTTGGTAAATGGTCAGTTTTTCTTTGAACACCAAAATCATTACGACTGGCTTCTTATTGAAGATCTACCTATGAATCTGGCATAATGTTACGCAAATATGTCCATGAATTGAAGGTGGTTACATTGTGCCAGCATTATTCCATCGCTAGTCTGGTGTCATCAGGTACTTACATACGCATACAAGCAATTTGCACATTCATTATACACACAGTTGCCGCAAAACCGCTAATTGTCCGTTGAATGGAATGCATAATGTATTATCCGTTCTGATGAGTCAGCAATAAACGGAACAATTTGGCGAGTTAGATTTGTTCGTAAATATTAAATTGAGAATCGACAATTTTTAATACTTTCATGACTCATGAACTTTAAGCATTATTCATCCATTACCCATTACCGGGTTTCCTTTATCCGTTTAATACATGTACAACAAGTGAACATGTTGCATACCCGACCCATTCGCTCTACGCAGATAATACCATCTCCTCAGGAAATACTTACTTATTTAGTTTAAACTTGGTTCTGCAATCAATACATGCAAATCAAATAATGTTATTTATAAACTTACTTATCATGGTTAAACCTTATTAATTCCACGCACGCTCACATTTACAGATCGCTCTGTCTGCCGATTTTGCATGTAAATCGGCTTCCGAGTTGCTCATAAATTATGTATTTTGCTGGAATACGATAAATGTGAGATTATCAGTACAACGAATCCTTGTTTGTGGACTGAACTACATTTCAAAATAATCATTACAATTCTCTGGGTAAAATCAATTACGTGTCGTGTCGTTTACCTGAGTCACACAGAGTGGAAACCCTAACCGGCAATACATTCAGTAGTGAATGAGTAACTAGCATTGACGAATGAGTCAATAATGTGGCAGATAATGGGCTAAGATAAGGAACAGGTTGATATTTGACATTATACTATTCGTGAACATTGTCCTGTTTTGTGCACTACCGTCAGTTCAACAAGTGCTCGTAATATTTATTGCTCAGTCAACATGTACTTACTAACTATTTAATTTACTAGCATAACTGGAATTAAAAGTGGAAAATAAATTTCTCCGGCAGTGAAATTATAGTGCATCGTTGCATCACCGAGTGCAAGAATTTTGCAAGTCGCTAGCTTTAAAAATGGCTGAGATATGTCGGAACGGCATGATTTTTTGGCCTTGTATACGCTGGAATCTTTAGGTGAAGTTTTTAGTTAAGGTGCCCTCAATTTACATACAAAGGTTGTGATCTTTTAAGCGGTTCCTATTTGTATTTGAGATCAATATTTTTAAAAATTAACTTAAATTCATGGTTGTATGTACTTCTGTTATAAGGAGGAAATGGCAATGTCCAAATTTTCGAGGTGGAGAAAAAAACCAGTCATCCTTTTCATATTGCTTCTTTTCACCAGTGTTTTAGTATATATTTTGATATATGCTGCCACCAAGGAGAACGTCGATACTATTCGTGACAATAAAAAAGACATTAATATCAAATTGGATCCAGAAATTGCTCAAATTTTACGGGACACGCCATATTTATGGAGAAAGTTTAACCTGACGGAGAATGATACTGCACTACACCGCGTCCAAGCGCAGCAACGATGGGTCAAGGAACTCTCAAAATCCAAGTATCTTTCAGAACAGAAAGTATGAAATTTAAAAATTATGAACTGAAATTTAACAAAATTTCGATTTTAATTTTCATGAATTTGATAACCTTTTCTAGAAAAAAGTAATGTGGCTGGAAGCACACGCCTCTCTCTTTTACTGGACCGAGGGAAGAGTCCAATGTCCTTATGCTCCCAAGTTTGAAGAGAAATGCGAACTGAAAAAAATGTCGTTTTTAAGAAGAATGTTGGGACCGTATTTCAAATTCATTGGAATATCTGGAGACGCTTTAATCAGCGTGAGAAATTGGGAATCATATGGAACTTACAAAATTCCGGGAAACATGGTGCAAATAATGCAAATTTTAGAACCACCAAATATCGCAAAGGATGCAAATCTTGGCTTAAATAACGCCGTTTTAGCCTCGTACTGGCGAGGTTCGGACATTCCGACGCCTTACTTTCTTTCCATTCCGAATAATTCCTCCGAATTCAAGCCACCTCCGAGTGAAGCGGTTGCAAAGTTGGCGTCCAAAACTAAAATGGTTGCGGCCATCGTGTCAAATTGTGATAGTTCTGATCGACTCGAGTACATTCGCGAATTGCAGAAATTCGTGGGAGTCGATGTGTTCGGAAAGTGTGGAACTTTCTCCTGTCCAAAATCTGAGAATGACGCGTGTCTCAGAAAAATTGAAGCAGAGTACAAATTTTTCTTATCCTTTGAGAACTCGAGATGTGAAGATTACATTACGGAAAAGCTATTTGATAACGTCCTACAGTATGAGATTTTTGTGACAATTTTGTATTCGTAAATTTTTAGCGATAACTCATTACCAAAATCGTCAAAATCAGTACATTTTCAATTATTTCTCGGATCTGGGAATTTACTTTAAAATTCTGGACAAGTCTGAAGTCCGTAAGGTGATTAATTGAAAAAGAATTTTTTATAAAGCCACTTAAGATAATTTACAATTTTGCTGATAGATAATAATCCTGAAATTTCCTTGAAAAACTGACAAAATCTGTACTGCAAATTTTTTAAACTGGTTCTCCAACGCCGTTCTCCATAATTTTAAAATAAATTCCCAGAACCAGTAAATGATTAAAAACGTGCTGCTTTTGACGATTTTGACATCGAGTCCTACGCTAACGTTCTGATTTTTCCATTTTTTTAGGTGGTACATTGTCCCCATTGTGCGAGGCGGTCGCCCCTCGGATTACTCTTCAGCCGCACCCACCAACTCGTTCATCCACGTCGATAGTTTCCCCTCACCTGAGAAACTTGCTTCACATCTCAAATTTCTGGACAAAAATGATGACGCTTATCTAAAATATTTCGAGTACAAGGGTTCAAGCTACATTTCGCTGGAACACTTTCAGGATTTCTTCTGCAGGGCGTGTGCTATGTTATTTTACAGGGATTTTGTGCCAAATCCAGTCTGGAGCTCTCCCGATATTGAGTGGAAAGATGTTAATCATTGTCTCCTTCCAGATGAGGCTCGATGGAATAATGTGTAATTTTATGAAGTACGTCTTATGTTGTCGTTTTGTATCTTCCGAACCCTCAAAATAATCAAACGCCGTTTTCGCCATTGTGCTTTTAATTGTTTACCCTCGGTCAAGTTCGAAATTGGCGTCCATGCGGTTGAGGTCAAGTTGTGAAGTCAAACACCGAATGAATTTGACTTTAATTTTCGTATGCGATGTAATTTTAACGAAATCTGACCATAAATTCAACGCCGTCAGTATTTTTGACCTCCAAGTATGATGTCATTACAAAGGAAATTTAAATCGCTTTGACTCTATTTTTTTGTGTTCATTTTACACAGTTTTATTTTTTTGTGACGTAGTTTTTGTTACATTTGTAAAGTATTTATTTTTTATAGCAATTTTGTTTTATAAATCAGTCTGAAGCATTTTATGAAGTTATTGTGCAATTGATTCCTCATATGATGGAGGGTACGCCGGGTTTCTGTTGGTGGTATCCATCCGACCGGACACGATGGGGATGACGACGGCCCCCTAACAAATTTTAATTAAGTAGTCAATCATATCATCCTCCAAAAACACTTCAGCATATTCTTAAATTAAGGACGCAAAAAAAGACACAATAATTTGTCTATCCAGTTCCGCAGCAGGAGCTGATGGTTCTTGTGGTTGACTTTGGGGCTGTTGTGCGTGTGGCGTTGGTTTCATCCTGGACGGCGTATGGGTGACCCCACAGGTTCGAGAGTATCGACAGAGCAGGATTATCACCACGATTGCCACGACGCCAATTGCTGGGCCAATATAGACCCAGATGGAAATTCCGAAATCGTCATCATCGTCATCATCACCTGTCATGCACAGGATTATAGTTTAGTTTAGTACGAAAATACATACACCTAATGCAAATATAGTTCTCTGCGTCATCACCTCCACCTCCTTTACAATCAACCTCATCTGGATTGCATAGCATGGCACAACTTGGTGTTTTATCGCAGACCAGTTTATTCAGGATGCATCTTGCAGTTCCAGCAGTTTCATGAATTTTCTGCAGTTCTGAAAAATTTCGTCCCAAATTTTTTCCGTCACACTTTTCATTTGGTGCGTCACAATCAAAATATCCTGGAGCGCATTGTCCATTTGTTGCGTCTGAAATAATGTTTAATAATTCTTAATTATGACCATCAAACAAGTCACTAATCAGCTCAATCTCTCTGCACTCTGATTTAAACAAAAATGTCATTCGATCATTTTTTAATTAGAACGAAATCTGCAAAAGACACAATCCGCCAATACTCATTGTCAGGTTTGGTAGAGATATTTACACAAGAAAAGGAGAAAACCTTGAATAAAATTAGAAAGTGTAAAATTTGTCAACTTTATGGCACAGTTTCTCCTCTTTGGATGTAAATATCTCTGAAAAACCTGATCATTGGCAGATAATGACTTTGCAAATGTCATATTAATTTTTGCGATCGATTAACATTAATTTGGTCTAAATCTGTGTCTCGGAGACCTCCATTGTACGTAGTAAATTTTGTATTTAACTTCGCATACATTCATTTTGGTAAAGAGTCCCCACAATTTTCGCTGACCAGTCAACTTTCCAACCTGGCGAGGCAGTTATGTTGAACCAGATCGAACCACGGACAGATTCCAGAGCTTCCCAATTGTTATTCTGCTTCTTATTTTTGCAAGGAAATTGTGCCACTTCAGGCCCATTTCTCCTCTAATTAGAGATAAACAAGAAAATTTCAAACAGGTCTTTCGTCATTGACATCATTATGTGCTTACCGTGTAAATGCTTAAATATGGGGGATCATCATCTTCCTGCGCCAAGGGGCACACGAAGGAGATTAAAGCGATGCTAAAGGAAAATTTTCCACTTTGTTCCACATCCATAGAAGTCTGAAAAGTTTCGCTGGATTTCAGATAGTCGATTTGTACGCTTTCTTGTGGATAATTCTCTGACACGTCTAAACTCAATTTGAAAATTTAATTATTAATTTGGAACAATTATATTTTTTGTGTGTGTATAAATGAATTATTACATTTAGCTGAGGTTAAGTTTGGATGGCACGATAGCAGGGTTATCGTCGTAGTTAAAATGATTTTAATCATGATAACGTGAAACGATGTCATTATTTTTAATCGATTAGTATTTAATTTTTGTACTAATAAGAATCAATATTTCTGTAAAATCTTGTTATAATCCTTAAAAAACCACCACCAGCACCAGGAAAGCCTGACACGTATAAAAATAATGGATATAGAAATTAAAATTTAACCCTGTTCGCAACACCGGATGACAATTAACGAATCGATAACGTGAATCATTGATAAGAGCTTATTCAACAAGTGCTTGTTGAGCGTGGACCAAGCAATGTCAAATGCTATTCTATTAAATATTTTATCCAAACTGTGACGTGCATAAATTTGTTAGCAATCTGTCTGGTTGTGCCAAAGGTTTAGTTATCGCATTCAGTAAAAAAAATTATCGATATCTCACACATTTGTATTTCCGGTTGCATAATTTTGCATCGAATGCTGAGGAACTGAAGTAAAATGAATACAATTTGATTACACAATTTGACAAAAATTAGATATACATTTATTATTTTGAAAGTTATCTGTAGAATTGGAAGTATCAAACATAGCATTATCTTCAGAGTAGATTTTGTGTTAGGGACCGTATATAAAGCATCGATTTAACCCGTGTCTTGCGGGTTTGCAACATTTCTTGCACTGCAAGCAAGAAATGCAAGGTGCAAAAAACTGCAAGAAAGTGCAAGAAATATGAGCCATCCAGATCCAGCCACGCGCCGTATGAATGAAGTATAGCGCCGGAGCGTGGTTGCTTGCGCCTTGCATTTCTTGCAGGTCAAAATACCCGCAAGAAACCACTTTCTTCCCGTCATTTCTTGCAAGTGGTCCTTTGGACCTTAAACACTGCTTAAAATTGTCCAAAAATCTAAGCAGAATTTTAACTCCACACCCACCTATTTAGATCTAAACAATGGTTAACTTTTCCCCAAGATGCATCCTCCTCCCACACGGGAGGCTCCAAAATATCAGCGTAATGAAGTAATGAACAAAGCCGACAGAAAAATTGTTCCCAAACATTAACAACTTTGCCGAGTTGTTTGTAAGCAAAATATTTGTTGTACAAGATATCATTCGTGTCTAAAAGTGTGAGATAATTGGCGAGATCCTTCGGAGTTGCAAAGTCTTCAATGTGTATGTACGAGTTTGGTGGGGCAAGGGCTAAAATTTTTAATGAAATAATTTTACATTTTTACAAAATTCTTGAACTATTTTTAAAAATTTCCAAGTTTATTCACTTGTTACCTTTATAATCTTCTGGATGTGCACCCATCACGACTGGGACGATGTCGTTTCTGATTAATGGACAAAAATAAGATTTTCAAAATTTTGATTCGAGTCAATTTTTTTTTTTTTACATATTTTTCTTTTTACCTTAAAGCGTTTGTCCAGAATTTCTCTGTAATATAATCTCGACAGTTGGCCTTTTCAAAGGCCAAGTAAAATTTGTACTCTTTTTTTATCCTATCGAAGCAATTGTGACACTGGAGTGACCCACAATTTCCATAAATATCTATTGGAACATATTTTTGAAGCTCTCTGACATATTTTAGCCGATCATTTTTCGCTTCACAATTCGAAACCACGATCGCTCCAAGTTTCGTCTTTCCTTTGGCGTAGTTGACGAAATTTGTGGTGCTGGTCGTGGTATTGTTGAACTTGCGGAAGTATCCGTACGGCATGACGACATCCGAGTCACTCGAGTAGGAAGCAAGGAGAGCATTGTTAATTCTTAAATCTGCATATTTCGTGACAAATGGAGATTCTTGAATGAAGTAAACGTGTCGCAGGGAAGCTATCTTCTGCTCAATGACGACTGGTTTCCAATTTCGGACACTGACGTGAGCATCATACCCAAGATAATTGTCACCACCAAATAGTTTGTCCTCTTTTACGAGGCACTTCTCTTCAAGTCGTTTCATCTCATGGGGGCTCAGAAAGGGGCATTTTAGCCTTTCTTCGGCCCCGTAGTAGCTTTCGAATCCATCGAAAACTAAGATTTTCTTTGGCTAAATATGCACAAAATAAAGTTTAGCCGTTAAAAGAAACTTTTGACATTAAATTTATATGCAGTGGCCGCGGAAGCGTGGTGACAGAGGGACAATGTCCCCACGGTTATTCGATGTCCCCGTCATCCCCCCATGTTATATAAACCTTCCCTATCCTGCAATGTTAATGTCCCCACATGTCCCCACGGCTTCCGCGGCCACTGTTTCTATATACCTTTGCATATTTGAGATACACCGAGTTCGTCAGCCTTTTGGTCCAATTTTCCAACATTAAAATTCTATCTGTTTTATGGCGATTTGTAAAATTAGTTGTTGGTCTCCATAAATTCCCGAATTCAGTCTTCAAATCCATAGTTTCCTGTTCCAAACTGGTTTTCACATATGTGTAGGGACGATAAGAACCTTCGTTTTGTTCGGTATTCCCCTCTTTTGACTCACTTTCACTATAATGCAAATATCTGACATCCAGTTTATGAATGGACACGAACAAATAGAATAAAAACAGAGAAATGAGGGTGACAGCGACCCAAGAATATTTTAAAGATCTCATTTTGACATTGCAAATCAATCCTGAACTCCAAACTATTTACTTGATTCAAGGAAACTTTTTAAGATGCACTTTTTAGTTAAAGGTCCCAAATTGTGGTCCAAAAAAACGGTGGACATTTCGAACTTTCAGGACGGAGAGGAACTTCGTCCTCCTACATTTTTTGTACAATTTTCGCAAATTACTGCGTCAACCTATTGTTCACAACGTACAGGAAATGCATGGTCCTGCTTTACTGTTCCGTACAAATTGAGACTCCCACAGAGGAAGTCGGTTAGAACTGCATAATAGAACAGGATTGAATAATATATCCGTCCAATTTCGCCATCCGCACTTCACGGGGGACAATTTCGAATAAAATGGTATTTTGTAATGGTAGGTAGGTACACATATCCAGTGGTGGTGGTAGGATTGTCACTAATCCTAAGTACGTACGTACACATGTAATAGTCTCACTTATAACTTTCTCCGTGCCAAATGGGCATGGAACAGATAGTTATCTGCATGTCGAGAATAGAAGAAAATATGTAAGTAAGTGGAATTTTTAAGGGAAGGACGACACACACGAAACTTGACGAAACCGTTCTTTGTTAGCTTGTCTCAATTCTCCAGAAAAAAACATTGATTATCGTTGTCACGCATTTATATATTTCACAACCACCACTAGCTGTTTGCCTTAGTAATTTATTATTGATTGGATTCTAACACGGTTATCTTCTCTTTCAAAATTTTAGTTCGGGTTAGTTGGCCGTTATAAAAACACTGTCTAGTTTCCATTTGAAGTCATTTCATCTCAATTTTTATCTTGTGATAAGAAGTACCTAAGTGTACCTACATAAGTGCAATTTTATCCACTTCCTGTCAGATGAGCACTGAATTTGTATGTATTTTTATTGCCCTACACTTTTTTTCTGGTCGTTGCACCAAGTTGCATGTAGAATAGAATGCATTGTAATACGATGCACCACTTCTTCGACCCCCATGCAAATTAACTTCAAGTGCTTCTGCTCAAGAGCTGAAGTATGTACACGGCTTAAACTCCAATAAATTGCGTCCACTTTATATTATGGTCTCACTTGTAATTGAAAATAAATATGCTCCAACAGCCATATTTTCTTGCTATATATTGTAGTCTCCCCAGTTTACAGACGTATGTACAAATTTGTCCACGTTATATTACGCTGATGCAAAATATGTGTCTACTCCTTGTGAATTTTGCATTCAAACTGTTTCAATAGCTGCGACACGAGTAATAAATCCAATCCAATCCACCCCCCAAAACCTTTTCTCTTGACCGAATGGATATCTAAATCCAACTACGCGTTTTTTGTTTCAATCCTCTTTTTTTCATGTTTATTATGCATGTATCTCTCTCTTCCATGACCGACCGACGGACGGACCATGAGACACGGAATGACACAATATTCCGTGTTCAAAACAAACCCACAAAAATCAACTTGCCTGGGAAAAGAAAATATCTGTATGTACGACAAGAACCACCGACCGACCGAATCAAGTACACGACAGAAGGCAACTAAATACTTATAAAAATATGTTTAAGTGCGTGATATCTGGAAGGAAAGGAATGGATTTGTGGGGAGCGTGGATAGTTAAACAACGGCTTGCTTACTTGCGTTCGTTCGTTATTTGTTGGTTCGTGCTGCTCAACAATTACAAAAACATGACATGACATCAAATACGTATGTACAATGGGAAATTAGAGATGAGTTAACCAATAAAAATACTGTATCGAATATCCTACCTATTGGACTCTGTAATATGTAAAAGCAGTTCTGATAAAATTACGAATCAATATCGTTCTTTCTTATCTTTAGCACAATTCTTTCTTATGTAGGTACGTAATTGTCTCATTTCATATTGATAGATGTATAATGTGCCTAGTTTTTGCCAGAGTCAGGGCTTATGGAACCGTCATGTCAGTCCGTCCGAGACACGATAGGTGTGTGCATATGGGGTGAAAATATGTGTTATACAGGTTATCTCGGGCTAAATGAAAACCGAACTGAACATAGGTTTTGATATGTAGTATAAAAAGAACATGATTCGTGAATAGCGAATACGAAAGAAATTTCTTTATTTGCTTTGCAGCTATGTAAATTCAACACGTCGTCGCGTTCTTTCGACAGATTAAATAGTTTCAATTAGGACCTGGCCTATCCACTTCACTCTCCGAGTTGACAAGTATCCGACAGTTAAGTTAATAAACCGTCACAACGAATGTAACCAAGGGGTGAAAGAAGTGTGTTATCCGTATTTCAATTCAAATTGATGCATGTATGCAATTTGACCTTTAAATGACATTTCATGACCTTTTGACCTTGATGGGTGTGACCTACAGTGCCCATCTTCGAACTCGTCCTCTCTATTGACGTTAGGAGTTTACGTTCAAAATTTCAAGTGTCTATGTCTTTTCGTTCAAAAGTTATCGGAGCTACGGACAGACAGACGGACAGACGGACATAACGATCTTATAAAGGGCTTTCACCCCTTAATAACTAAAAGCCTCGTTGGACTAAAGCTGACATATTCGCTCGCATTATGCACTTGAGAATGTATGTAAAGGTCTTCTAAACCTTTGTAGCTCGCAGTAATGAAAGTAAAGATTTTTATAGTGTTTGCTTAAAGAAGTGCACGGATGAAATGTGATGTGATGTGATTATGTATAGTAAAGAGTGTTAGTTTTACAATTTCGCAAGTCAGCCCAAGTATACATACGTATGATTAAAGTAAGTACTTACAAGGACTTGGCAATGAGTTGCATGTTCTGCTGGAGGAATTTTGTTCTTTCATGTATGTTCATACGTGTTCACTTACTTATATGGTAAAATATTAACGTGTGAAATATGAACTCGACTCGTATATGTTCACCGAAAGGATTGGATTACAGAAATGTTAAAAAATTCAGACCCCTCGTTTTAAGTTTTGCACTTGCTCTAGAATACAGCTTTATTACTACTACAAGGAGTAAGTTTATAATGTAATGGTAACATTAAATTGCATGCATCACTCTTATTCTTTATACCTAAAGTTTATACATATGAATTCAATAACAATTAATTACACAATGATGGAGAGTTTATGCTTGAATTTATGGTTAAGTTGACAGTTTAGCTTTGCAAGCACCAAATAATCCGCAACAATCCTATCCATAAATTTATATATACAGTTATATTTTGCAAATCAGGTACCTCTCATTCTTTAATTTAGCATTTGTCTTACCAGTTTCATACCATAAATATCACTCCCTCTTACATATACCATAAATACATTCAAGTACTTGTATGCTTCTCTATGCTTTAGGTACATAAATAAATAAATACAACAAAAATCGAGAAATCCTTCTCTAACATAGATAATCACTTAAAATTATGCATTGCAAAAGTGGAAATTAAAAGTGTCATACCACTGAGATCATAAAAATTCAGCATATTTACATACTATTCAAATTTAAAGAGAACAGATCGGCGGAGAATTTTGCCTCTTTTTTATGGAATGGAAATCTGTCAACTTATGAAAAATGCTGGTGGAGGTAACAGACGACGCCTCGGATGCTTGCTGCCCCTTCAAAACTCCCGGACTGCCCTCTCTGCTTGTCCGTGGCGAATTGGGGGATGGCGTCGTGTAATCACTCGTGACGACATTTGTGTCCGAAATTGACGCCGGTGACGTGGGCACAGGGAGTGTCGATTTTGACGGCGAGTTACTCCTCCCGAGTCGAAGACTTGTCAACATCTTACTGACTGAAAACTTCCTCCTCGGTGGGGGCAGATTTGTCGCGATAAGACCGGTTATCAAAGCCTGGAAACTTTGATAAACTTCGGGTGAATTTTCAGCCACGGATAGTTCGTAAAACTGACAGCCATACTGTTCCGATGCGGCGACCCCTTCCAAGTTGTCCACCCTGCGCAAATGTCCCAAATCAGACTTGTTCCCTATCAGGAGGACGGGGACGAGGGGGTCTGTTTCTGCTGTTGTTGGGGGGAAGGAGAACACGACGACGGGTTGGAATGGGGGGCCATGTCGTGGAATTTATGGATATTCTGAATGTCTGCGAGAGCTTGGAGTGCTGTCGAGAATGAACTCCGGTCCAGAATGGAATACACGATGACGAATCCATCAGCACGGTGAATTTCTTCCACGGGGAATGTTTTACGTTCGGTGCACTCAGGGCCGTCGATGAATGAGGTGGAAATGTCGACAATCTCGATGTCAAGGGAGGTCCGACTGCTTACGGCGAGGGTTTGCGTGTAGAGCAAATCTGTGGAGAAAAAGTGAGATTGAATTTAAATTCCGAATTTTAAATTACATAATTTTGTAAATTTCTTAAAATTATTCAGAATTTCATTCATAAGTATTTTGCATATGTATGTAGTCAATAAGAGATGCATATTGTGAGAATGACAGAAATATTGAGTAACGCCATATTTATTGAGAGACTTCCACATTCACATTTTGCTATTCCAATCATGCATCCGACTAATCCTTTCATTTGATGCCACATTAATTTGCACATTAAATCTTCTTGTCTTCTTGTCATTAATTTCCGAGAATTTTTATGAATTTTCTAATTATTATTATGAGGAACACGTTTCACTCAGCATGCTCGACCCATCTCTCCGCTCTGCTTCCTCCGATCCTCGGGCACCGGAACGGTCGCCGAGAGAGCAATATTTCTCTCAGTTTTGGTAAGTGGAGTCTCCGCCGAGGCTGCGACACGTCCTCGAACGTCCAACGCCATTTGTTCAATGACCTTCGCCTCACTCTTGTTCTCAATCTCACTCTCCAAAGTTTGCAAAAATCCTTGCAGCATGTTCAACGCCTTCTTGGCGTCATTAATCTTGGCTTGGAGAGCTTTTAGAACGGCGCGGAGTTGAAGGACTTCTTGGCTCAGGCCGTACTGGGCGTCATCTCGGGTCAACTCGACGCCAAAGCGGTACGTTCGGAATTCCAGGCGAGTCTCGGCCAATTTCATTTTGTTCGTCTTGTCCAAAAGGGCATCTTCCAAGTCACGGATTTCTCGCTCTACTTTGCACATTTCTTGCAAAATCTGTAAACAATTAGTAAAAATTTAATGAAATGTACCAAAAAATTGGGGTAAATAAGTGTCTAAATCTGACAATGGAGGTTTCCCAACGTATGTCCTCCGATTTTCATCAAATTAGTGTCATTCAATCACAAATTTAATTAAAATTGAATTTTCAAAAGGTATTATCTGCGAATGTTCAAGTTTGGCCCAGATATTTGGCAAATATCTTCAGATGCAAATAATATTTGCATCTGAAGAGGAGAAAACGAGCTATAAATTTGGAAAGTGTCCAATTTGTTAACTTTAGGACTCGTTTTCTCCTCTTTGGATGAAAATATCTCCGCCAAACCTGAGCACTGGCAGATCGTGCCTTTTGCAAATTTCATATTAATTAAATTTGTAATTTGAATGACACTAATTTGCTCAAAATCGGAACGCATACATTGGTTCAACCTCCACTATAATTATTGATACCTTTTGTCTCTGATGTTGCAAGTCATCACCCGTCTTGATCATTTCATGGAGCCGTTTCCGCATCGCAAAATCCGTGATTTCTCTCTGTGATCGGATATCATTGTAGGTTTGATCAATCGTGAGTAACATGCTTTCTCGGAGTTTGACGGAAGTAGCGAGCTCATTATCTGCTCGAAGTTTGTTGTATCGACTCTGTTCTTCCCAAGCTTGTGGGGTCATCATCCCCTTCGGAATTCTGTAATAAAGATAGCGAACAATGTAAATTGATGAAATACGGAATGTAAATTGAAATGTTAATTTGGCATAATAGAACTCTGACCGGAGTGGATCTGGACGGAAGGCGATCTCGGTCGAGCTTTCGTTCAAGTTGAGCAAGTAGCGGTCAATGTCCAAGGCAAGGATTTTTTCCGACAAGTCGCGAAGAATGTGTTGACGAACTTCTTGGAGACGAGCGATTTGATGCCAGGCTTCTTGGCCTTTCTTCTCGAGGAGATTTCTGGCATCTTTTATGATGCAAGTTTCCTACAATAATAATTCAAGAGGTGTTAATTTTAATTATTATGAGACGACTGGGACAAATAAAATATGTAAAGTGGTCGTCGTGGTGGTCTTTCTCTTCGGTGTTTCGGGTGCAAGTAACCAATTTCAAGAAATAACGGGAAGAAAGTGGTTTCTTGCAGGTATTTTGACCTGCAAGAAATGCAAGCCGCAAGAAATTACGCGCCGCGCTATACTTCATACGGCGCGTGGCTAGATGGCGCTTATTTCTTGCACTTTCTTGCACCTCGCATTTCTTGCGTTGCTTGGTTTTCAGTGCAAGAAATGTATCAAACCCGCCAGAAACGAAACACTACGTATCTTTTCACCTTGGTTAGTTCAAGTTGAGCCTCATCCATGACATAATCGTTCCCTCGCCGCTGTTCTCGAATGCTCATGATCTCGTTGACAATGTCCAAGTCCAGCACTTTGACTTCGATCGCTTGTTCAACCGCTTCCTTGGCAGGGTCCATCTTTTTGAGCTCCATATCAATCGTGGAGACTTTTGAAAAAACATTTGGTTTTAATTAAATCCATGCAAAAGAACAAGTATGCCATATGCACCTGTCTGTTCTAAGGCGACGCGCCAATTGTCAATTTCCGTGACTCTGTCCCGAATCCGGTTATTGTTTCGATACGTGTCCCATCTCGCCTGAATTCCAGCCTCATTTCGAACCGTGCGTCCTTCATGTCTCACTCGAAGGGTGTCCTCCCTCTGCTGCTCGGCTAGGTTGGCAAAATTCCAAGTGAAGTGATCCCAGTCGGATTTGTTCTTTCGTTCCGCAGGCTTCTCGAGACGACATGTAATCTTCCCCAGCATTTCAAGATACGAGTGAATATGAAGAGGGGTAAAACACTTGGTGAATGTTTTCTATTTTTTTTGCTGGATTGGAATTGGATTAAATTGGATTTTTATGAAGGGAGAATGTGCAGATGGATTTTTTTTGCTGGGCTCCGCTGGACGACGATGTTTGATTTGAGGTGAAAGTAGTTGCCATGAGTGCAAGAAGGTAAGATTTAGGGTTTGGCCTGTTTAGTCGATCCAGGAAGAATAGACGAAGTTGACGATATGATTGTGGAACATTATTATTTTTCATGCAGCTCGAAATGAGTTGTGGAAGGTAAAAAAGAGGCAAATTGAGACGTTTGGGACGACTCAACCTTACTTCTCATCATTCCGTTTGTTAAATCTACTGGTATAATAACTTCATTTATGTAGGATCTGCTTAAATCTGCTTAAATCTCGAGCAGATGCCACACCATTAAATACTTGAACTTTGTCACAATTGACAATGAAAATGTAGGCTTAGGATTTCTATATTAGAAAATCTCACCTACAAAAATAGCATCATTTTACTGTAGACCGGCTCAATTTGCCGGTATATCTAATTCTATTCTAAATATAGAATTTCAAGTTTAATTCACAATGTGTCCAACTGAAAGTAAAAGTAAATCCCAAATTGGCACTTTGCACCTAATTTTAGCCCTTTTCAAACTTTCATGGCGAGCAAATTACATATTCAGGATCAGGACCGGCACAATCAGCTCTCGTATTGTAATAACTTTACATAGGTGACAAGTTGAAATGTCCGGAGCCAATTTGCAGTTGATCTTTTCCCCTTCATGAATCCAATCACTCACAGTATGCGAGTTTCCTCCCGAGTGGGAGAAAGTTTGCAATAATTCCACCCAATTCACAGCATCTGAGCAATAAATCCTCAATTTATTGCCAGGTACGTATGTACGTACGGTTTCTCAGCACTTTTCACATTTTTTTATGCCCGGGCACGAAAATGAGATCAAAAAGGTTTCATATCACACCTCATAACTCGTACATATCCAGTCCACTCGTACTTAAGTAAGGTGGATATCTGAACATACCTCTCCACCAAAAAATGTGGATATCTGCTTTCCCGACAAGAATAGATCTTTAGTCACTCGGTGTTCACGTGCAAGTGTAAAGTGAGGGCCATGGTTTTGGTCCCTTGTTGCCCTATCACGCTTTTTATGCTGGAGAATATTCAGAACATGTTCACGACCGAGTAAGCAGCTTAATAATAAAAGTAAAATTGGCAGCTGGAATTTAGAAAAATAAGTGGATTTGCTAACTCTGACTTATTCGATCTCTTTCCTCGCACTAATACCGTTCTATATTTGAACTGTAGGAGTAAAACATGAGTCAACCTCGTCTTCATAATATATTCTGGTTCTTTTTTCATGGGTAAGAGCATATGTATGTATGTAAAGTATGCAAAAAAATTTGCAAATGGGAATAAAGATGCTTTCTTTAGTTACCTGTGTTTGACTTGTACTTTCCGATGTATCTTTTCGTCAGGTATCGAACAGTGAGTGCTGAAAAAATACAAAATAAAACAATACTCATAAAGATGTCATAAACTTCTAATATTCATAAAATTAAGAAAAAATTATGTACGTCACGAATTTTGGCATGTGCAAATTGTGCAAATTTAATTGCATTTCTGTACATTTGTGTGCCATCTGAATAAAAGAAGAATGGCAGAAAATGACTAAATTTCGTTCAAGTAAACTCGTTTACATGACTCAAATTTTCATCCCATGTAATCGGAACCAGTGACCAATTCACGTTTCTCGGAATGATCATAAATAGCTTTCATTTGACAAGTGACAAGGTGGAGAAAGTGACGCGAATCTGATGACGGCTAACACAGCTAACAAGCCGGCAATAATAATAATCACACGCTTGCTATCCTCCGTATCCCGGCAATTTCATTCATCTATTCACTTCATGAAAGCCTAATCTCAAATTGCGGATTCTACTCACAAAAAAGTTTGTCTGGTTTTGTAAAGGTCAAAATTGGCATTCATTCGCGTATACAAGAAGACCGGATGACGGTGTGGTGGGTGGGTGGAAGATGGCTTGTAGAATGTATTGTGTGCTTTATAAAAGCGCCATTTAATTCTTATTTATTCCGTGTCTCCACCCCCCTTTATGGTCCTCAGAACCGTGTAATTCATCAATTTTTGCGCTATCGTCATCATCACCCACATAAAACTGGACGGTTCCGTGGTTTAAGATTTTTCTAGTTGTTACATTTATGTAATGGCCTTCAATTTTTGTGAAGTGGGCAATTATGCATATTTACTTGAAAACTATCCACAAAAATCATAGGGTTATAGATTTTTGGCCTAGATACACAATTTTAACTAATTTTTAGCCCATAAATAGCATTTAATCATGTGAACAATTGTGAATTTGAGTAGGAACAAAATGGCATTTGTGCTATAAATGCCATAGGTCCCCTTTTCTAGTTGTTACATTTAATGGCCTTCAATTTTTATGAAATGCATAATTATATAAATTTTACAAAGTATCTTACAGAATCTGTCTATAAAAATTGATTTTTTTAGCCTGTATGTCGATTTTAGCACAACTTTCACTAATTTTTGGCTCAATAAATGACAGTTATTAAACAAAATCTACATAAATTTCAACAGCCATAAAAAATGGCATTTGTTTCGGTATAAATGTTTCCCTCTTAAATTTCGGCCATGTCGGTTGGGACCTTTTCTTTCATACGTATTGCCATATTTGTTCCTGCCACGTATGCAAATTTGTTCTGGAAAGTCTGAATTGCATAATAAATATGCTGGATGATGCTGATTGACACATAAAATCATCCAGATAGTGAAGTCATACATACGAACCACTCACTCAGTTTTTCTCCATCTGCAATAAAATCTATGAATAATGTTCGAGGTGACGCTAGCTCAATATGCATATTAAATCTACAATGATGTTAGCCGGAGAAAGTAACAGGTGTGAGGACAATGGAGACAATAATAAAATGAAGTGACGCTCGTCTGCTCGGCATCATATTGTTCGTTACGTAGGTATGAAATATACATATGTATGACTTTATTATTCATTACATACGTGTTCACGGTTCAAGATACGTATGTCTGGAAATCAGCAATTAAGAAAGACAGACACGATAACTTTCACAAAATTGGTTTTATGCGAAGTTATGTCATAAGAAGTGTCATTTTGATGTCATTCTTAATCTACGAAGACGAAAATATCGACTTTTAGTGGTACTTATCACGATTTTTTTCTACGCAATATGTCAATTGGACCTTAATTTTCATCATTATGCGGTATCATTTTAAAGGAAATTTCACGCCGTAAATATTTTTTTAATCAACCTACATGCGGACAAAATATAATGTCAAAAATGCATAATTGTCATATATAGCGTCCATTGTAAACGAAATTTCAATTTCGCCTTGACGCTACTTCTTTACATTCGTTGACACATTTTATTTGGCGTATTCTTATCGTCTTTGAGCTGGCAATTAGATACATAATTCGACGAAAGAAGGTGACACTTGATCGATGTAAGGTTTTTTCGGAATCTAGGTCACCATACTACATAACATTATAAATAAATTCGACTTTTTTATTGGGAGAAGGTGACTTTTATGGGAAAATAGAGGAATTCTCTCTCCTTCACACGCTCTATTTGTTTTCTTAAAAGAAAGAAAGTCAAGGTTCAGGTGAGTTCTACGAGTTTATTTCTCTTAATTGCTTCTCCTCCTTGGATAAACGTCTCACAAGCGGATGTGCATATGTGCATATGCATGAATACCGAGTGTCTTTACCTTGATCGCGATGATCGCCTAAAAACAGATAAACAATTCTTCAAGGCTAATTGCCACCTTATTTATTACGTTTAATACATAAACCTTCAGTTTTGCTGCGTAGTGGAAAAAGTTGAGTTAATAGTTATGGATTCGACATCAGGGTCAGCTTTCACCTTACATGGTTTCTATTTAACTGCGTACATATTTCGCCAAGAAATGATGACGAGGTTTCAATGCGGACAATATACTCGTAGAAAACTGGTATTAAATTATTACTGGCCGGAGTACATATATGTATGACTTACTCTATGAGAATTACGGTTCAGTAATGTTGTGGCAATGAAAAATTTACCACTCAGAAACAAACTACCACCAATCCGGTAAGAAATTATTAGCAAATCAATACCAATACGTAGCATATATCTGACTCTACCAGATTTTTAACCATGTGCTTATCTATAACCGAGGTAAACGAATTGCTTACGTATTATTTTTCCCCGAAGAAAAAAAAACATGTCACAATAATACAAATAATCTCAAGAAGTCTGAATCATCATTACTTCAAGAGGACTGAAAAAGCATGCAAGATTACAGTGACAGTTCCATGTTCCAAGTAAAAATTCCTGTTCCAAAATACCACCCACCCACCCACGAATTTCACGGTGGCAGGAGACCACAGCCATTTACATAAGTGCATAACTACATATTTAGTGATGACACTCTCAATACTCGAAAACTGGTATGATGCAGTTCGTTATTAAAGTGGGACGACGACGATTACTTAAGATGCAGTTTTAGATGGGTGCAATTTTACATTATGGATGCGTTGTCTTATCCGCAGGAGGAGAGGCGAGGTCGCGTCAATTACTTATCAAACCCTCGTGGACGAAGGAAATCCCAAGTGTCATCTTTCCCATGTTAAGTAAATCTTGCATGCATACCAACCAAGAAAATATTGCAAACGTACTTATCATTCTGTGCAACTTTTGGATACGGAAATTTGTCTCTTGCCAAATTCCTATGTACATACATCGACAACATTTATTGGAAACTGAGGCAAACCGAAACCCAATTATTTTCTCGTCCTTGGCGAAATTGTGCGGTAACAACGTCGGGAATTAAGATAATCTAATGTAATGTTCTCAAGCAATCTGCTCATCCCGGTCGGTCGTCTCAACTCTAATTGGGAGTAAGGATGCATTCTCGCTGAGCCGAGATTGTGCTAACTCTCAATAAAAACCAAGGTCCAAACTCAAACTTCTTGCTTATCATCGAAACCACTCGGAAAAATCGAGTTATTTTATACCTCTTGGAGAGAAAAAAGACTCTTAATTTAATTGCTCTTCTCAAGACAAGTCAAAGTCAAGTGTACGATGTGCCATATTGCCAGGAAATGATGCTCCACAGTTGAATATGTATGGATAAGTACTTATCTATGTACAACTTGAGACGCGGAAGGAGTACCATAAAATCAAGGATAATTGCCAATTACACCGGATTTGTATTGATTGTAAGGAAAATACTTCCGCAATGTTATTGTTTAGTTTATCGGAATGGAGTGAAATGCAGGTTGACAAGTAGTTAATGTCTGTCAAAAAATCTTTAACAATGATTCTCAGACTGCTAATTCAAGGACGTTGGTTTCGTTGTAGACTTGGAAAATTCATGTTATTGGTCATTATGGAATAAATGATCGCAGGATATTTTCGCGCGAAAATCACGTGCCCACTTGATTACATTGGGAGCGGGGTGAAATTCAATTTAAACCTGCGATCATTTATTCCTTACTGCCCAATAGTCACTGTGTTGTTTTGCCTGAATGTAATTAAGTAAGTGCATTTTTCAGCCCTGAAGGATTACATATAGAATAATCATAGCGTGTATGTTTTTACTTTATTCAGATTCAGTGTGTTATGAGATGGCGTACTGTACCGGGAGGTTTGAGTGTAAGTGCGCACTTTCTTTGTGAGGGAAGCAAGAAAGAAAGGGCTCCCAATTTTTCGATTTGTAAATTGTTCTGAATTGAGAATGATTACATTGTTTTGAGTAATAAATAGTCTTAACGGTATCTTTTTCACGACACAGCCTTTATTTGGAAAGTGTGTTCTCGACGGTTAGTTTAGGTTCATTTTCCGTGTTCGAGAAGTTGATTGAGTATCGAACAGCCCTGTTTACTTTAAATTCTTGTCAAATGCGTATGTGCATAAGTGGAATGGAGGATTAAGTTAAATTATCTTCCAGTCTGAATAATGAGGGGTCTAGTTTCTGAGCTAAAGTGATAAATTGTAGAAACGTTTTTTTTTCAAGTAATTTTTCAGAAATCAAGACAAAAAAATGTGTAAATGCAATATTTTTACACCGTAATTAAATTGATCAACTACGACGACGAAATAATTATACAATTCTATTTGTTATTTATGGATAAGTGGTAAAATAGATTTCTATCATGTTGAGTTTTATCGAAGTACTATTTGCTAATAAATACAACAAATATCCACATTTGAAGGCGTATATTCCTGTAAAACTATAAAATTGCACTTCTTACCCTACAAATATTTTCCTTTACGTAACATCGCGATTACCCCTACGTATGTGGGGCAGATGCACTTTATCCGTTAAAAAAATTCAGAGCACCAAACAAAATAAATCTCCCAGAGTTCGAGAACAATTCCGCCATTGTTCTTTCTTCCGAACAAGTTGGAACGGTTCCCTGCTCTCTCTCGCTAATCTTCTACATACATTTTTAGACCTCGTCCAACCCAGCCAAGAGCAGCAGAACAGCCACGAACGACATGTGTATTCGCATACTTTGTAGTGCCAAATCTAAGTCAAGATTCCTTAATGACTGGCCCATCCATATATACATAAAACTCATTCAGATATATTATCATTGTCGCTCCGGAGAGTTTATGAACCTCACAAAGCAACCGGCGAAAGCTCAAGGTTCCAAGTTTGTTAATGAAAAAAATGAATTGACGCAATAGAAAACAAAGTCTTAACCAAGTACGAATTGCGAATCTCTTTCACTACACACATCACATCCTGTCCGTGCAATTTGTAAAAATCGCAACATTTTTTAATCCTCATTTGCATATGTACATCCAGGAGAAATGCGGCGTCTTCAACCAACCAGACCAGAAAGAAGCAAGGTCTGGTTAATATTGAAGTTGAATGTTGAGCAAATTGACAATTTTTGTGTATTTCTTTACGGAGCCAGGTTTCAGATTGTATCAAAATCAACAGAGAATACAGATGCATTTTGGATTATGATGCTTCCAAAATTTGCTTCTTTTATAAATACGTTCCGACAACACCCACGAATTCTAAATACGAAAAAATACTCCCGTTCATCACTTAAATCGTAAAGGGTTTAGTTTGGTAGTAGCGATGCTTTAAACCAAAATCAGGCTGGCGTTCTTTATTTTTAGTCACTCCTTCCTAATGATAATATCAAAACTTGCCAAGTTTTTGTATGTGCTGGATGATGATGACGATCGTGATGCGCTTTAAATGCATCATTCATACATAAATAAGTAGGATGGGGTTTCGATTAAATGACGATAGGTCATTAATTGTGGTGTCGTGAGTGATGAGTTTATGCATTACTGTTGGTTGTTGGACGAATACAAAAATGCATTTAAAATCATATGCAATGACAAAAAAGATGTGTCAAAAATGTTAAATTAAAGTCAAATCGAACAATTACATTTATCAATCTAAATTTAATTACAATTAATTTTAATTAAATATAATTGTAAACAACGTCGTCAAAGGTTCGCATTGACGAAAATTTTGCCACATACTAGTTTTTTTTGTAATTATAATTTATGTATACTTGATTAATTTTGATATATGCGAAAATAATGATGCATACAATTTTCCTTCTGAAATTTTTGCAAAAAAATATGAAATTTTTGCAAAAAAATATAAAAATTCCAAAGCATACCTGATTTTCCGACGTCGTGTTGTCCAAAAACTGCAATCCTGATTTTATTATTAGATGAGGTGCTACTCGATCGACCACCTTTCCCCTCGCCGTTCTTATTCATCTCTATTTTCATCCAGGGTGAAAAGGTCCAATTTCCAGTAAAGTATTGAAGTCAGAAGAAATTTGGTGAATTTATTTCCCGAAATATTATCAACGATTAATTAGACAAAGGAGAAAATTGCTTGGCCAAAGTTTCCAAAGTTTTTAAAGACTTGAGACGATAACGATAATTATGAAGTAATTTAAGCAGTCGTAGTATTGAGTGAGACGCGTTGTGCCTGGTTCGAATCCAAACCACAAACTGAGACTGGGCTTGGTTTGATCAAGTATAGAATCTGGCTTATCTATGTAGGTAAAGTAAAAGCTACCCGGGTATTAACGTGTGGAAAACACAGCAAAGCAACCACATTACATAGTTCTGTGCACATTACACAGAAACAGTAGTGGGTGGTGGTACCAAAGTGAGACGTGGGATGAGAATCATACTGTATTAGCTAACTCGGGGAAATTGAGACGTTTGCATGACATTTGTTGTATCTTACCAGATTCTACTCACTTAAATTTTCTTCCACTTCAAAATTATCTAATAAAATCATGAAAATTACATACTACATTTGTACATATTCCTGAAATTTACACAAATTTACTCATAATTGCAAACCATATGTACTAATTAAATTAGTACCTGAATTTACATCCGAACTGGACCCAAATTTGAGCTTAATTTCCTGGTTTTCCTACCTACCAAAAACTGATGAACTCGATCTACTTATTTTGCTTACATACTTTTTCCTATGAATTTTCCATATTTATTTTGATGGGAACCTGGCCACAAATGAGTACGAATGATTTGCTCTCCCTTGACAAAATTTCATCCGCATTCCTGCTAATTCCATCCTCTTCTCCCATCAACCAAACCACCAACCAATATTCCGTCCTTCCTTCTGCTCCAACCATGAATGAAGGACTTAAAATTTGGCAGGCTTCCATACGTCAATACACAATTCTCGCATGGCTACAATTTTCCATACACACACAATTTTTGCGAAGGTGTAAACATTCAAAAATGTACTCGTAAAAGAAAGAAAGAACAGACATATTTCTGCTTGTAAATTCGTTTTCATTGACAATTTGGTAAGTTTCCACCAGGCCTCGGTAAATTTCCACTAGCGGAAGGATAAAGTTGATCCTTGTCAGTCAGGTTTTAAAAATTGTTCGAAATTCGGCAAATTGCTCTTTGTCAATCAAAGTTCAAAGTTGTCGCGTTATTTAGGGAGGGATTTTCCCAATCATGGTCTGCTGCTCCATGGTGGTTGCGTTGTTTTGGCAAAAATCTGCAGTGTTTCGGGTGCAAGGAGCCATTTGCAAAAATAATGGCAAGAAAGTGGTATTTTGCAGGTATTTTGACCTGTACGAAATCCAAGGTGCAAGAAACTATTTCCCGCCACTATGTTTCATACGACATATGACTAGATGGCGCATATTTCTTGCACTTTCTCCAAGTTTCTGGCACCTCCCATTTCTTGCTTTGCAGTGCAAAAAATGTAGCCCACCCTCAAGAAACGAAACACTGCAAAAATGGCGAAAGTTTGTTCGCCTGTCCAACTGTTCGAGAACTGACCCTAATCCTGACTCTTTTCAGGGATGAGGTATTTATTAGCGAGGAGACCGGTTGTTGAGCTATTTTAAGATGGAACTTGAATAAAATCCGATTCGCATTTTTCATTTCGAAGACACTGATTTAAGTTTATTTTTACCAAAAGCTTTTTTTAGATTGGCGATATTTGACAGAAGATAGACAGGCATTAGCTTTGAAGAGAAAAGTGTTATAAAATATTGAATTCAGTTTGATTTGTGGTTTTTAGAACTTTATTGTACGGCAAGATCGATGGAGGAGGGATAATTAAATTTGAAGTGATATAACTCAGACACAGAAAAATACTTATCTTAAATGCGATGTATCAATGAAATGTCATGGGTCAAAGGTGACTATTGGTATTTTTTGACCTCACAACCTATAAACACGCGATCCTAATTAAATGTGATGGTTTGAAATTCTTCTCGGGCTGAGAAGAGCTGGGGTTAAATCCATTAGAGAGTCGGCTTATTGTTCCATTATCAGAATTGGAGAAATTCTTGTCAATCTTTTATGTGGGAATGTATTTACAAGAGTGAGGAGAAAGTGGGGAAACTGCTCCTCTTACTTATTTAATTTGCCAAGTTTTGTCCTCTCCTTATCCTGGAAATGGTCATGTTTAGTTTCTTTCTCGAGTTTGTTATTCCCTTCCCTAGTAAAATTTTGAACGGGGTTTTCAGAAGAAATTCGGTCCAATTTTCTTGCAAAAAAAAACTAAATTCAGAGCGATCTGTGCAGAAAATTGCAGAATTTGCAGAAAAAACCTATGGAAATTTTCTGCAGGAAAGCATGACAAGCAGTAACAAAAATTATGCAAAATACAAATATAAATCCAGCTTTTGATAATTACTGCAGCATTCGACACAGTGATTTCTCCTCGGGTCAATCTTACACATTGTCCACATATTGCACATAAGCCTGTAAAAATATTCGCTCTACTTTCTACTTTCACTCCTCTCTTTGAGATTAAAAGCCGTGTAGGATTGAGGACAAAAGTGAAACTTGTTAGTTGATGGAATACACACATAGCTCTGTATTTTAGATTAACAGGTGAACCAGTTTTCAGTTTGTTTGACTCCCATAAAACAGAAATGTGTGTAGTGTCGTACTTAATCGCAGCTTTCCCCACTTTCAATTTCAACTTTTTCCATTTTAAGTTATGTCGCAGCGAGAGTAGGTCATCGCCATCGTGCGAAAATATAAACAAAGTCCTCAACTCTAAACGACGCATTTGGATCATAATTATTTACCAACACACCATAATGACCAAACTTTGAGCCAATAATTATCTCTCTCTCTCTCTGCTTTGATCTAATTCTGCTTGCGACGTACTTGAGGCTATACGGCTTATACTTAACCATATTTATTAAATTAACCTACTTTCACTTCTCAATCCCCACTCGAAAATGGACATCCAATTAACAATTTCTCTCCCCCAACGATAAGGAAACTTTCCGACGTTTATAGTTGACGCGGGGATTAAGAGAGAGGATTCGATGTGATGGAGGGCTTGGTTTAATTACGAGAATGACACCTTGTCAAAAATAGAGGTCACAGTGACATGTTTGATTTTGTAAATAGTAAGAAGCTGAAGGAGTTGTGGGGTGAAAGTTGGTGTCGGTCGTGTGCGGAATGTAAAGTAGGCGGTGAGCTATAGTTGGGACATGATCTGCATAGTTTGTAATTAAAATCTGACCCTTTAATGAAAATGGGTTGCTTCCTGAAAACCAGTGTTTCTTTTTTTGCAGGTTTGCTACATATTTTGGACTGCAAAGCAGGAAATGCGAGGTGCAAGAAATATGCGCCATCTATCCACGCGCCGTATGAAGTATAGCGGCGGCGCGTAATTTCTTGCGACTTGCATTTCTTGCAGGTCAAAATACCCGCAAAAAACCCTTTCTCCCCGCTATTTCTTGCCAGTGGTCACTTGTACCCGAAACACTGAAAATAAAATGCGATTATTCAACGCCACTTTTTATTATTAAAAATATTTCATAGGACAAAAGTAGTTACAGATTGTGCGGAGGAGTTCTTACATATGTTTAAATTTTACTCGATATGCTCTAAAGTACTTGGATACTTAATTATTTTCGACTTTTTCATGTGATAAACCAAGCTAACCGAGAAAGCAAAGAACTCCCGTTTCCGTTTTTCCCCATTTTTTTTACATTTGCATTTAGCAGCGGGCGTAGTTTCTAGCGCTCTACATTTCTTGCTGGTCAAAATAATGCAGGTTTCTTGCAGTTATTTCTTGCAAGTGGTTACTTTCACCCGAAACACTGCTTAAAACCCAGTTCTGCAAAACTTTTCCCAATTTTTAATGACGACCCAGCCTCTTAGATGATATAATCCATGATAAAATCATGATGTCGCACCAATTGACCTGTTATTAGTTGTTACGACCAACTATGTATGTACGTAACTGGCACCCAAGAAACGTAACAGCTTTCACTGATGGGTTCAAAAAGTTGCAGTCATTATTGCCTGCTCGTAAAAATGAATATTTTTTTAACTGCCAAACTCGGAATATGGATGCTTGAGTTTGTTGCCCACGCTATTTCTAGCCCAACTTACGTAGGCATATAAAATCACAAAAATTACTGCCATACAACAATAAATAAGCTACATAATAAATACGTATTTCCAATCATTATGATAACCGACATTTATTGCTCATTCACTTCACAAGTCACTCTGTTATTATTATGCTTCTCTTTGTAGATTACTCGCAATTGATTACAATTCACAGATTATTTCCAATAATAGTGTCAAACATGACGTATGTATTGTGTAATTCACTATATGTGAAATTCTATATTAATGTCTTTTATGTGCAATTTTCGAGATTGGTTTCGCTGAATTTGTTAGTTTTGTTTGATTGGTGTAGTTCAACTTTCCGTTTTCTTACGAAATATTTCCACATTTTGATTGATTGAGTGTCTATTCTTGGCTGGATAACAGATAAGGAGAACCGATTTACAGCGAAAAGACGCATTATCTCTTTTTGTTACTTTAAATCGTAATGTATTTTTTGACACTGTTTACCTTGCTGTTGAAGTTCAAAGGCTTCATCCATTCCTTGCGTTAATTACGTGGGCTTTACGTGTATTTTGATTTAGTGGAGGTAATTGAGTGTGTATGTAAATATATAAAATGCTCATCTGATGATGAGTGCTGACGATAATTTGAGGATATTAATTTATCTGCATCTGCAACGTTGACATGTGCAAACACTAATCGACAAGGGCAAGGCAATGTTAAACTGTTATTTGTTTGTCGTTCTTTTCACGTCATTCCCGTTGTATTTATAAGTCTCATGTTTTCTTTATGCTTCCGAAATTCGTTTGTCTGGTTTCTCCTCCGCACAATGCAAACCAGGTTTAGTTTACAGTTTATTAAGTCGCATGTTCAAACCGTAAATGACAACAATTAAATCTCGCCATGTCATAATTTCTCCATTTCTCATCCGATTTGCATAAAATTGCGAAACAGAGTACTCCTTTGTGTAGCAAACCACTCCCATCGGCACGACCCTGTTGTCCGCATAATTTTGTCATTTTCACTCCGATTTGTCATATTAAACCGAATTTTAGTTAAAAAATTAATTTCTCAAAACAAATGGTCCCCCAAATATTATTATAAATTCATGTACGAAAACTTTTAAGCAACTGTACGTCAA